AGACTCGGGAGGAAGCCCGTGGGGTACCATGGAGGTTCTCCCAGGGCTGTTTGAGAAGTAGTTGTGTACTTAGATCCTCTCCCTCGCTGCCTGGAGTTGACAACTGCCCCTCCCTGTCCCAGGAGGCGTGTGAAATCTTTCCTCCTGGGAGAGGAGGCAGAGGTCACAGGAGCGGGGACTCTGGCACCAGTGAGGATGCAGGTACCTGCTCAGGACGTTGGCGGCCAGGCCTTTCCCTCTGCACCAGCTTTTGGTGGGGAGAGTCCAGCCAGAGAGGCCTACTCTGGCGCCCATCCAGTGGGCCAGTGTACAGCCCTGCCAGGCCCAGATTTGGAGCTGAGCTTCCAGAAGGAAGTGGAGAAGCATCCACGTCGCTGAGGTGAGAGGACTTACATTCCCAGGGAGCAGGCAGTGCTGTGCAGGAGGCGACGGGGCAGAGTGCCGGCGGGAGGGCAGAGTGAAAGGTGCAGTGAGTGAAGCGAACGCAGTCGTGCAAAAGAACAGAAAGACATGAACAGTAGGAAATAGACCAGTAGAGGCCGCTGCAGCTGGTACAGGAGCCTCAGCAGCACAGGATGGGGTGTGGAGCAGAGGGGCCCCGCGAGGGCCTGAGGGCAGGCTGGCCGGCAGGAGCAGGGGACCTCGGAGGCACCTCCAGACCTGACGCATGAACTCTGACCCAGCCAGATAGCCCATCAGCTGTCCAGGTAGGATAAAGGCGTTTTCAGACGCACACGTTTTCAAAACCTTAGCTCCCACCTGCCCTTTTTCAGGAAAAAGAGAGAAGAAACGGGAGCCAGGAAAAAGCTCTCGCAGAAGGGAAGGCGGTCCCAAAGCGGCGGTGCCCCGGGGCTGCCTGTGGGTGGAAGAGGCAGAGCACCGAGCCCACCCTGTGCCCACCAGCAGCCTCTGTTTGCCGGGACCCTGGGCTTGCCCTCAGCGGCTGGGCTGGAGGGTCCTGTTCACTTGCCGTATTAATCGGCTCCACTGCAGCGCCCCTGGAGGACGCCCCGCTCCACGTGTGCCGTCTGTGGGCTCCCCCAGCTCCGTGTACTGGCAGCTGAGTGCCTGGAGAGGCCAGGCCCGGTGAGGACAGGCGCCTAGGCTCCGGGGGGCGGTTGGAGAAGACGGTTCTTGCTTTCTGGACTCGCATTTGAAGTAGGCTGCTCGTGTGAGGACGTCCAGAGTCTGGGTGTGAAGAGAGGTCAGTGGAGAGTGTGTCGAAGGTCTCCCGGGGCCGGGCCTGTCCCTGGGCACCGCATGCTGGGCCGGGGCTCTGTGATGCCAGCAGGAGCCTGTCAGCTCTGGCGCACGCCTCTCAGTAACAAGTGTTTTGGAGGTTTTCAGCTGAAACGAGGCCCCGTGACCCCACGTCAGCGGCAGCGCCCTCTGCCCACCTTTGTCATGGTGCTTTCCTGCGGTGGTTCTCACAGCTTAAAAACGAACAAGACAGCTCTTGGCCTCTTCCCAGGTTACCACCCCGCCTCCCTGTACCTGGCGCACCTGTGCCTGCTGTCCCTCCTCCCTGCTCCCCTGAGCCCGCCCCCACCGCCTGTCTCCGCAGGCTGCCAGCACCCTCTCCACGCGGGCTTCCTCGCCTCCTCCAGCCCTTACCTCTGTCGTCTCTGCTAGTTCGCTGTGCCCGTAAACACGCTGGGCAGGAAAGTGGAGTTCCTGTTGTGTGCTGATTTCTCCTAAGCTTGCATCCAAAACGTGGCCCTCGTCCCGACCCAGGTGCGTGTGGCCGACCACCTGCTTGACGCGCCGAGTCAGCACCTGCTGGTGTGGCGGCTGCCCTGACGCGCTGTCTCCCTGCCTCTTGCACCCGTCATGCTGCCCTGGCTCAGCCTGTGCTGCCACCCAGGTTGCTACTCGTGCACCTGTCGAGCGATGTGTGGTGTGCGGTGAAGTGGGAAATCCGTCGCACGGGGCGCCGCAGCAGATGACACCCTGTTCTGAACGTGTAGAAAACTTCTTCCAGTTTTCTAAGAAAAATCCCGAGGAGAGTGAACCGGCAGCTCTGGGGATCAGGGAAACAGTTGAGATCTCGAGGAGCACATGATCCATCCCATGTGCACTGTTTAAAACCCCAGGGCCGATGGGGTCAGGAAGCGGCTGGTGGCTGAGGTTAGGCAGACACCAGAGAGGGCTGGCAGCGCGCTTACTTGCAGGTCAGCTCTGCTCGGGACAGCTGTGGGCCTGATTTTGTCCTCTGCTTGCTCTGTTGGTTATCCAGGGAGAGGTTTAAGTACTTCCGCTACGGCTGTGTCTGGGTCTCCTTTCACTCGGGTGTCTGTATGCCTGATGCTGCATTGTCCTGTTTTGTCCTTTGGTGGCCCTTTGTGGTGGCGGAGTGACCATCTTTGGGCGTCGCTGTCTTCTCCGGGTGTGAGAACCGCTCTGAGTGTTTGCTGCCGCTTTCCTGTCATTCGGTCCCAGCCCTTCATGAGCCTCCCACAGTGGCTTCACTCTGGACGTTACGATGGCCACAGAGTAAGGAGCCACCCTGGACGCTGTCCACGTTGAGGTGACAGGCTGGGTGAGAGCCTGCATGCCCCCAGCCACTCCAGCTCTTTTGGGGGTGCAGCTTTCTGAGGACTTGGTGAATCCTCCTTACTTTCCTTTTGTACCGCGGCCTGGAGGGGCAGCCTGCTGCAACCAAGGCCCTTGGAGAAGGGGTGGGATTGGAGACTCCTTTCCACTGTGCCCTGGCCCCCTTCTCCCCCTTCCCTCTCTCTTCCCTGCCGCCTCATAACATCAGCAGGTGTGGGGGGCTAAATGGCCCCAGGAGGGCTGTTCTGATCACCAGTGCATCCCAGCTTTAGGACAAGGGATTCATGTCCTCTCATTTGGACAGGTACTGAGAAGTACCTGCTTCAGGGGTGGCTGGATCCAGATGCCAGGTGGTCGTTTTCTTTTTTCCTATTATTTACTTCTGCCTCCGTTTTTTTTTTGTTTGTTTTTTTTTTTTTGAGAAGCCTCTCCCTGTTGGGGACAAAGTGGCCCAGAAGCTGCAGGCCCCAAGCCCCATGCTGACGCTTCCAGCAGGCAGGGCGTGTCCTGTGATCCTCGGGGACGTTGCTTCTGCCCTGCACCCATCCCATGGGGTGGGGTGCAAGCAGGGCCTCCACTCAAACACCTGGAGGGGCACTTCCCTGGTGGTCCAGTGGCTAAGGCTCCACGCTCACAATGCAGGGGGCCTGGGTTTGATTCCTGGTCAGGGAGCTGGATCCCACATGCTGCTACTAAGAGTTCATGTACTGCATACCGCAACGAAGATCCCACGTGCCACAACTAAGACCTGGCGCAGCCAAATAAATAAATAAATATTAAAACAAAAATCTAATGACGTTAAAAAAAAAACAAACACCTGGAGAGCCCCAGGGAATGGGGCTCCTAGCAGACAGGAGGGAGAGAAGCATAGACGGACAGGCCAGCTCCTGTGGCACGTGCTGGGCCCAGCAGGGGCTTCGGAACGTGAGCTCAGACTTTGGCGTTTTAGAAACGGGACCTTGTTTTCTGTTCTGTAAGGTGAGGACGGACACAGCTGCCGCGTCCCCAGGTGTGCAAGAGGAAATGTGATGGTGTTTGTACAGCTCTTCCCAAGCGTTTTACTGTATACAGTAGGTGCTCAGTAAATGATGCCGCCAGGGCGAGGTCTGTGCCAGTTTAGATGCTGAAGCTGAGGCAGTTTTGTGGAGCAAGCACGTTTTCACAGGTGGTCAGGGCAGTGTCGTGTTGCACTCAGGCCACCTGCTGAGTTGTGGGTTCCATGCTTCCTGCCCCCACCCAGTCCTCTTCCTCATAGTTGCTTGTGGGGTGATTGCCCTTGTGCATACAGAAGGCTGTCTCTATCGTGACCTGCTCTCCCATGTGTGCTGCACAGGGAGTGCAGGTGCCCCCCGGAGCGCGGTGGGGTGGTGCGCAGGTGCCCACGGTGCCCTTGGGGTGACTGTGGTTCTAGGTTCCTTAGAGACGCCGCCGCAGCAGACAGCTGCAGCCTCACCTGTTCGTAGCACATGATGGTCCTGCCAGCTTTCCAGTCCCTCCCCAAAAGGTCGCTTCTCAGCCGTGACCCCGAGGCCGCTGGCCGTGGAAGCGGTGCATATATCTTCCTTTTTCCCACGAGCTGTGACCACGGATGACTGCTGGGGCGGGGCCTTCTCACTCCCTGACTCACTGCTGTATCCCATGGGTGGGGCTGTGACTGAGCAGCTGGGCCTTTGACCTTTGTTGGGAGCTCTGACTTTCATGCCCTGGTGTGGGGTCAGTTTTCAGAGATGTTCCAAGGATGGTCCCCTGAGATGAAGCCTGGTTAGCTGTGCTGGCTCTTCCTTCTCACAGATGTGTGGCCCCCCACCCCACCGTGCGGTGGGCCGGCCCGTCAGGCCTGCTTCTGGAGGTGCCTTCTGCCCACACCCCAGAGCCGCACCAGCTCTGCCTCAGGTCAGAGTGTCTTGTCCATTCTTGACCTTCACAGTTCCACATCCTTGTGTTTGAATGTATCTGGATCTGTAAAAATCTGGTCTGACAGTCTTTGTCTTAGCTAGACTGCTGGTCCATTTATGTTTATGAAAATTATTATATTTGAATTTATTTTTACGGTCTTATTTCACACTTTATTTGTCCTGTTATTTGGGGACAGATTACTTTTTTCCTCCTTTCTTAAATTCGATTTTATTTTATTATTTATTTATTTATTTTTTGGCTGCATTGGGTCTTCGTTGCTGCACGTGGGCTTTCTCTAGTTGTGGCAAGCGGGGGCTACTCTTTGTTGTGGTGCGCAGGCTTCTCATTGCGGTGGCTTCTCTTGCTGAGGAGCGTGGGCTCTAGGCATGTGGGCTTCAGTAGTTGTGGCACGCAGGCTCAGTAGTTGCGGCTCGCGGGCTCTAGAGCGCAGGCTTAGTAGTTGTGGCGCATGGGCTTAGTTGCTCCGTGGCATGTGGGATCTTCCCAGACCAGGGCTCGAACCCATGTCCCCTGCACTGGCAGGTGGATTCTTAAATACTGCGTCACCAGGGAAGCCCTTAACTTCTTTTGGGTTGATCTTTTTTTATTTCTTTTTCTCTCCTCAACTAGATTGGAATTCATTCACTTGGCTTCCGTAGTGGCTGCCCTGGATATTTTAACACACAGAATTCATTTATCAAAATCTAAATTAATTGATATTTTTACTCTCCTCCAAACAATTCAGTGCTCTTAGAACACTGTGCGTCTGTTTAGTTCCATCCCAGGTATGGGCTGACCTCTCCCTCTCCCCCTGCAGCTCCTGCTTCCTCAGGGTGGGAGGGCTGGGTTTCCTAGTGGCCCTCATTTACCTGATGCCTTCGGGGCCTCAGCCTTGGGGGTGTCTCCGAGAGGGTCCACACCTGGGCACATCCAAGGCTTTCTGTTCGCTCGCCTGCCTCTTCTAAACAGTACAAATGCTCAAGATCAGCCAGGCCCTCAGATGCAGACAGCAGAGGGGTGCCTTGATTTCCCCTGTTGCCGGTTTTACTTAGCTTTTGCCCTCTGAGGTTCCGAACTTTCTTCCTATCTCATCAATGGGTTAAAATTTTTTTTCAGTAGTTTAAAACTGTCATAATAGTGTGTTTGTTCTCTCTTAAGAGGGTTGGTCAAAGCTGTCTGTTTCATTATTGTGACAGAAATGGCAGTGTTCTCTGAAGTCTTTACTCCCAGTAGGTCCTGGGGCAAGCCTCCTGTGTGTGTGTTGGTGGGGGGCGTGTCCCCTGCACGACGGGTCCCAGCTCTCCCAGCGGCCTGGCAGGCTTGGCCCTGCCAGGAAGGCACCGTCTCTTCTGCTACTGGAACTTGGCAGAAAGGAGTCTCTGACAGTCTGAGTTGATGAAACGTTCCTCATGTTTATCAGTGGTTTTCTGGAACCTTCAGCGAGGAACTGGATGGGACATCCCCCTCCGCCCCCCCAGGAAGGCGAAGCCCCCTCAGACGCTGTCTGACAGCAGGGCTTGCCCCAGGCCTTCTGCACAGGGCCCTGTGGGACCCGTGGGGTCTGTTACTGTGACTGCCGGCACCACCTGCAGGTGTGCAGGGGCCCAGATCCGTGTTTCCTGATGGTTTTCCGGCAGATAGAGAAAAGGTTTCCACTTTGTTTTCCTTTCCTCTGTGTCTGGTTAATATTTTGTCCCACACTTTGGGTGAGTCCTGACAAAGCCTGTGGTCACCCAGTGCCTCCACCCCCCGGGCCTGAGAGCTATGAGAATGACTGGGAACCACGCATCACCCTCCCCCCTGCTCAGCTCCCTCCTCCTTGCTTGCTGGGTCGTGGGAGGGAGGTGTTGCTGTTGCTTCTGTGGTGGAAACCGCATTTTACTCCTGTTTCTGAGACGTGACCTTGCCGACCTTGGGACTCCTTGTCGGTCAGCATCTCTGGGTTTCACCGTTGACCCCGTGGACGCAGCCCCCTCCTCCGCTGCTGCCTGAGAAGGGCTCCACCTCCTGGCTGGGCCACCTCTTTGCTGGGCTGTGTTCAGCTGCATGGTCTGTCTGCTGGTGGGAATTGGCCAGCTTTGCATTCCAGAAATATCTGCTGGCCTTTCAGCCTTGGGGGCGGGGAGGTCCTCAGGGAGGCAGTCGGCTTATGGGAGCGACTCAGGCCATGGCAGGCAGGACCGGAAGGTCGTGCAGGTTGGCTGGCCCCTACCACCTTGCGTGGAGGTGGGGAGGACAGCAGGCCGGGGTGGGCAGGGCAGGGCTGGGCGGCCTCCTAGAGTCGGCTCCTGTCGGTCTGGACACACCAGTGGGTGGAGGGTGCCGTTCAGTGTCCCAGTGCCCAGCCCTGCCCGCCAAGGTTACCGCCAGTGGCTGTGGGCTGCAGGGGTCTTGGGATGTCCTGCCCTTGCCGTGGCCCCTTCCCTGCCCTTGCCGTCTCAGCGCCCCGGGGGAGTGGGGTGCAGCACGGAGGCGGGCGTCCTGGGCCCCATCAGGCCTCAGGCTGTCGCTCCGGCGGGCGGTGGGCGCCGTGCTCACACGTGTTCACACGCTCACGAGGCGCGCACCCCACTCCACGCAGGCGGCACTGGGCAGAGCGTCCCCCTCGGCCCCCGGCCTGCAGGTTGCAGCTTCCTGGGGCTCGTGCTCCAAGCAGACCCCATCAGGAGCCGGCACAGAGCGTTTCTGTTCCAGAACTCGCGTAGGAAGTTGGAATCAAGAACCTTCTCGCCCACGTGTGACCGGAGCGTTCCTGCAGTGGGGGCGGGGAGGAGCGAGCAGCGGTCCGGTCCAGCTGCCCCTACGCAGCTCCGGCCTCAGCACCGGCCGGGGTCTGTGACAAGGACAAGCCGACCTGCCTGTGCAGGGGGGGAAGGGCGCCGAGCGACCACGTGGTGAGGTCGGTGGGCGGTGCGGCTACTGAGAGCTCGGCAGCACCCGGCAAAGGGCAGCCATCGTCACAGCCCAGTGAACTGTTGGTGAGTTTTTAGGTGTCTTTACTTCCCCTTGCGCCAGGTGCTCTTCAGGAGGCGGGGCTGCGGAGCCCAGGTGCCGGGTCCAGGGGCTCCTCGTCCTCTTGAGCTAGGGCAGCCGGGCCCCGGGGCGGAGCCGGCCCCCGGCTCACCGACGGGGGCGCCAGGGGGCGCGGGGCCCCGGGGGCCTTTGAGGGGCCTTGGTGGGGAGGGTGTCCCTCCTGCGGTGACTTTAAAGGGAGCAGACCTCCTTCAGGTGAGGGGTGTGCATGGAGCATTTTGGGGAGCCGGCCAGGACAGGGTGAGGGCGGCCCAGATCCGTGAGTGGGGAAGGCCCGAAGCGCGACACTGCGCGGAAGAACAGCACAGGGAAACGCCAGGCGGCCGCGTCTCCACACGCAGAGCCACGGGAAGTCTGACCACCTGCCCCGGCGCCACCTTCGCCCGCCGGGCGGGTGAGAAGCGCCCTAGGAAACCCCCGAGTCCTGGGCAGACGGCCTGTTGCCGCTCTTCTCTGTGCTTTCAGCCGTCCCACAGCGTTCTCAGGAGTTTCCTTTTCCTCAGGGACCCTCTGTCTTCTCCTGGGCGGGGTGGGGTGGGCGGGGCTGCGCGCGGTGCCACGTGGCCCCTGGAGTGAGTGTGAGAAGCGTCCGCGCTTCCGCCGACTTTCCTTTGAAGGAGGCAGGCCTGTCACTGCAGCAAGTGGTGCTGCGTCACGGGGCAGAGGTCTGGCTGCTGGGGTGTGAATGAGCAGAAGGCACAAGGAGGTTGGAGTAATAAGGAAACATCCTTTGCCTCGAAGCGCCGCTGCTCCTCCTTCGTGGAGGCCCCTTCTCTGTCCTGCACCCCCGCCCCCTCGCCAAAGCCCCCGCATCATCTTTTGGGGCCGAGGCGGCTGGGGGCTCAGCCTGGAGGGGTCGGGAGTGGCTGCCCCGTGGGCGCTGGAGGTGACAGGAGGGCTGGCGTTGGCGTCGTGCAGAGCGACAGGCCTGTCGCGCCGTCCTCCTCTGGGCGCCAGGGCGCTGTGCGCCTGGAAGGTTTGGGGAACCCGAACAGTTCGCTGGTGTTGGGCTGTTCCTGTCACAGGCCAGCTTGTGTCCCCGACCTTGGCTCGTGAACGTGTGATAGAGATTTTGTTCTCTCTAAATGGTCCTGCAGGGGCTCCGGTGCGGTTTTGTTGGTGAGGAAAGCCCAAGAAGGTGAGGGCTTGGGGACGCACACCGCGGGTGAGCAGAGGGGTCTGTGTGTCCTGATTGCCTGTCATGCGACCCCGAGGCCGGACAGAAGCCACGTGCTGTCCCCAGAGTGGCAGCTTTCCGAGAGCTTGCAGGGCAGCTCCAGCCTCCGAGATTCACTTTACGTTGCGTCCAGTTGACTCCAAACAGCAGTGTCCTTTCTGTGTGGGGTGCGGTCTGACGTCCTTTTCCAGAAAGGTCTGAAAAGCTGGTTCTGACCTACGGGTTGATTCCATGAGTTGCTGACGGATTGGGCCACGATTTTCAGCGTAACAGCGTGGCCCGTGCATTTGGGGGGTGGTGGAGGTCAGTGAGAACAGCTGCAGCGGGAGGTGTGGAGGCGGAAATGCCAGCCCGGCCTGTTGGCTGAGCGGGGAGTGCGGGGCCTTGTGCTGCCAGCCCACACGAAACTGAGATGGGCTCATTGTTCAGAACTTGGAAAACGTATTAAAAACAGCCTGGAGAATGGAACATAGGCCTTCTGGAAATGATGGCTGAGTAGAGGCTTGTTTGTTCTTCTTTCCTCCCTGAAACTCACTGAAATGGACAAAAAGAATGAAAAATAGGGAACAGGATTTCGTCTACAGTGAATCTAAGGAATAGCCACAGCCAGAGGAGGGTGTCGGCCAGACAGGGAAGAGGAGCGAAAGCCAGAGCCTTGAGCGGGGCTGAGTTTTCGCCCAACAAAGAGGATTCTGGGGGCACCGTTGGCGACATTTACTTGGCAGAATGGGGTCTGTGGTTTGGGTGGGCCTTGGGGTAAACTGGATGTGGGTGGGCGTCCAGTGAGAGAGGAGCCGAAGGAGGAGGGCCCAGGTGCTCCAGCTGCATTTTCTACAAGATCCAGACTCTTAAGCGGTGAGATGGGGAAGAAGAGAGGGGAAACGGCACTCCCTGTGGACATGCCGGCCTCTGGCAGTGCCTTGGGCCGTGTCCCCCGTACTGTGGGGGCTAAGAGGCCTCCCAGTGAGTACCCTGGCAGGCAGGCAGACAGTCACCCGAAGGAGCTTTTGCAGGAGGGCCTTCGGATGCCCATGGAGCCGCCTTCCCACCTGCCCCTGCACAGCACCAGTCAAGGCTGAGGTCCCAGTGCTCACTCAGAAGCCAGGAGACTCTTGCTAGAGCCAGAGGGAAGAAACTTCTGGCCGTGTTTGGGGGTGTCGCTGTATGGCTCTTGAGAGAGCCAGCCTGAGCAGAGAGTATAGGGGAGAGCGGCCCAGGGCTTCCTAGAAACCGGACAACCCTACTGGGCACGGGTGCCAGCTGCTCTGTCTTAAGTTTGAGTTGGGTTTCCGTCACTTGCAACCAAAAAATGTCCTAAGACCAGAAACTCATTTCCAGAGCAGAACCTGTAAGGAAACTTGGCAGTCGAGCATTCTGGAGCCACACAGCTGGTGGGAGCTCCCCGGCTCAGTCCTGTCCCTGCCCTCATTTATAGACGACCAGTGATGAGGAGCCAGCGTGGGACCCTCATGTAGACACTGGAAGGAGGAGAAGGCAGCCCCGGGGGCAGGAGCGGAGCTCAGCTATGCACAGGAGGAGGAGGCTCCGGGGGACAGGACGCGGGGAGAGGGCGCTGGCAGAGCTGAGAAAGGAGCTGGGGGGCAAGGGCTGTGAGAGACGTGAGAGCCCCATGAGTAACGGCAGACAGCGGGGAGAGCAAGTCCCCAGGACAGCTGCTTGCAGAGAACATGCCGTGCGGCACAGAGAGGAGCAGACGGAAGACAGTTGGACGATGGTCAGGGGCTGCGAGGCACCGGGCAGCGGGGCGTCCAGGGGGTGCACGAGACCCCCTGGGGTGGAGGGGCTGGCTTTGCGCCTTGAGAGTCATGTTTGGGAAGAATTGGGCAGCACGGCCCAGGACCTGGTGCCCAAACGGAACCCTCTGTAAAGCGTGGACCGCCGCCCTCTGCTCAGGTTGGGGGGGTGGGATGTGCACAGGCGGGTGAGGGGGGCCCTCCAGGAGCTCCCTGGGCCGGGCCGGGCTGGGGCACCCGCGGGAGGAGGGTCCGTAAGTGCCGAGCGTCTGCATAGATTGGTGTTTCCAGGGGATATTTGTCTCTTCTCCCCATTTTACTTCCTTATTTGGTCATTTATTTATATCAGTATGGACTTAGGGATATCCTTTTATACTTTATAAAAGTTATAAAGTATAATAGGATGACTTTTTTTTCCCTCAAAATGTTCCAGCTTTGGTCATTGGGAGCTCTTTTATTTAGCACCATTGTCCCTTTGGCAGACCCCTTCATCGTGGGGTTTTGTTTTTGTCTTGTCTTCCTTACTTTCTGACTCTACGAGATCCTCCAGGATCATCTTTTTATTTATTTATTTAATTTATTTATTTTTGGCTGCATTGGGTCTTTGTTGCTGTGCGCGGGCTTTCTCTAGTTGCGGCAAGCGGGGACTACACTTCGTTGCTGTGCGCGGACTTCTCATTGCGGTGGCTTCTCTTGTTGCGGAGCACGGGCTCTAGGTGCGTGGGCTTCAGTAGTTGTGGCTTGCAGGCTCCAGAGCTCAGGCTCAGTAGTTGTGGCGCACAGGCTTAGTTGCTCTGCGGCTTGTGGCATCTTCCTGGACCAGGGCTCGAACCTGTGTTCCCTTGAATTGGCAGGCAGATTCTTATCTACTGCGCCACCAGGGAAGCCCCATCCTGAGAACGTCTGACTTCCTGAATTATTTTCTTTTAAGTTTGTGTACATTGAGGTTCACTCTTTTTGCTGTAAAGTTCTTTGGGTTTGAGAAATGCATATTGTCAGGTATCCACAATGGCAGTATTACACAGAACTGTTTTGCCACCATAGAAAATCCCCTGTGTTCCCCCATTCAACCATCCTCCCTCCTGAACCACTGGCATCCATGATCTTTTTACCAGCAATATAGTTTTGCCTTGTCCAAACTGTCTTAATACTTGGAGTCATACAGTATGTAACAGAACAAACATTTGAGGTCCTTAACTGTACAGTGTGCCAAAATAAATTCCAGGTGATTAAGGAGTGTGTTTATTCAGTAAATGTTTGATTGGTTACTGTGTATCAAGGATATAACAAAACAAACATCAAGGAGCTTACCCTCACCCTCTAGTGGGGAGCTCCCTCAAGGAGCTTACCCTCACCCTCTAGTGGGGAGACAGATGGCATATCACAGTTATAATGACTTATGTGTGTGACTATACTACAATCCACCTACACACAAGATGGAGTAACAGGGATCAGATTAGCCCTCCCACTCAAAACTAATAAAAAGCTGGGCGGCTTCCCTGGTGGCGCAGTGGTTGAGAGTCCACCTGCCGATGCAGGGGACACGGGTTCGTGCCCCTGTCCGGGAAGATCCCACATGCCGCGGAGCGGCTGGGCCCGTGAGCCATGGCCACTGAGCCTGCGCGTCTGGAGCCTGTGCTCTGCAACGGGAGAGGCCGCAACAGTGAGAGGCCCATGTACTGCAAAAAAAAAAAGCTGGGCAATAGTTGTGAAACCTTGGTTTTCTAAACTTTGGGTATGAGGCAACAAAGTACAGTGATGCTTACGGGATGAGAATCAAACAAGATGAGCCTGATGGTTTCTGCAGCTCTTACGGCATTCAGGGAGGTGTAAGGATGCAGAGCCTGGCAGATTCCCTCCATAAAGGAGCTGGAGCTTAGAGTCCAGGGCAACTAAGGGGACTAGAGTTTGCAGGCAAGAGCACCAGAGAGCAGAGAGCCGCAAACAGAGAGAACTTGGAGATGTGCAGAGGTCTCTCTTAGTTTCCAGCAGAGTGTTGATCAGTGTGTGGGTGTGGGGAAACCACCAGAGGCCAGGGAAAGAGTCACTCAGAAGGATTAAGGGGAACAGTACCCAGAGCTGTCACAACACTGTGAAGAGTGCCTTGTCATCAGGCAGACTGAAAACCTTCATAATTCACAGGGCACTGGGCAGGCTACTCAGTGGAGAACAGCTAGCCCTGGAATAAATGCTGCTATGTGCCCCTGAACAATCTTAGAAACAAGAACCAAAAGTTTCACACTGTTTCCAAGTAACTGTATCCCCAAACAAAGCTCAAAAATATTTATAGGAATACAAAAATATACAGCTTACAAAAGGGTAAAATTCACAGTGTCTGGCATCCAATCAAAATTACCCGGCATAGAAAGAAACAGGAAAATACAACTCATTAGGCAGTGAAAATTCAGTTGAAACGGATGCAAAACTGACTCAGATGTTAGATTTAGCAGACGAGGTCATTACAGCAGTTATTATAGCTACATTCCATATGTTCAGAAAGCTCAAGGAAATATTCGAGACTTTAAGTAGAGACCTGGTGAAGTAAAGACACTGAACTAAAGATCCAAACTAAACTTCTAGGTTTGACACTAAACTGTCTGAGTGCAAAACACACTGGATGGGATTAACAGCAGCTTAGATGTGGCAGAAGAAAAGATTAGTGAACGTGAAGACAAAGCAGTAAGAAGTATCCGAACTAAAACAAGGAGAGGAAAAGTACTAAGTAAACAATGTAAAAAACGAGCCTGACTGAGCTGAGGGGCAGTGGGCAGAGGCTGCGATTTGTGTAATTGGAGTTCCCAAAGAGGGAGGGAGGGACAGAAAAACTACTTGAAGAAATGATAGCCAAAAAGCCTCCAAGTTTTATGAAAACTATAAACCTAGATCAAACAATCTTAAACTCTGAGCACAAGGAACATGCACAGACACATCATAATCAAATTGCTCCAAGTCAGTGATGGAGAGAAAGGTCTTAAAAGCAGCCAGAAAGGGCTTCCCTGGTGGCGCAGTGGTTGAGAGTCCGCCTGCCGATGCAGGGGACACGGGTTCGTGCCCCGGTCCGGGAAGATGCCACGTGCCGCGGAGCGGCTGGGCCCGTGAGCCATGGCCGCTGAGCCTGCGCGTCTGTAGCCTGTGCTCCGCAAAGGGAGAGGCCACAACAGTGAGAGGCCCACGTACCACAAAAAAAAAAAAAAAAAGCAGCCAGGAAAAAAGACATAATTACACACAGAGGAGCAAAGATACAGACGATGGCAGATTTCTCTTTGGAAACAATGCAAATGAGGAGACAGTGGAGCACCGTGTGCAAGTGCTGAATGAAAACTGTCAGCCTAGGAGCCGACACCAGGGCAAACATCTCTAAAATGAAGGTGAAATAAAGATACTTCAAACATACAAAAGCTGAAAGACCTTCACAGCAAGAAATGTTATAGGAAATTCTTCAGGCTGCAGGAAAATGAAACCAGATGGAAATCTGGATCTATGTGAAAGAATGGAGAGTCCTGGAAACGTACCTACATGACTAAATATATGACACTTTCTTATTATTTAATTCTCTTTAAACGGCTTCTCTTTAAAACGCAATTATTTAACTAAAAATAATAATTTAGCAGAGTTGGGGGATTGTAACATAAATAGAATAAAATGTATGACAAAAATGGCACAAAGTCCAGGAGAAATGGCAAACTCATATGCTTGAAGAAATGTAATTTCACTTGAAGGCAGACTATGATCAATTAAATATGGATGCTGCAAACCCAGAAGCAGCTGCTAAAATAGCAAAACAATGAATTACATACAGCTGATAAGTCAACAGTGGAGATAAAATGGAATCACATAAAATAATTCAAAAGAAGGCAGAAAAAGAGGAAAAGGGGGAACAAAGAACAGATGGGAGAAATCAAAAACAGGAAACGAGGGTAGATTTCAACATAACCTTGTCAACAATCACAAATATAGATGGTTTAAACACCCCAATTAAACAACAGAAATTGTCAGATTGCATAAAAAAGCATGACCCAATTATATGCTGGCTTACCCAATAAACCCACTTTAAATATCAAGAGACAAATAGGTTAGTAAAAGAAAGGCAAAAGAGATACAATTCTAATGCTAATGGAAAGAAAGCTGGACCTGCTGTAATAATATCAAATGTACTCATTCCAGAGCAAAGAAAACTACCAGGTAAAGATATTTCATAATGACAAAGAGGTTAATTCCTCAAGAAGATACTATAAATTTTATGTACTTAATAACAGAGCTATGAAACATGTGAAGCAAAAACTTAGAGAACTGCAAAAAGAAATAAGCAAAGCCACAATTGTAGTTGGAGCTCTCAGTACCCTTTCCTCAGTAACTGATGAACAGGTAGACAGGAAATTAGTGTTGGCACAATCAACCAAGTTGATGTGATTGACATATATAGAGCATTCCACCCAACAGCATGTTTTTTCCAGTGCATATGAAATATTTACCAAGATAGACCATTTTTCTGCACCATAACTTTTTTGACAAAAACGGTACTAAATTAGAAACTATAAAAATATCTGGGACTTCCCTGGTGGCACAGTGGATAAGACTCCGTGCTCCCAATGTAGGGGGCCTTGGTTCGATCCCTGGTCAGGGAACTAGATCCCACATGCATGCCGCAACTAAGAGTTCGTGTGCCACAACTAAGGAGCCCGCCTGCTGCAACTAAGACCCAGCGCAACGAAATAAATAAATTTTTTTTAAAAAATCTGGAAAATCACCAGCTATTGGGAAAGTAAATAACATACTTCTGTATAATCCACGAGTCAAAGGAGAAATCAAAAGGGAAATGAGACAGCTTTTGAACTGGGTGAAAATGAAAATATAGCATATCAAAATTTGTGGGATATCATGATAGCTGTCCTCTAAAGGAAATTTTATAACACTAGATGCCTAAATTGGATTAAAATTTTAAAAGGTCGCAAATCACTGAACTCAACTTCTACCTTAAATTAGAAAAAGAGCAAATTAAATCCAAAAGAATGCAAAGAAAGGCAGTAACAGATCGAAGCGGAAATTAATCAAACAAAGCAGAAAAATAATAGAGAAAACTGATAAAGTGAAAAACTGTCTTTTTTTAAACAAGGTCAATAAAATTGACAAGCTTTTGACCAAACTGATTAGGTAAAAGAGTGAAAAGACATAAATTACCTATATCAGGAACAAAAGAGATGGCATCACTACAGATTCTATTGATCTTAAAAAGATAATATAGGAATACTATAACAACTTTATGCCGATAAATTCAACAGCTTGTATGAAGGGGACAAATTCGTTGAAAGAGAAAACCCACTAAAGCTCACTCAAAAAAATGCATGCCCAGATGGTTTCACTGGTGTATTCTACCAAACATTTGAGGAAGAAATAAGAGCAGTTCTGCACAGGCTCTCCCAGAAAATTGAGAGGAGGGAATATTTCTCAAATCATTTTACTTTGCCAGTATTATCTTGATACCAAAACCAGACAGACATCACAAGAAGAATAAAGTACATATGAACATAGACGCAGAAATTCTTAACAAAATTTTATTTTGTTAACAATATATGATATCTACAGTATATATACGTGATACAACAATATATAAAAGTGATAATATATCCTGACCAACTGGGATTTGTCCAAGGAATACAGGGTTGGTTTAACATTAGAAAGTTAATCAATGGAATTCAACTATTCTGAAACCAAAAAAGAAAAATCATGTGATCATTTCAATACACATGGTAAAAACGATTTACAAAATCCAACATCCATTTCTGATTTTTAAAAAACCCCGCAAAGTAGGAATTCAAGGAAATTTCTTCAACCCAACACAGGACATTTATGAAACATCTGCAGTTAACATCATACTTTTTTAAAAATAAAATTAATTAATTTTTATTTTTAGCTGCGTTGGGTCGTCATTGCTGCGCATGGGCTTTTCTCTAGTTGCAGCGAGTGGGGGCTACTCTTCGTTGCTGTGTGCGGGCTTCTCATTGCGGTGGCTTCTCTTGTTGCGGAGCACGGGCTCTAGGCATGCGGGCTTCAGTAGTTGGGGCACACGGGCTCTAGAGCACAGGCTCAGTAGTTGTGGCTCATGGGCTTAGCTGCTCCGCGGCATGTGGGATCTTTCTGGACCAGGGCTAGAACCCGTGTCCTCTGCATTGGCAGGCAGATTCTTAATCACTGCGCCACCAGGGAAGTCCAACATCATACTTAATAATGATACACTGGCTGCTTCCCCTGAGGTCAGGAATGAGGCAACTGTGTCTGCTCTTACCCATCCTAGTCAGCATCTTGGCGGAGGTTCTAGCCAGGGCAGGGAAGGAAGAAAAAGAAAACGATCCATATTGGAAAGGAAGAAGTAAGATTGTCTGTGTTCACCATGGACATGATCATCTATGTAGAAATTCTAATGAAATTTTTGAAAGGGAGGGCACAATTAGAGCTAATGAGTGAGTTTAGCAAGGTTACCAATATGCAAAACCAAATGATATACTTCTGTACTAGTAACGAACAATTGGAAATTGTTTTATATTTTGTCAGTGTCCAAAATATGAAATACAGGTAAATTTGACTAAATATGTACAAGATCTCTGCACTAAAAAAAAAAACTACAAAACATTGCTGAGAGAAACTAGTAACTAATGGAGAGATATGCCCTGTTCACAGATTTGAAGACTCAGAATTGTTACGATGTTAGTTTTCTTCATGTTGGTGTGTAGATTCAATGCAACTGCAAGCAAAATCATAGCAGCGTATTCTGGAGAAACTGAGAAGCTGATTCTGAAATTCATGGAAATGCAGAGGACCTAGAATAATTAAAACAACTTCAAAAATGAAGAGCAAAGTTGGAGGGCCAACACTACCTGATTTCAGACCCAGGGCATTTGGGTCACCAAGATGAGGTGTCTGTCCCAGATTGGAGAAGGCTTTCTGGAGGAGGTGATGCCTTAGCTGGCACTGAAACGAGGAGGGCAGCCAGATGCACTGGAGGTGGTAGCCTTGCTACTCTGGACCAGCCGGGAAGGATGGCAGATGAGTGAAAGGAGGTGCACAGGTTGAAGACATTGATTTGAGTTGTTCTCAGGTTATGGTAGGTACCTTTTACTTTTTCCAAAATTTCACTAACAGTGCTGTTTTAATTTTTTTTTTTTTAATGTTGAAGCCATACAAGAAGGTCACCTATTTTCTCTTAGACAATTAGAAAGACTTGTTTCATTTTTTTAAAAATGGCATTCCTGGCAGTCTTAAGCATTCCTAGTAGTTGTGTGGACATTCCAGTGGTAGGAAGGAGGCGGCTGGGAGCCTGTTCTCCAGCCCAGGAACTGAGTGGAGTCGGGTGGGACACGGGACGTCACAGTCCTTCTGGGCCTTAGAGAAAGTGTCTGATTGGCCAGCAGCGTCCCTTGCCCCTGGGCCCCTGGCTGGCTGTGTTCCTGTGCCCTGAACCTGCTTTCTCCCCGCCTTGATTAGCACAGATAGGATCTGTGGACCGGCCTCTTCCAGAGAGGGCCTCGTCCTGAGAGCAGCTGGGGTGAGGACGGAGCAAGGGGCAGGTGTCCCCTGCTGCGCTGCCGCTGCTCCACAGTTCTTCAGACGTTTTACTGAAGTGAGGCTTGTGTACAAGAAGGTGTGAAAGCGATGGCATGGAACTCCAAGAGCTTTTTTTTTTTTTTAATTAATTAATTTATCGGGTCTTAGTTGCGGCATGCAGGATCTTTCATTGCGGCGCACAGGCTTCTCTCTTCTCTAGTCGTGGCGTGCAGGTTTTTCCCTTCTCTAGTTGTGGCACGCGGGCTCCAGAGCATGTGGGCTGTGTAGTTGTGGCGCGTGGGTTCCAGAGTGCGTGGGCTCTGTAGTTTGCAGCATGCAGGCTCTCTAGTTGAGGCGTGCGAGCTTAGTTGCCCCATGGCGTGTGGGATCTTAGTTCTCTAACCAGGAATCGAACTTATATCACCTGCATTGGAAGGCGGATTCTTTACCACTGGACCACCAGGGAAGTCCCTCTGAGAGCTTTTATAAACCAACACATGCTCAATGGTGGCCCTGCCCCTTGGGCCCACCTGTCACTACCCGGCATAGAGGCGGCTGCTTCTGATGCGCCCGCAGAGGCTCGTGTGCCTGATGTTGAACGTATGTAAGCGGGTCGTGCTGGTGACTCCAGTGTGTCAGGCTCCTGTCTCTCACCCCCCGGAGCCACACCCAGGTTGTTGGGGGCAACTCCCGTGTGCCGTTTCTGCTGTGATGGACATGTGGCAGTTTCCCGTTGCGGCTGCTGGGAATGCCATGTGCAGGCCTTGGTGAGCGGCCATGTGGCCTCTGCTGGCCCCTGTTGCTGGAAGTGGCAGCCCTGGATGACCGGGCCTCGGGGTACGTGCAGCCTAGGAAGTGCTGCCAACCCGGTTGGAGGGTGTTAACCTGCGCCCTGCAGCCGGTGAGCCTCCACACTCTGGCCAGCGTGGGGTAGGTTTACTTTTCCATGCTAGCCATTCTGGTGGGTATGCTAGTGTCCCATTATGCTTTTAATTAGCATTTCCCGATGACTAATGAGGTGGAGCACACTTCTGTGTGTTTATTAGTCATTTAGATTTTTGTTGTTGTTAAGTGTGCTTTCAAGTCTTTTGTCCTTTTTTCTGTTGATTGTGGTTTTTTCTTATTTATTTCTAGGAATCTTTTATATGTTCTGGAAATAGTCCTTTGTCAGATCAGATCATGTACACACATTTATGTAATGTATTATACATATTCTATGCATCAAATATCTCCTACCCTGGATTTGTCTTTTTTCTTGTAATGGAAAAAATGTATTTTTAAAAATTTTATTCATCTTCCCTGGTGGCGCAGTGGTTGAGAGTCCGCCTGCTGATGCAGAGGACACGGGTTCGTGCCCCGCCGGGAGGATCCCACATGCCACGGAGCGGCTGGGCCCGTGAGCCATGGCCGCTGAGCCTGTGCGTCCGGAGCCTGTGCTCCGCAACGGGAGAGGCCACAGCAGTGAGAGGCCCGCGTACCACAAAAAAAAAAAAAAAGAAAAAAAATTATCGAAGTCTAGTTGATTTACAATGTTGTGTTAATTTCTGCTGTACAGCAAAGTGATTCAGTTATACATACATATACATTCTTTTTCATATTCTTTTCCATTACGGTTTATCACAGGATATTGAATATAGTTCCCTGTGCTCTACAGTAGGACCTTGTTGTTTGTCCGTTCATTATATACTAGTTTGCATCTGCTCATCCCAAACTCCCAGTCCTTCCCTCCCCCACCCCACTCCCTTTGCCAACACAAGTCTGTTCTCTATGTCTGTGAGTCTGTTTCTGTTTCGTAAATAAGTTCATTTGTGTCGTATTTTAGATTCCACATACAAGTAATATCATATAGTATTCGTCTTTCTCTTTCTGACTTACTTCGCTTAGTATGAAAACCTCTAGGTCCATCCATGTTGCTGCAAATGGTATTATTTCATTCTTTTTTATGGCTGAGTAATATTCATAATGGTAAAAATTTATAAGCAGAGGTTCTTAATATTATAGTCCAATTTGTTAATGTTTCTTTTGTGGTTAGTGACTTTTTGTGTCTGATTATGTGCACCTACTCTAAAACCACAAAGATTTTCTTCTACATTTTTTCTAAAAGTCTTACTGTCTTACTTTTAATGTTCAGAGCATCGGTTTACCTAGAATTGAGTTTAATGTATTGGATGAGGTAGGGGTCAAGGTTCATTGTTTCCCATGTGTAAATCGTGTCAATGCAGCACCGTTTTTGAACAGCCCCCTCTGTCCTAAATCTGGGGGCCTTGCGTGAGCATAGGTCACCCTTGAGTGTTGCCCAGTCCAGGGCGTGCCATGTGCCTCTCGCTTGTGGACACGGTAGCGCCAGGTGGGTAGTGCTGTCCCAGTTTACCAGGCAAGAACACTGCGCTCAGAGGGGGCAGGCAGCTTGCCTAGGGCCAGCTGGCGAGGGGGTCTGGATGCCTTCCGCGGGAGCTGGGCAGGGGCCGGATCCCGGCTGGGGTTCAGGGTCGGGCGCGGGAAGCTCAGAAACCAGCTCAGGCAGGAGTGTGCCTCATTCTCGCCGGCAACCTGGGCCATGAGGGGCCAGGCTGGGAGTTACTGTTTCCCCAAAAACCCAAAGGCGTAATAATGTGGCTTCTGCTCTCAGGGCAGTGCCTTCCCAACTGATGCTGAGGGCATCCCACTGACCTGCTGACATCCGTCCACCTGGGTCCTCAGGAAAAGGCTGCCATGTCCCAGACACAGGACTACGAATGCGAGAGCCATCATGCTGGCCTGCAGGAGTCTCGGATTTCAGGATCTAGCACGAGGTAAGGAGGCTGACTTACCGGGGGCCAGCGAAGCAGGAGGCTTTTCCTCGGCTTGTCAGTGCTGTCCTGCCTGCTTACGCGGCCTGGCCCCACTCTCCTCCACGAGGAGCTGTGTGCTGCCTTCTGAATCTGGCTTCCCCGGGGAGCCCCACCTCCTGTCGCCAACGGGCTGCAGAGCAGGGAGGGCTTCTCCTCAGGCAGTGGACACCCTGCCAGCCCTCAGCTGGCCCCAGCCCCTTAGGCGCCCTCTGGGCATCCACGCCGAGGCAGGCGGCCACAGATGATCCCTTGCGTTTTTCTAATTTATGGCTTTATTTGGGAATAATTCCACAAGTTGCACGAACAGGAAGAGTGCTCTGAGCATCAGGTCCCCTTACCCAGATTCATGCTCTGTGCCGCCGTGCGGCCGCTGCTCCTTCCACAAACAGCACTGTTCTAAGTCATCTGGGGGGACACGCACATCCAGCCCCGTGTTTGCTCACATTTCCCGGGACAGGAGGTGCCATGCGTAAATCTGTGCGATGGGAAGCACCCGCCTCCTGTACCGCCTGGTCCGGCTTTGGCCGCTGGCTCCTTGCCGTCCTTCGTGGCATTTCCGGCCCCTCCAGCGCCGCTTACCCTGAGTCTGCTGCACGTCTCCCATGTGTTTTGTAACCTGGAAGATTTCCACTTCCTTCCTCTGCCTTTTGCGACATAGACACTTTTTCAGGGAAGCCACCCTTGTTAAGATAGAGCACTCGGGTTGGTTTTTCCGATGATTTCTGAGCAGAGTGTGTCCTTCTGCAGGTTCACGGCCACCTGCCGCCCACCTGCTCTCGGGACAGTGGCTGTTTGCCTCGCTGCCGTGCTCCTCGCTAGTTTCGGGGCTTCCATCGTTTCTTCCTTGACCTGGGCCTTCCTGGGATGGGTGCAGAGCTGGATGCCTTCCCAGCCACGGCACCCGGTCCACACCGGCCGGCCAGTGCCCCCCGTCCCTCGGGAGCAAGAGCCCCTCCTCCCCATTGCTGTGTTCACTTGTGGATCCCTCTCAGTGTGGAATCACAAATTCCGTTCTGTTTTCCGTGGTTTGTCGTTCATCCCGCACTTAATGACTTGGTGCTCTGCTGCACCAGATGGGCCGGTGAGACTCCTCCAGGCTGGCCCCGGTGATTCCTGGTGGCTTCCCCGGGCTCCAGGTGCATCCTGGGCTGCCTCCCCCCACCCCCCGTCAGCTGTTTCTCTGAGGGGCCCCGTTCCCCAAGGGAAGACTAGGGTCTAAGGACCAGCGCGTGTGCTCGTGGCTCCTGCGACATGTGTGTTTCTTGACCCTTTAAGCAGAAGGGCTAGAAGCGCTGAGTTTGCGTGGACATCTCCGGTCGCGGCCAGCCCTTTTCTGAGGCGTTTTCTTGCCGCCTCCTGTACCACCGTCCGGCGCCTCCCCCAGGAGAGCCCTGTTTCCAAGAGCCGCAGTGCAGTGACTTGTTTGTTCAACTGACAGTGTGTCCAAGATGGTTTCAAAGTCGCTTGCCCATTCTGCTACAGAGTTGTGTGTGTGTGTGTGTGTATACATACACATACTAGAAGAATGTCCAGGACTTACTTGCACGCCCACACGCACCCTCCACCCAGCAGCAGGATTGGAGTCTGGTCCTGTGCTCACGCTGGGTTAGCTTTCTTCTCCCTCTTGTGGTTATGATGTCCATCGAAATACAGTTGCGTCCATTTGTTTCAGTTTGAGGTTTTTTCCTCTCCCTTTCCATTCTTATTGATTTAATTTTGTTTTGGTTTGTTTTGGTTTGGTGTTTTTGGCCGTGCCCACTCGGCTTATGGGATCTTAGTTCCCCAACCAGGGATTGAACCTCGGCCCCCGGCAGTGCAAGCGCCGAGTCTTAACCCCTGGACTGCCAGGGAAGTCCCTAATTTTGTTTTTTAAACATGTAGACCCTTAACATGCTTTCAAAAGACAAAACTATTCAAAAGGTATTTATATTCAGAGAAGGGCCCCCCCAGACCTTCTCCGTGCCCCCACCTACCTCTTGCAGGAGGTTTTCTGGTTTATCTCCTGTCTGTTTGGAAGGGTGCCCTGGACCTCGGGCCCCAGAGGTGGCCCCCTTTGCAGCCTCCTGGGTGTGGGGCCACCAGCCCCGTGTTCAGTGTAGGTGTTTCCAGTTAGCGTGCGCTTAGGAGTGATGCTGCGGTGAGCGCCTGGTGCTGGTGTCATTTTGTTTTCTTGGCGGTGTGTCTTCAGGGAGATTGGGGTAGGGGTTGCTGGGCTGGAGATGTCGTGCCCTCACGTGCCCTCCGTGGGGCCCTGCACGCTGCCCCTGTCTGCCCACAGCCTCCCCCAGGACAAGGCTCGGGCCTGGATGTGGTGCCCGGGGGCTGGGGGCCTCAGTGTGGCGTGGGTTTTATGTCTGATGCCAGGTGAAGTGGGACATTTCACATATGTTATTTACTTTAAGAATTGTCTGTTCTTATCTTTTGCCCATTTTCCTGTAGTATATTTGTTTTCTTCTTGTTCAAATTTGTGTATTAAGTATATGAACCTTTTATCTGTAATTTATATTGCAAATATTTAATATTCTCACCAAATGTGTCCAGAGAAACCAAATCTTTTTTACTTTACAGTTTACTGATCTTTTTTTAGTGCCTCTGGGTTCTTAGTCACTGCTAGGCGTGAGCTTCCTGTGTGTGGCGTGAGCTAGGGGCCCTCCTGCCCAGAGACCTCAGCTTCCAGCACCGTTTGCTGGAGAGGCTGCCCCTTCCCTGGTGAACGGTCCTGCCTCTCCTGTTGCAGGATCCCCACTGCAGGGGCTGTGCTTGGTCACACTCGCCTCCCTTTCACCTGGCAGATTGCCTGGGACATACTTGGCACTCGTGAGGCTCTCCCCAGAAGTAAGTATTTGAACAGGTCATTGTCTGCGAGCAAACATCTCCAGGACTTGGAGGAAAGAGGCAGGTCGTCCACGCAGCCTGCCCGGCACACGGGGAGAGGCCGCGGCCGGCGTCACACCCAGGAAACCACTGTCATCTTGAATCTTCCGGCTCTTTCCCCAAATGGCTCATCCTTTCCTACCCAATTCATGTTAGACATCGTCGCCATATAAATCTCCCTCGAACTCCATTCCGATGGTGTGGGTGGGTCACTGGGATCAGTCTGTCACCCACAGGTCCCGACCCTTCCTACTGGCAGGGAGGCCCCAGAGTGGTTTCAGCACCATTCCTCCGTCACGCGCCCGGGACCAAGCATCCTTAGGCTCTGCAGCCCGCACTGACCGGGCGCATGTGGACGGCATTGCCCTTGGGGACGAGGTCTGCCGTCCCCTCCCTGCCATGGGGTCTGCTCGGGCCCCGCTCACTCCCGGCCCTCCCCAGGCTCCAGGTTCCAGCACATTCTCTGCCCCCTGGGTCACCGGGGGACTTGGTTCAGTGCCGTAGGGAGCGCCCAGAACGTTCTTCTGAAAAGGCGGGGTCCTGTCCACGTGCACACAGGGATGCGCTGAAAAGGGAACAGATGCTTTTCTTTATTCAGAGAGAATTATCGCCATTAAATTCATTTGAAAACGTATTTAGAGCAAAAATAAGAATTGTTATCGCTTCCCTGGGGCTCAGAGTGTTCAGTCCAGTGCTTTCTGAGCATCTCTGCTGGGTCAGCCCTTCCTTGGGTAGCGTCTGCCTTTTGTCCCAGCCAATCCCATGCCGCGGCCCAAGGGGAGAGCAGGTGGTCAGCTGAGGGCAATCTCGGAACCTCAGGGCTTCCTTCCTCACGGGGGGCAAGACCCCCAGCTCCTGGCCTGGTCTCCAGGCGCCTTCGTCCCTGGGTGGGGGGCGCCCTTGGGCAGTGCCCGCCAGCTTCCAGGCCTGGTGGCACCCGTATCCTCTGGCTGAATGCGGGGTGCCCGCTGAGCTGCGCTGGTGGTGCCTTCCATCCTAGGGCAGTGCAGGCGGCCGCAGCTTCCTGGTTAAAAGTACCCAGTTCCCAAAGTTAGAAGTTTGCTCCGTCTTCTGTGTGGACAATGGCCAGCTGGCAGCCGTGGGGATCCAGGCAGGAGGGGGCGAGAGGGCCACACACTCCCACCAGGCAGAGAAGCAGGGCAGGGGCTGGTCCACTCAGTGCCGCGAGGTCTGCCTCCTGTCCTCTACGTCTAGGACACCGCCTCACGGCCTCTGTCCCTCGAGCCGTCTGACCCCAGGATGCCCACCCAGCCCTGCTCCTCCCGCTACAGGATGGCAGGTTAGGCAGCGGTCCCACATGGGCAAGCACGGAGCCCCAGTGCCCTCCCCCACTGAGAGCTGCCCAGTGTGACCGCAGGTAGAGGGAGACGGGAGGGCTGCAGCTCGGAGAGAGAGGGGGCTCGCTGGCTGGATGACCGGGGCGGGGGGAGGCCGCTCAGACGTGGCCAAGCCCCACAGGCCGGGCCCACTTCGCACTTCCTCCTCCAGCCCTGAGGATCCTCAGGGCTCACCCTCTTTCCTGCTCCCTCCTCATCTCCTGCCCTCTCTGTGGCTCCACACCATTCAGCTGCTGTGCCCTGCCCACTATGCTAGCCTGCCTTGGCTCAGCTGGCTTCCAGAAATGACTGTGGACCCAGAAAGAGGCCCTAGAGCCTGCAGGGCTGCTGCGGGGCAGGTGTGTGTGTGTGTGTGTGTGTGTGTGTGTGTGCGCGCACGCGCGCATCCTAAGCGATCGGGGCTCATCGCCCGCAGGACTGTGCCTTCTCTCCTCCCCACCCCGAGCACTTCTGGCCTCAAAGAGTAGGGATGAGGTCCCCAGAGAAGGATGAGGTCCTCAGAGAAGGGCTGCCCCCTCAGCCCTCTGCCAAAGCCCACCCGGGCTCCCAAGTGAAACACTGGGCCTTCAGCAGAGGGCAAGGAGCAGGGTGCCTCCCCTTCTCTCCGAAGCCCTGGAAGCTCCTGACCATCCCAGTGGTGGTGAGGACCAGGCCCATCACAGAGTCCAGGAACAGTGGACACGGTGTATCCACACTGCAGAGCAGTGCATGGCATTTAAGATTGTTGTTTGTTGAAACTTGGAAGCAGAATAAAAAATGCTCCTTGTCAGCTGGAGCACACCCTGATATCAAACACATCGGCATCATAATTGCCTTGTTCTGAATAGCTTTAATTTACACTCTTAAAAAAAAAAAAAAGGCCTTACGTGGATGGAAGCCCTCTCCTTGGGGTGGGGGGTGCTCGGGGGGCCTCTGGGGGGAACCATCTCCGCTTTTGACTGGGACATCACAGTAATGGTGGAGTCCGCTTCTGCTACAAGTGGTGGTGGCCTGCAGTGGCTGCTGCTAAGAGCAGCCAGGGCATCCTGTAGGGACCTGGCGCCTGGCTGGGAGGAGTGTGGGCAGTGCACGTGGTCCAGGCCCTCTGAGGACAGGGGGCCAGAACCCAGGGCATCCCTAATGTGGGGCAGCAGAGAGGGGCCAGTTGGAAGACCCCCAGCACTCCCAGGGCTGGGCTCTAATGAGCGTGTAGAAAATCAGAAGTGGGTGGAATTTAGGTATGCGTCAGTTTTATAAGTGACAAGATTTCTTGCTTTTGAGGCAGGCAGATACGAGGACGGGTCTGGTGCTGGATGAGCCATTCTGCAGACACGGGACGCAGGGCGGGTGGCCCGATGGGCAGGATATTCGCACCCTAACGCTGCCACCCCTCTCCCCAGGCTGGAGTGGGTGGAGATCATCGAGCCGCGCACGCGCGAGCGCATGTACGCCAACCTGGTCACGGGCGAGTGCGTGTGGGACCCGCCGGCCGGCGTGCGCATCAAGCGGACCAGCGAGAACCAGTGGTGGGAGCTCTTCGACCCCAACACGTCGCGCTTCTACTACTACAACGCCACCACCCAGCGCACGGTGTGGCACCGGCCGCAGGACTGCGACATCATCCCCCTGGCCAAGCTGCAGACCCTGAAGCAGAACACCGACTCCCCCAGAGCCTCGGCTGAGAACAGCCCTGGGAGGGGCAGCAGCGTCAGCCACGACGGCAGCACCAGCTCGTCCCTGGAGCCTGAGCTGGATGCCGGCGACAAGGTGCAGGAGAGTCTGGGGCGAGCCAGCCGGCAGGCCGTGCTCGGGGCGGTGAAGGAGGAGAGCGGCAGGTGAGGCCGGGCCGGACGCGGGGGGGGGGGGGGGGGGGGGGGGGGGGGGGTGCAGGGGCCGCAGCAGCCTGCCTCCTGGGGGTGGGACCCTGTGCAGGGAGGAAGGGCCGCGCTCCCCTGCCCCCGCTGGGGGCGGAGCCAGGCAGGCAGCGAGGGCTGCTCTGCTCCGCTCTCCGGACCTGTTGCCTGGGGCTGGAGGTTACCTGGCCACTTGTGAAATTGCTTGGTGTTTTCCGCGGGGGGAAGTGCGAGCGTGGCTTCGGGACCCCAGAGCCGCCCCGCAGAGTACGCGTGAGGAGGGGGTGCCTTCCCCAGGCAGACCAGCCTGTTGGTCTTGGGACACAGGGGATCCGTACCGAGCACCCCTGCCCAGGCTTGACAGATCTCGCCAGCATCCTGGGAGGGAGGTGAGGGGGTCACCCCCGTTTTACAAAGGAAGGACTGAGGTGGTCGGCAGCGAGGCGGAGCCCAGGAAGTGTCTGCCCTCTCCAGCGGCCGCCGTGGCTGTGTGCAGAGGTGACTGTTTGCCTTCCTGGACTGGAGAACAGTGAGGGCTTCCACCTCCTGCTGGCCTCGCACATCTGGACATCTCCCCCCAGCTCTTGTGGCCCACCGCAAGTGCCCAGAGCCTGAACCCCGAGTACCCATTCCCCAGAGGCTGCACCCTGAGTGCCTGTACCCCAGAGCTGGCACTCAGCAGACCCTGTCCCAGGCACCAGAGTCAACCCCAGGGCCCAGCTCTCAAGGGACCAAGTTCAGAAGGAATGGCCGGATGACATGTGCCCTGGAGAAAACAAACAGGCTGGAAGTTACCAGAAAGAAGCCAGGGAGGATCTGGAATTGGAGGCTGGGCGGGGACAGGGTGGCGGGAAAGGGGCTGGGCAGGCTGGGTTTCACTTGGGGACGGTGGAAATCACAAAGCAGTCGAAAGCGGACTTACACGGTGGGTCCATTTGCTTCTTGGAGAATGACGTGTCAGGCCAGGGACGGTGGCGTCGTGTGCCGAGGGTGCAGGGGGCAGACGGCAGAGGTGGACGTGCTGCTCCCGTACAGCACGGGGAGCCAGACACGCGTGGGGGCAGGTCAGTGTGGGTGCTGGACACACACTGGGCTTGGGCCAGAGCCTGAGGCCTGGGCAGGTGGGCCTGAGTGGGCTGACAGGCTGTTTGGGAGCTGTCCTCAGGAGCCAGAGCCCGGGATGAGCCCCAAGGAGGAAGCCAACGGCTGAGTTTTAAAAGCAGCCTTCCGCCCTTCTGGTGTCCTCCTGGAGCTCAGGCGGGCTGCTTCCTCCCGCCCCGCGGATCTGACAGGCTTTGGGCTCAGATACCCTCCCGTTTGCCTTGGGTTGTGGTGGGTGCTGGCTCATCCTTGCAGTCAGGTGAAGGGACTGGACTCTTTAGGATTCTGTTGACCAACGTGCCCAGCACCCATGCCCGCTATCTGTGGGTGGGAGCGTCTTCTTTCCAAAAGTGTCCTGGATGCAGCGTGGTGACTCGGATCATGGGGTCGGCTTGGGATCGGGTTCCCACAAGAAGCCCTGTTCGGACATGGATTAGAATTGTGTTGGATTTGTGAGGAGTAGGCACCATCCCATAGATGAAGGTGGTGCATTTTACACTTCTTTCCACAAAGGACTTGCATATTTTTTAAGGTTTATTTTTAGGTACCATATAAAGTCATATGATCGTTACTGGTATACAGATGTGAATTTTTATTTGTCAGGCCTGTTTTTACACTTTTGCTGCACTCTCGTTAGTTTCAGTAGCGTTCACCGTCTGTCTCCTGGGTTGCCTGTGACACTGGCCAGCTGTCCCAAGCTGGTCAGCACTTTCACAGTGAGGATGAACCAGGGAGGGCTTGTCCCTGTGCTCAGGCTGCTGGCCTGCTGTCCGTGTAGCACTGTGACACTGGCCATCAGGCTGCAGCATCCCTTTCTATTATTAGGCTTTTTAGCACGAATGGATGCGGAACCTCATCCAGTACATTTTCTTAGTCTATTGTGGGTTGAATTTTGTCCCCCAAAAGATATGCTGAAGTCCTAATTCTCAGCACCTGTGAATGTGGCCTTATGGAGAAATAGGGCTGCTGCAGACATCATTAGTTAAGCTGAGATGGGGCCACACTGGAGTGGGCAGGGCCCTAGTCCCGCAGGACTGGCGTCCTTGCAAGAAGACAGAGATGCACAGGACAGTACCCTGACGGCCGAGGCAGAGGCTGGAGCCCTGTGGCCGCAAGCCGAGGGACGCCAAGGATGGCTGGCCCCACCGGAAGCTGGATGGGGGCCTGAACAGACTCCCTCCAAGCATCCAGGAGGAGCCGGCCCTGTTGGCACCTTGATCCTGGGCTTCCAGCCTCCAGGACCGTGAGAGAGTGAATGTCTGTTCTTCTAAGATGCCCACTTTGTGGTGCTGGCTCCAGCAGCCCCAGGTACTGCTACAATCAGCATTTTTAAACAGTCGTCTCTCTCATGTGTTCCTGGGATACTCTGTGTAATTTTTAAAATAGATTCAGGTGGCGAATATTTTATTTAGGATTTTTTTCCATGTTGATAAGTGAAAATGGCCTATACTTTTCTCCTTGTTCTGTGTGTCCTGGCTTTTTATCAACAGTGGGAGTGTTTCCTCTGAAACGTTGTCTGTTGCTAGAGTGTCTGGCAAAGAGCACTTGCTCACCAGCCAGGCCTGTGACCTGTGTGGATGGAGTTTTAACTACTGGTTTCTGTTCTTTACTGCTTGCAGGAATGTTCAGGCATTTACTGTCTGAAATCCTATTTTATGGAGGCCTGCTGATCTAAGTCACAGACACGTTGGCATAGGCTGCCCTGGTGCTGCCCCTTCCTTCGTGGACGTTTGTCCACACAGGCCCTTCGCTCCTGCTGCCGTGCCTTGTGCCGGTTCCTGGAGGATTTCCACGTGCTCAGTCTTCTCAGAGAACCCGCTCCGGCTCTCAAGAGCCTCTTTTGTGTCACTGCTCTTCTATTTATTGGACATTTTTTTCTCAGTCTTTTACTAACTTATTGTTGGAAACTTAACTCATCTATTTTCACTGTTTCTTCTGAAATGGACTTTTGAAGTCATGCTTCCCTCAGCATACTACTTTAGTTTTATTACACAACTCTTGGTATGTAGAATTTTCATTGTTCAATTTTAAATATTTTCTACTTTTAACTATGATTGCTTTTTTGGCTCGTTTGTAATTTAGAAATGTCTTAATTTCCAAAACTGTAGGTTACTCTCCATTCTTGTTCTTGATTGTGAACTTAATTTCATTTTGGCCAGAAAGCATGATTTTTTTTTTGAGACTTGCTTTGTAGCCTAAATCCTGAATTTTTATAAATGATTTCAGGACTACTTCAAAAATTTCTGTTCTCTGTTAGGTCCAGGGTTCTCTGTGTGTTTGTTAGGTCAAATCTGTTAATTGTGTCAAATGAGTTTCTTACTAATTTTTTGTCTACCTGATGTATCGATTCTGAGAGGTAAAGTCTCCCCACACGGTGGAACTGGTCTGTCCCTCCTTCCTGTCTCGCACTGCTGCTGCCTGTGTGCGGAAGCTGTGGGCCGGCTGCATATGGATTTGCAGTTAGGTGTCCTGATGCGTTTTTCCTTTGTCGTTACGTTGTCTACCTGCTGATGTTTTTTGCCTTGAAGTGTGCTTTGGAACTGGCGTCGGCCAGTTTCTCCGTGGTTAGTATTTGCCTCTGAATGGCAGCCCTTTCCCATGCGCTTTAGGTGTGTTTCTCATCAGTAACCTGTAGGGTTAGGGTCATGCTTCACCCATTCCATCACCTGTCCTTGGTCTGGCGGGATGGTTGCGGGGGTGCTTCCTGGGAATCCCTGATACGGCGACAGGATGTGGTTTACCATCCTCGTATCCTCCAGGCCCTGGCTCTTCCTGTCATCCTTCTTCCTGCATCGTCCCCAAACTGCTCCATGCGTGCATCCACCGCCCAGCGTGTTCCTGTGCACGGCGGGCTGTGGGCTGTGCTCCCGCCGCAGGACACTGCTCTTAAGCTGCGTGCACCCTGCAGCCCGGGGCAGCTCTGCACCTCCTCCTCTGTGCCCGGGGCCCGGGTGGGAGCGTTTGGGGTGAGTGACCGGCAGGGCGGCCCTGGACCAGGCTTACCCAGCAGATCTGGTCAGGCAGAATCTCGCAGACGTGAATCGGCTGCTTCTGCCTTTCGCACACTTTCTTCTGGAGCTGCTGGCTGACTTCAGTGTGCAGGAGCCCTCATGGACCCCAGGGCTCAGCTCCTCCCCTCGGAGTGCCTGCTGACTGGTCCCTGGTGTCCTTGATTTTGACGCAACCAAATTTGCCATTATTTTCGCCCTATGGTTTTTCTTTTTCTTTTTTATTTATAATAAATTTGTTTATTTATTTTTGGCTGCGTTGGGTCTTCGTTGCTGTGCACGGGTTTCTCAAGTTGCGGCGAGGTGAGCGGGGGCTACTCTTGGTTCCGGTGCACGGGCTTCTCGTTGCAGTGGCTTCTCTTGTTGCGGAGCACGGGCTCTAGGCACACAGGCTTCAGTAGTTGCGGCGTGCAGGCTCTGTAGTTGTGGCTCGTGGGCTCTAGAGTGCAGGCTCAGTAGTTGTGGCGCACGGGCTTAGTTGCTCCGCGGCATGTGGGATCTTCCCGGACCAGGGCTCGAACCCATGTCCCCTGCATTGGCAGGCGGATTCTTAACCACTGCACCACCAGGGAAGCCCGTGGTTTGTTTTTAATGTTTTGCTTAGAAAGTTCTTTCTTGGCCTGGGCCCAGAGGTATTCGCTTATATGTCTTGTGTTAATTTTATAGTTTTCTCTTCCACGTGGAGGCCTAGGTCTGCCTGGTGCCACCTTCGTGTGTGGCCAGAAGGATCCTCGTTCTGTCTTCTCCCCGGCCCACCCGTGCCACACGTCACTTTCTCTCCCTGCAGCGCCGTCAGTCTGCTCTTTGGGCACCACCCAAGCCTCGTGTGTGCTAGGAAGCGTCCCTGTCTCCTCTTTGTACTTAAGAGCATCTTAGCTAGTTGTGGGCTTTTCTTCTATCATTTAAATCCTAGAGTTCAGATTCCTCAGAAAACCCAGGGGGCTATTGCATGGACTACAGTATAGTGTAAACATAACTTTTTTGTGTGTGTGTGGTACGCGGGCTTCTCACTGTTATGGCCTCTCCAGTTGCGGAGCACAGGTTTCGGACGCGCAGTCTCAGCGGCCATGGCTCATGGGCCCAGCCGCTCCGCGGCATGTGGGATCTTCCCAGACCGGGGCACGAACCCGTGTCCCCTGCATTGGCAGGCGGACTCTCAACCACTGCGCCACCAGGGAAGCCCCTAAACATAACTTTTGTTTGCACTGAGATACCAGAACGTTCATGTGACTGGCTTTATTGTAGTGATCTGGGACTAAACCTGCAGTACCTCTGAGGTTCACCAGTAGTTTGAGCTCAGAAAACATATCTGCTGCAAAACTGTGTGGGAATGGAGATCTTCTTGTTTTAATTTTTGTGGCACGGGAAGGAGATGATAGAACAGCCTCTGATATTATTTGTGACTCACGTTCACTGTAGTCAAGATGACTCTACTGCAGTCTCGGTATCTCATATAAGCTCTGTTTGCCTTATAATTTTAGGTTGAATTCATTGAAAAACATTCTCAAATCTGAAAAAAAAACCCTCATATTCAATGTTTGATGATAGTGGTCGAGTAGAGGTTTTTCTCAAACAGAAAATTTCAGTCTAGGTCGTGAGTTTTTTAAAAAACTGCAGTAAAACTTTCCCCTTTCAAGCTGTTAAACTGTTGTGTAGTAGGTCAAGTCGGGATGTTTCGCTTCTATTTCTGACAAAAATCCCTGGAACTGGTGATGGCAAAGTCCAGGAGAGCAGAGGAAGTTCTCAGCCGATGCTGCTGTCTCGTGACGCGTGATGGGTTTGGTGTGTTCTGCAGAGCACCTGCCAGTGAAGGGTATGGCGTGTACCCTTAAACACCCACCCTGGGCTTCCCTGGTGGCGCAGTGGTTGAGAGTCCGCCTGCCGATGCAGGGGACACGGGTTCGTGCCCCAGTCTGGGAAGATCCCACATGCCGCGGAACGCGGATCCCTCATGCCGTGAGCCATGGCCGCTGAGCCTGCGCGTCCGGAGCCTGTGCTCCACAACGGGAGAGGCCACAACAGTGAGAGGCTCGCGTACCGCAAAACAAACAAACAAACAAACAAACAACAACAACAACAAAAAAAACACCCACCCTGTGCAGGCCTTGTGGGTTCCCAGCTGAGCTTCTTCTGACACGCGTGTTTCAGCATGATCAGTTGTTAACACATCTTAGCAGATTCCACTTCAGGTTGGACTGCATTAGGTATTTTCTCAGCTTCTTTGGCAGTACTTTCAGCTGCAGTTGCTCCACAGAGAGGACTCCTGGAGGCCAGTTTCTCAGTCACTTCAGACTCAGTGTTGACTGCTTGAGTGAAGTAGCAGCTGCAGAGCGGTGTCCGGAGCCCGGGGACCCTCTGATCCGTGGCTGCTGTCGCTGCTCTCACTGTCCTTGACTCTTCAAGACTGTCCGTGCCGAAAGGCTGGTAGTCTGACACAGGTTTGTTTTCTCTGGACGCATAACTTTCGCTGCTGCAGTCAACACAATTTAATAAACTCATCATTGGTGAACAGCATTCCTTGCTTTCCTTGCTTGGCTAACAAATGAGCCCCTTGGGAGCTTACTTGGTGTAAGGGTCCTTTTCGTTTTCATTTTGTGAAGTAATGCTGCTGCAATGAGGTTTCCATTTCGAACTCTGACTGTTGTGCACTTTGGGACATTGCAGTGCTTCCAGCAGGGCTGTGTGTCCTACCGACCCAGCAGCAAAGAGCCCGCATGCCACGGCGCCTGAAAGGCACAGCAGTACATGCCCACTCTCTTCGTGTGGCATTGTGGATAGGCAGGGTAGTAAAAGCGTCAGTGAAATGTCATGGGTCGGCCATGCGTGTGGCACTCAGGCCAATGAGGTGCAGCTGCATCGCCGGGCCTGCGCCACGCTGAGTGATGCAAGCACCTCCTGTGGTCTCTGCCGTGGCCACGCACATCACTGTTGCAGATGAGCGAATGGGACTGTGTTCCCACGTCGTGTTCCTGACGGACACTGGAATTTGAACCTCGTGTAGTTTTCACATTTCACACACAAAAAAATTTTAATATATAAACCATTCTTAGCTCACCTGCTATACAAAAACGGGCAGCAGGCTGGACGTGGCCCACAGGCTGTAGTTAGCTGCCCCCTGACCTGAAGGGGCGTGCAGGCTTCCTGGCATGGCCAGCCCACGGGGCCTGGTGGCCCGGCCCGAGCCCCTCTGTGTCCCACTCCTCACCACCCGCTGCGTCTCAGCACAGTGGCCTCTTCCTGTTCCCGGGCTATGCCCAGCTCGGCCCCCTTGTCGGCCCGCTTTCCTGTCCACAGCTCAGATGCACCCCCCTAGAGAACCATCCCTGGAGCTGTTTCCGGTCTGGTCCTACAGTGGCCTGAGGTTCTAGTTCGTTCTGCAGTGGACTGCACCCGGAGTGTGAGCCCTGTGGGAGCAGAAGTGTGTCGGCCTCACCTGCCTCAGGTTGCAGCCCCGGCCCAGGCCCAGCCGCAGCTCATCGGCCGGAGCCCCAGCTCTGAGGTGGACCTGGGCCGTAGTGGGCTGTCCCTGTAGGAGGGCGGTGGGCCTCCAGTCCGTTCAATCCTTTCAACGTTCCCAAGAAATACTCAGACCAGATGAAGGGGACGACTTTGTGGGCAGGAGCTGTGGATGAGAAACTAAAAGGACAGCACCCACATTCTGGAAAGTGAAAGAAAGGCATGTTATTTTTGATGTATCGTGTTTCTAAATGGTTGCACTTCTGTTCACGTCTCTGTTTTATTTTGCTGTGTTTCAGTTCCTCACCGTCAGGAGGTCTTCTTGAGAAGGACTATGAGATTTACCAGGACTACAGTGTGGACGGCCACCTTCTCCACTGCAGGTAGGGCCCCTGCCTCAGGCCTGGCCCTGTCTCATGACCCGGGGATGGTTTTCCTGGCAGCTCTTCGGTGAGCTGGAGGAGAGTCTGGCTCAGCAGGACGTGCACAGCACGCAGGGCCCTGCCCCAGCCAGTGGAACGTGAGGAGAGGTCGTCAGGGCCACCAGCGCCGGGGCAGAGTGGCCCCAGGCCCGCATGGCAGCTGCCGTTCACTGCGCAGTTTGGGGAGCTGTTGAGTCCGTGGTACCGGCCCTGGCCCCTGGCAGACTCCTCAGGGGCTCTTCAGCATGTGGTCTCCCTGGGAGCTCTGGGCCACACATCGGAGTGTTTCCCCGGCCACGTGGGGAAGACTGGTGCCACCCGAAGGGAAGGGAGGAGGCTCGCCTCCCTCGGCCCTGGGTTGGCCTTGCAGGGCGTTGGGGTTTCTGGATACGACCCTCAGGACTCTGGGCACAGCAGCCGTCGGTCTGGGCAGGGGCCATCCCTTGGTCAGCTCGTGTGTCCAGGCTGGAGGAAGCACCTGCCCTGCAGCCGAGGGGGGCCGGGCCAGGTGCTAGGCCGCTGGTGGCCTGGGTGCCCCCAGCACAGGCCAGCAGGATTAATGTGAATTGTGGAGGGATTTGCAGGTGCGAGGGGCCTCTGGCAGTCTGCTCGGTTTAGAGATTGAGCTTGCAAGTGGTGACCGGGCTTGTTGATGTGGGAAGGGATCTGAGCCTGCGTGGGGCCAGTGGTGTGGTGGTGTCCACAGATGTGTTTTGTGGCCTCCCATGTTCTCCTTGGTAAAGGGGTGCAGTGGCTGACGGGCAGGGCCTCACCCCGGCTGCAGGGCAGGGCAGGTCCCCGGACGTGTTTCTTCCCGGGCAGTGAGTCCTGCTCTTGCCAGCTGCGCGTCACAGCCCTGGGCTCTGCGGGACGCACGTGCCACCTGCTGTGTGGTGGCCCGGCACTGCCCTGGCCCTGCCATCCCGGTGCCACCTGGGCCGGGCGTGAGAGCAGCTCCCTCAGCCAGACAGAGCGGGAAGGACAGGAAGACTGTTGAAGAGGGGGCTGTGTGCCAGCGGCCGTGCAGCCTGGCTCAGGGCACGTCAGGGGCCTGCGGTTTGCTGGGTGGTCAGAGGACCACGTGGCTCCGGTTTTCTGACGTGGTCTCTTCTTGTTGCGCGTGAGCTGCGCCCGCATCTCGGGCAGAGGCTTCCCTCCAGACCCACACGGCAGCCGTCCCAGCCCCGCTTCCCTGCTGCCCTTTCCCGGTTCTGGGGGCCGCATGTGGAGCAGCGCTTCCCTGAGGAGGCGTCTCCTTCTTCTTTGGAGAACAGGCGACTGCCCTGAGCTGAGCGGAGGCCCCGCCCGCCCGCTCCAGCACTTCCCCGGGCGTGGGAGGCCGCCTCTCCCCTCGTGGGCCGGAAGCCTTCTCGGAACAAGGGCGTGGGGCGGCGTCTCTCGCCTGGGTGCCTCCGCCCGAGCAGAGCCAACAGGGGGTTAGGGGTCGAGAGAGAAGCATGGGACTCCTGGTCTGGGGAGCCATGAGGAGACGGAGGGGCCGGCGGGCGGGCGGCTAGAGAGGGCGCGGTGGGGGGCCCTGCGAGGCTGCGGGGCTGCGAGGGGCCGGCCTGTGGGGCAGGAAGTGAGGCCGCCTGCGCGGGGGCGGGTGGTTGAGGCCGGCGTCTGCTCTGTGACCCAGGCGGCCCTCGTTTTCCGGTAAGACAGGGAGCCCGTGACCCCGAGGCCTGCCTTGGGGATGGAGTCAGAGGCTCCTGTGCGGGTGATCCGCCCTCAGCCAGGGGTGCCGTCTGCCGGGCACCTTCCTTCCTGCTGCCCCGTTCCCGCCTCTGCCCTGACTCGATGGAAGCCCTCTGGGCCCTGGAGTAGACTGTGCTCTGGACTCCGCCCGACACGACACACTCTCCCACACTCCTCATTCCGCAGCCCCGCCACCCTCGCCCCGCAGAGGGGCGGGGTCCCTCCTGCCAAGGGGTGAAAAGATGCGCAAACTAACGCTTCCCAGTTGCTGAGTGTTTCCTGTGTGCCAGTGCTGAGCTAAGGACTTTATCGTATGCGCAACTGCACCTCGTGTTGTTTAATTCTCGTAGGAATTGATGAGGACCCGGGGACAGAGCCGGGAGGTGATTTCCCTCAGCCTGCAGCCAGGGAACAATGGCCTGGAGTGCAGCCACAGATCTCTCTGACTCCAGAGCTGGCTCTCTGGGTCTGCTGCCCTCCGCCCTCGCTCTGCCTGCTTGGCCTGGGGGACCGGCCGGGAGCAGCCTCCGGCAACCGGGAGTGGAGCCCTGCTGCAGTCTGACTTCTCCCCTGGGTAATGAGGTCAGGCTGCAGGGTTTGGTCCTAGTCATGCTGGAGCAGGCTGCCCGGCCCGAGGCCTCTCACTCTCACCCTGATCTCACCCTGATCGCACATGCTGACCCTGGTTCTCTAAGTCCTGCCTCACCCACGCCCAGTAATTAGGACTCATGGCCTTATCCAGAAAGCCCCAGCCTCAGTCAGAGGATAAAGGCGGAGGACCAGACTACACAACTGGTTTCTTAAGACGCTTGGGATTTCTCCTTTCTGTGATGGTGGATTCACTTAACTGAGACCAGCCTGTACAACAAGAACAAAATAGACCAAATATTCCTGCAGGCATCCGAGGAGCCAGGACGTGTGGCCAAGGTCTGGCAGTCATTGCAGCCCAGCACACGTGTCACCGCCTCAGGAGCCACAGAGGGGACCTTGGCAGCATTCCATGTTTCTACTGGGACTCCTGAAAGGCTACACGAAGGCATAGGGTGAGCCATAAGTAGACCAGTCTTCGAATAGACGCCCGAATTCCAGTCAGCTCAGTCCCAGATGGGATTCAGGTGATCGATCTGCCCTTATCCCAGCTGCCTGCTAAGAAACAAAAGTAAACCAGAGCCTCAAATTATCTCAATAGGTTTTCATACACAGTCACCAGAATTTCAGTCTAAAATTGCCAGAACTGATTAGGGACAAAAACAGAAAGTAGAAACAGACCCACCAGAGATCTATATTTTGGAGTTATCAGACACTCACTTTAATAAATATGATTCATTTGTACAAGATATTAAATGGCAGTTTTTCCACATCAAATAATTTCATCAAGATAGATCACATGGGCTTCCCTGGTGGCGCAGTGGTTGAGAGTCTGCCTGCCAATGCAGGGGACACGGGTTCGTGCCCCGGTCCGGGAGGATCCCACATGCCGCGGAGCGGCTGGGCCCGTGAGCCATGGCCGCTGGGCCTGCGCCTCCAGAGCCTGTGCTCCGCAAAGGGAGAGGCCACAACAGTGAGAGGCCCACGTACTGCAAAAAAAAAAAAAAAGAAAAGATAGATCACATTCTAGGCCATAAAACACAGCTTAACAAATTAAAAGAAAAGAAATAATACAGTATCTGCTCTCAGACCACAATGGAATTAAACTAGAAATCAGTAACAGAAAGATAGCTGGAAAACCCCCAGATACTTGCAAGTTAAACAACACACTTCTGAATATCACATGGGTCAAAGAAGAAATCTCAAGAGAAATTTTAAACTATTTTGAACTGAATAAAAATGAAAACACAACTTAAAATTTGTGGGGTGTGATAAAGGCAGTACTTAGAGGGAAATTTATATCAGTGCATATATTAGAAAAGTACATATATTAGAAAAGAAGAAAGATCTAAAATCAATCATCCAAGTTTTCATTCTTGGAAACTAGGAGAAGATGAGCAAATTAAGTACAAAGTAAGCAGAAGAAAAGATAGATATTAAAAATTAGAGCAGAAATCAATGAAATTGAAATAGGAAATTAATGGAAAAAAATCAATGAAATGAAAACCTGGTTCTTTGAAATGATGAATAAAACCAATAAGCAGTAGCCAGTCTAAGAAAAAGAGAGAAAGGACACAAATTATTAATATCAGGAATGAAAGAAGCGATATCACTAAAGATTCCTTGGACACTAAAAAGAAAATACAGGGAATTCCTTGGTGGTCCAGTGGTTGGGACTCTGCGCCTTCACTGCTGAGGGCCCCAGGTTCGATCCTTGGTCAGGGAACTAGGATCCCGCAAGATGCGTGGCCAAAAAAACAGAAATAAAAATAAAATACAGGGATGCTATGAACAACCCTGTGCACACAGACTTGATAACCTAGGTGAAATAAACCAATTCTTTAAAAGACACAGTCTGCCAAAACTCATATGACAAGAAATAGACAATCTGAATAGGTCTACATCTGTTAAAGAAGTTGAATCAATAATTAATAATCTTCCAAAACAGAAAGGACCAGGCCCAGATGGGTTCACTGGTGAGTTCTACCAAACATTTATGGAAGAAATTATACCAGTTCTTTACAGTCTCTTTCAAAGGATAGAAGCAGAGGGAATACTTCCTAACTCATTCTATGAGGTCAGTATTACGCTAATATCAGAATCAGAAAAACACATTACAAGAAAATTACAGACCAGTCTCTCTTATGAACATGGATATAAAAATCCTCAACAAAATATTAGCAAATCAAATCCACCACTGTATAGAAAGAATTACACACCATGACCAAGTGGGATTTATCCTAGTTATGCAAGGTTGGTTCAACATTTGAGAATCAGTAATACTCCATTACATCAATAGGCCAAAGAAGAAAAATCCATGATCGTATCAGCCGATGCAGAAAAAGCATTTGGCAAAAATCCAACACCCATTCATGATTTAAAAAAAAAAAAACCCTCAGTAAACTAGGAACTAGAGAGGAACTTCCTTAACCTGATGAAGAATTTCTATAAAAAATTTACAGCTAACATCATACTTAGGAGTGAGAAGGTCAAAGCTTTCCCACTAAGACCAGGAGCAAGACGAGGGTTTCCCTTCTGACCTCTGCTTTTCAGCATCGTATTGGAAGTCCTTGCTAATGCAGTAACACAAGAAAAAGAAATAAAAGGTATACGGATTGGGAAGGAAAAAATAAAACTGTCCTTGTCTACAGATGACATGATCATCTATGTAGAAAATCCTAAAGAACTGACAAACTCCTAGAACTAAGTGATTATGGCAAGGTTGTAGGATATAAGCTAAATATACAGAAGTCAATTGCTTTCCTATATACTAGCAATGAACAAGTGGAATTTGAAGTTAAAATCAATAGCATTGACATTAATATCCCCCCCAAATGAAATAGGTATAAATCTAACAAAATATGTGAAAAATCTATGTGAGAAAAACTGTAAAATTCTGATGAAAGATATCAAGGAAGAACTAAATAAATGGAGTAAGATGTCACTTCTTCCCAACTTGATCTATATGTTCAATGCAGTCTCAGTCAGCATCCCAGCAGGTTGTTCTGTGGATATTGACAAAGTGATAATAAAATTTCTATGGAAAACACACCATTGTAAAGCAATTATACTCCAATAAAGATGTTAAAAAAATTTCTATGGAGAGGCAAAAGATACAGAACAGCCAACACAATATTCAAGGAGAACAAAGTTGGAGGAATAATACTACCCGAGTTCAAGATTTACTACAAAGCTACCATTATCAGGACAGTGTGGTATTGGTAAAAGAATAGATAGATAAATAGAATAGACTGGAGAAACAACCAATAGACCCCCATAAATATAGTCAAGTAATCTTTGACAAAGGGGCAAAGGCAATGCAACGGAGCAAAGATGGTCTCTTCAACAGATGGCGCTGGAACAACTGAACGTTCACAGGCAAGAAAATGAATCTGGACACATTCCTTACACCCTTCATGGAAATTAACTCAAAATGGATCACAGACCTAAATGTAAAACACAAAACTAACTCCTAGAAGGTAACGGAGGAGAAAACCCAGATGACCTTGGGTTTGGCAGTGACTTTTTAGGTACAACGTCCAAGGCATGATTCATGAAAGAAACAATTGATAAGCCGGACTTCATTAAAATTAAAAATTTCTGCTCTGCGAAAGACAGTGTCAAGCGAATGAGCAGACAAGCCATAGACTGGGAGAAAACGTTTGCAAAAGACACAAATGATAAAGGACTGTTATCTGAAATATACAAAGAACTCTTAAACCCCAGCAGTAAGAAAACAACCTGATTTTAAAATGGGCCAAAGGGACTTCCCTCGTGGCACAGTGGTTAAGAATCCACCCGCCAGTGCAGGGGACACGGGTTCAAGCCCTGGTCCGGGAAGATCCCACATGCCGCAGAGCAACTAAGCCCGTGCGCCACAACTACTGAGCCTGTGCTCTAGAGCCCACGAGCCACAGCTACTGAGCCCACGAGCCACAGCTACCGAGCCCACGTGCCTAGAGCCCGTGCTCCGCAACAAGAGAAGCCACCACAACGGGAAGCCCGCGCAGCGCAACGAAGAGTAGCCCTGGCTCGCCGCAGCTAGAGAAAGCCCGCACACGGCAACAAAGACCCAATGCGGCCGACAAATAAATAAATAAATAATGTAAAAGGAAAATCTTTAAAGCAGCCAGGAGTCTCTTGGGGTGGGGGAGCAGGTGGCAGAGGTGAGCCCCACTCATCTCTCTGGGACTTGGTCCGGCCCGTCGTGGCTGGTACAGCTGTGGGACGTGGTGCAGACCTTCAGTGGGCGGATATGGTGTGTGGTCAAGTCCGTGTATCCCGAGGGGCAGTGTCACTCATGTCACCAGGCAAGTGAGGCTCAGAAGAGGCTGAGCGTCTTGGGTGGCCCCCTGCGCTCGGTGGCGGGGCCATGATTTGGGCCCCACAGCTCCCCAGCTCTCCCTTAGCCCGATGCAGCCTTTCTCAGGAACTGGGGGACAGTCTTATCGTCTCTGTCCAGGTGCAGAGTGCCGACTGTGTGTGTGGGCAGTCAGAGGAGGGCAGTTAGCCTTTCTGGAGCTCACAGGAGCCTCTGTGGTTGGAATCCAAGGCCTGAGATGCTGATGCACAAGGGATGTGTTGGCCGCCCCTGGTAGGAACACAGGCAGGTGCTGAGCCCGGGAGTGAGGCCTGCAGGGCAGTACTCAGATTCCAAAGCCAGAGAGGCCCCTGGGAGGTCCCCCTCCTGGCTCTTCCTTACAGAAATAGTTCTGTGCCTGGTTCTAGCGTGGGACCAGAGCAGAGACACTCACAGAGGCCCTGGCAGGGAGTGTTGCCGTGGGCAGCAGCTGGGGTCTGGGGGAAGCTCCTGGATCAGGAGAGCCCCCAGAGGGGAAGGCTGCAGGGAAATGTGTGAGGGGAGTTCCCAGGCCAGGAGGGCAGCTTACTCTAGGCTACAGTGACCAGAGGTCAGGGCCTGTGAAGAGTGCAGAGCTCGCTGCTGGGAGCCCCAGGAGGCACCAGGCCCCCACAGCCTGCAGCCCCCGGGGGGCGGGTGTGAAGAAGACAGTGAGAAATGACCAGGCCTCTGGGCCCTGACCTCAGACACCCATGAGGTCAGCAGGTGGGTAATGGGTCCAGGCTGGCAAAGGGGTCAGATTTCCTCCTCTCCTCCGTAACCTGTTCTCCCTAGGACTTCCCCCAGGTAACCTGTCCCCACCAAGACCTCCCCAGGTAACCTGCCCCCCCCAGGACCTCCCCGGGTAACCTGTCCCCCCCAGGACTTCCCCAGGTAACCTGCCCACCCCCAGGACCTCCCCAGGTAACCTGTACTGCACCGCCCCCCCCCGCCCCCACCAGGACCTCCTCGCTCCGCTGGAACTCGGGCACCAAGGAGCGCATGCTCATCAAAGTTGCCGACAGGGAGCCCAGCTTCCTTTCCCCCCAGGGCAACGGCTACCCCCTGGACAGCCAGCCCAGGGGTCGCTCCCGCAGACCCTCTGGGGGACAGCACTCGCCCAGCCTACAGACCTTCACCTCCGACGCGGACGGCCCTGTCTTCTTCTCAGAGCGGAGGCCGTCACCCTTCCTGAAGAGGGCTGAGCTGGGGAGCTGCTCCCCACTGCTGGCCCAGCCCCGCAAGCCCGCCGCCGACTCTCAGCCGTCCTCCCCGCGTTATGCCTACGAGCCCCCCCTCTACGAAGAGCCCCCCGTGGAGTACCAGGCCCCCATCTATGACGAGCCCCCCATGGATGTGCAGTTTGAGGCCGGCGGGGGCTATCAGGCCGGCTCGCCTCGGCGGTCTCCCAGCCGCAAGCCGCCCAAGCAGGCCTCCGCGTCGCCCTACCAGCAGCTGGTGCTCACCAGGCAGAAGTGCCCCGAGCGCTACCTGAGCCTGGAGTACAGCCCGGCTGGCAAGGAGTACGTCCGCCAGCTGGTGTATGTGGAGCAGGCCGGCTCCAGCCCCAAGCTGCGCGCGGGCCCGAGGCACAAGTACTCGCCCCACCCAGGCGGCGGCTCCCTCTCCCTGCAGCCCAGCCCCTGCCTGCTGCGCGACCAGCGCCTGGGGGTCACGTCCGGGGACTACAGCAGCATGGAGGGGCCCGAGCTGCGGTCCGCCCAGCCGCCCATGCCACTGCCCCAGGCCCAGGACGATGCCATGTCCTGGTCCAGCCAGCAGGACACCATGTCCTCGACGGGCTGCTCCCCCAGCACACGAAAGAGGAAGAGCAGGAACCCCTCTGCGTGCCACACTCCCAGCGCCCTGCCCACCGAGGGCCCCGGGGACCGCGACCCGCTTGGCCAGCAGCCCCTGACCGAGGAGCGGCCCCTGTGCGGCCCCAGCCTGGCACCCACAAGGCGTGCAGAGGGCGAGGCGCGTGAGGGGGACGGGACCCGGGGTGAGGCCGAGCCCTTCCTGGCTCAGGCCCGGCTGGCCTGGGAGGCACAGCAAGCCCGCTTGCACATGAAGCAGAGGGGCAGCTGGGACTCACAGCAGGACGGCTCGGGCTACGAGAGCGACGGGGCCGTGCCGCTGCCCATGCCTGGGCCTGTGGTGCGCGCCTTCAGCGAGGATGAGGCGCTGGCCCAGCAGGAGAGCAAAAAGCACTGGCAGAGGGCCGCCTCGGACCGGCTCGCCTTCCCCCAGGCCCTGCTCGAGAAGAGCGTGTCTGTGCAGACCAGCCTGGCCTCCCCGGAGCCCTACCTCCACCCCTCTCAGGTAGGGGCCGGGCCGCGGCCGGGTCCCCGGGCAGGGGTGGTGTGGCTTCACGGTTCCCAGCAGGCATGAGTGAGGACAGACGGTAGATGCCCCCCAGGCCTCTGCCAGCACGGGGGTCTCTTACCTCAGCTGCTGGCCAGGCCCCACAGTGCTGCCACGTCACCAGGGGGCTAGAGGCCATGTCCTGATTCCAGGCCACAGAGGCCGCCACCTGCCCACTGAGCCCTGAGCCTCTGTTCTACCTGTGAATGGCTCTCAGGTGAGGAGCTGTGCAGGTAGAGCACCAGGCGCTCCTTGGGTGGCTCAGAGCCTGGGGCCAGGACACATTCAGCAAGCCCCCAGGTGGCTCCCAGAACCCCACACTGTAGCTGGAGCCAAAGCAGAAGCCCAGCCTGCGGTGTCTTCCCTGCTCAGTGCTGGGCGTGGGCATCCATCAGGCCCTCGGGATCCTTGTGCACCTTCTGTCCCGGTTGCGTGCAAGGAGCATGGTGCCCAGGGCTTGGTGTCGCCCAGTATCCTCGTTCTCACCTCCTGGCCCCTGACCTTTCACACCAGTCTGCTGCCTGAAGCCAAGGCTGAGGGTCTGCCCTGGCCTCTGCTCAGAGCTGGCAGTGGCCACAGGGCCTCCCGGGGTCAGGATCCTCATGTCCACCCCCAGTCCTGGTGGGGAAGACATGCCCAAGAACTACGGCATCTTAGGTGGCCAGCATCCCCCGGGGCACTTAGTGTTCCTCCAGACTGGAGAGCTCAGAGCAGCGTTTCTGTCTGTGGCTTGTAACACAGGAGGACATCAGGACAGATGGGAAGAGGCGGGGGGGCAGGTGGTAGGTGGAGTGTGAACAGCTGCGTCCTGGGGCACCCGGCTCCCAGCATGTGACCTGGACAGCAGGACGCGTGGGCTCCAGGGGCCTGACCGAGGTCCACTCCTGGCGCTGCTCAGGGAGGTACCTTCCCTGCTTTCAAGACCAAGGGGTGGGGAGGCCAGCACGGGTTTGGGGACGAGAGCCCACCTCCCAGACAGAGGGGACAGGAGCCCCTAAAGAGTGTTGGGTGAGGGGCTGTTATTTGAGTGCAGGTACGTGGAGGCTGTTGGTGGCGGGGGTGGGGGTGGGGGTGCGGCTTGGGGCAACGCTCTCCCTTCCCAGCATCACGGGAGCGGAGGGCCGCAGCCCACGGCCCTCTCAGGCCTGGCTCTGCCCCTCTGCATGGCATCGCTCTTCCCGATGCCCGAGACTCCAAACGCTATCTTTGTTGGGGAAAAGGGTGCAGCCGTTGTGGCCCAGAGACATTTGTGTTTCTCTGTCAAATGTTGCATCTGGGGGTTTCTGCTGCTTTGTGGGGCTAACCTTCCCATCTGAACCAGCAGAAGCCAAACAGCCGCGGCAAGGCCAGTAGGAGGCAGCACCTTCCTGCATCCACGCACGGTCCAGCTCCCTGCCTGGGGAGAGCCCTGTGAGCACTGGGGATGCAGCGTCCCCGGGCCCTCTCCCACCTGGGGCTACGGCAGCCCAAGAAGCTGACGAGACACATGCGCGGCTCCCTCCTGCCCCCAGACCCATGCTGGCCACCCCCAAACCTCGGTCTCCAGACCAGGGCAGGCACCTCCCGGAGGCCAAGCCCGCAGGGTAAAAGTCAGAGGGAGGGCTTCTCTGGGTCCCTGTGAGACCAGTACAAGGCGCAGAGCTGGGAGCCCAGGCCCGGCCTCACCCCACCCCACCCCGTCCAGGCCTCTCTCCTACAGCAGCTTCAGGTCCCGCTTGGGGTAGGGGGGCCACATCTCTCACCTGGCTGGGTCACGTGGGGCCCCCACCCCCTCACAGCCCCCCTGTCCTCCCCAGTCTGAGGACCTCGGCACCTGCGCCCAGTTCGAGAGCAGCCGGCAGACCCGGAGCGTGATGCCCAGCGCCAGCTGCGTGTTCCCCACCTTCACACTTCGCAAGCCGTCCTCAGAGACCGACATCGAGAACTGGGCCTCCAAGCACTTCAACAAACACACACAGGGCCTCTTCCGGCGGAAGGTGTCCATTGCCAACATGCTGGCGTGGAGCAGCGAGTCCATCAAGAAGCCCATGATCGTAACCAGCGACCGCCACGTGAAGAAGGAGGCCTGTGAGGTCTTCAAGCTGATCCAGATGTACATGGGCGACCGGCGCGCCAAGGCCGACCCGCTGCACGTGGCCCTGGAGATCGCCACCAAGGGCTGGAGCGTGCAGGGCCTGCGGGACGAGCTCTACATCCAGCTGTGCCGGCAGACCACCGAGAACTTCCGCCTCGAGAGCCTGGCCCGCGGCTGGGAGCTCATGGCCATCTGCCTGGCCTTCTTCCCGCCCACGCCCAAGTTCCACTCCTACCTGGAGGGCTACATCTACCGGCACATGGACCCCGTCAACGACACCAAAGGTAAGACCCAGACAGGGCCCCTGGGCTCTGCCACCAGCTCAGGTACAGGCTGTGGCTAGAGCTTCCGTCTGCGCTGGGTGGCACCTGGCAGCAGCAGGTACACGAACACAGCATCTCCCGGAGGCGCACATCCTTGGCCTCCACTGGGATGCGGGGTCCTCAGGCAGCCCCTTCTCAGCACCGAGGCCCTGAGAAGAGCCACAGGCAGTTGTGACACAGGGTCCCTCCCTGGCCACGGGCTGACAGGTGGGGGTCTGCTTGAGGACCCATGTCTCCGCCAGCCGGCACCCACTCCACTCTGAGGCTACCGTCCTGGTCACCCTGCCTGACGAGGGCAGGGAGGCCAGTCAGCCTGTGTGCACTTAGAGCGTTTGCCCTGGCCAGGCTCGCACTATGCCTTGTGGCCATCGCAGGGGGGCTTCTGAGGGCAGTGAGGGACATGGGCGCCCTGGCCCAGCGCTGGGTCTGAGGGGTCTGTGCCATAGGCTGTTGAGGTGCTGTGAGCTGAGCTGGCCTGAGCCGCCTCAGGCCTCAGGCGTTCAGAGGTTGGGACCACCATGGACAGCAGCCTGCTGACGGCTGCCTGGGGTTCCTGAAGGCCATGCGTCAGGTCTGTGTGGGCCCCGCTTGGCCTTCCTTGGGGAGGACTCTGGGCCACGGTCCCGCCAGCCCGGCAGTGCTCGCCTTGGGCTGGGCAGAGTGAGCATGGGGGTGGAGCTGCAGGCAGCGCCTGCCAGTGCAGCAGGCCGTCTGCCACCCCGTGTCCGTGTCTGTGAGTGTCTGCCGTGCCAAAGATTGCTCAGTGGGAGTGGCCATCCACGCTGGTCTAGCCAGGGCTTTGCCCCAGCCCAGGTGTGGGGGGCTGAGGCCTGTGCACACAGTGATGAGGGCTGCAGGGCAGTGGGGGGCCCGGGGAAGGTGTGTGAAGCATAGGCACCGTCCAGCACACCAGCCGTTTAGGGGCAGATCTTGGAAGCCATGAAATGTTTGCTCAGGCTTGCAGTTTCTGAAGCAGGATCGCCGAACACTGCAGACGGGTCTCCCCAGGGGGCTCCCTGGACGAAGCGGGCAGCCTGGACCTGCCTCTGTCTTCTCAGACCTTCCCAGAAGCAGGTGGGCCCCCAGTGGCTTCATGGTTCACCTCAGCCTCTTCCAAAAAGGTCTTGAAACGTCCCTGCCGTGAGCTGGAGGTTTGGAAGTGTGTGTCAACCGCTCAGCACACAGCCCTCGGGGGCCCCAGGAGTGCTTGCTGAGTGAAAGGTGAGTGAGCCGTGGACAGAGGCCAGAGGCTCCAGGCTGTGTCCTCTCTGGCTGGGGCGTCCATGAAGAGCTGGACGTTGCGGTTTTGCACGGAGGTTAGTGCACTTTCGCCCTAGTGTCTGTGCCATAGGAGCCAGACTGAGAGAACCGAGCTTCAGCCTGGCAGTCATGGTTTTGAGGCCCCGGTGGTCTCTGCCCACAGACCACGCTGGGTCTGTGTGGTCCCGCTAGCAGGGTTCTGTGTCTGTGGGATCTGGTCTTACATCTGTGGCACAGGGTTGCCCTCCAGCCCTGAGACCCACTCCTGGGTGGGCGTTTTCTGCCAGGCCCTGCTCGTCACTGAGCCCAGAGGAGAGGCCTCGATCTCCCTCCCACTGGCCCCTGTCGAGAACATGGGTGCCGGCTGCCAGTCAGGAGGGCAGGCCCCATCAGCCCAGAAGGACCTAGCCTGTGCTTAGAAAAAGGAAATGCAGTCCATCCTGGGAGCACCAACGGGGGCAGAGCTGAGCTGGCTCCCGTGTGTGGGGCCTCACCCTGAACCACACTGCCTGCCTTGGCCTCAGAAGCTTTTGATTCGTCTGCCAGCACGTGTTTGACATCTGCTGTGTGGTCACCACTCCGAGGGAACAAGGTACCGCACAGTGAACCCCAATTCACGTGACCCCACCCCCTGGCTTAGCATCAGCTCGCACGTGGTCACACCTTTGTACCAGCCACCACCAGGTGACTCCACAGCCTTTCTGCCCTGAACTTCCCTAAGCGTGCTGTCAGCACAGGCATCGCAGGGATGCTCCACAAAGAGCACACGGGAAGGCTGCAGACCCTGAGGGCTACATGTGCCTTCACAGCAAGACGCTGCCTTCCAGGTGAAGATGGCAGGACGATCACGTGCATTTACTTGCATTCCACCCTGAACTCACGATAAAAGAACAGTGAAGGAATTTTTTAAAGGCAGAAAAAGAAACCTCACAAGGAAATGTAAAATGCTGCAGCCACTATGGAAAACAGAATGGCAGTTTCTCAAAGGATTAAAAATAGAATTATCGTAGGACTCAGCAATTCCACTTGTGGGTATATACCCAAAATAATTGAAAGCAGGAGCATGAACAGATATTTGTACACCCATGTTCATAGCAGCATATTCACAATAGCCAAGAGGTAGAAAGCAGCCCAGGTGTCCATTGATAGATGAATAGATAAATAAAATGTCATCTGTACACATAATGGAATTATTCAGCCTAATAGGGAAGGAACTTCTGGCACAGGCTACAACATAGCTGAATCCTGAAAACATTATGCTGAGTAAGATAAGGCAGACCCAAAAAGACAAATACTGCACGAATCAGACAGATAAGTGTATGAGGTCCCTAGAGTAGTCAAGTTCATGCAGAATGGTGGGTGCCATGGGTTACGGGGAGGGAGACATGGAGAGTTGTTTGATTCGTACAGACTTCCCATTTTGGGAGATGAAGAAGTGCTGGAGATGGATGGTGGTGACGATTGCACAGTAATATGAATGTAATTAATACCTTGAACTGTACAATTAAAACTGGTTAAGATGGCAGATTTTATGTTACATATAATTTATCACAATACAAAATACTAAAACCCACCAGGACAAAGAGAATGGAAGAGGAAGAACAACTATGCTTTGGAAGCTGAAAAGCACATGGACAAGTGGCTGGAAACTGACTTGGCCGACCAAGAAACGTGGATCCCAAGCAGGTGGTGGGGAAGCTGAGGAGTCGAAGCAAGTAGCAAACCCTAAAAAGCGCAGCAGTGGGTGGAGCCAGCTTCCTCCAGCAGTGGTATGGAAGTGGGAGTGACCACGAAGCTGAAAACAAAAGGACTAGTTGAAGGTCTGTTTAGGAAGCAAAGCAGCTACAATGGAGTAGGCAAGGTTAAAGACTCTGCACCCAGAGCATCTGGACTCAGATCTCAGCCACTTTTTCAAAATAGGCCATACTCTGAGCCATAAAACAAGTCTCAATAAAGGTTAAAGAATGTGAGTTATAGGGTGGTCCAGTGGGTAAGACTGGTGGTCCAGTGGGTAAGACTCCACACTCCCAGTGCAGGGGGTGCGGGTTTGATCCCTGGTCAGGGAAGTAGAACCCACACGCATGCCGCAACTAAGAGTTCACGTGCCGTGACTAAGAAGTCCGCGTGCCGCAACTAAGACCCGGCACAGCCAAAATAAATACTAAAAAAAAAAAAAAAAAGAAGAATGTGAGTCATAGAAAGTGTGTTCTCTAACCACAGTGGAATTAAATTGGCAATCAGCAACATAAAGATATCTGGAAAATCCCTGAGTATTTGGAAACTAAAGAACATACTACTGAACAATCCATGGGTCAAATAAAAATGAAAAAGGAAGGTGCAGAGTATTTTGAATTGAAAGAAAATGAAAACAAAACATTAAAATTTGTGTGATGCAGCTAAAGCAGTACTTAGAGGGAAATTTATGGCACCTAACTGTCTGCATTAGGAAATAAATCAGTTATCTCAGCTACTTTAAGAAACTTAAAAACAAAAACAGTGAGAGGAAATTATATCAAAAAGTAAGGAGTGGCTTCCCTGGTGGCGGAGTGGTTGAGAGTCCGCCTGCCGATGCAGGGGACACGGGTTCGTGCCCCGGTCCGGGAAGATCCCACATGCCGCAGAGCGGCTGGGCGCGTGAGCCATGGCCGCTGAGCCTGCGCGTCCGGAGCCTGTGCTCTGCAACGGGAGAGGCCACAACGGTGAGAGGCCCACGTACCGCAAAAAAAAAAAAAAAAATAGTAAGGAAATACTATGAACAACATTATGCCAGTAAATATGACGATTTAGAGGAAATGGACAAATTCCTTGAAAGACACAAACTACCAAAGATCACTCAATAAAAAATAGATAACCAGAAAAATCATATGTCTGTTAAAGAAATTGGTACCTTATGAAACTTTCCCACAAAGAAAATTCCAGGCCCAAATGGCTTCACTAGTGAATTCTATCAACTATTGCATTGTTTGTATAGCAATTAACTCAGAAAATTGAAGTGGAGGGAATATTTCCCAATTCTCTCTATATCAAAATTAGAAAAGGGCATTACCAAAAATTTGAAAGAGAAGCACAGATAGTATCCCTCATGAGGATAGGACAAAAATGAACCGTATTTTAGCAAATTAAATCCAAGAATATATTAAAAGGATAATGCATCTTGAATAAGTGGGGTTTATCTGAGGAATGAAAAGTTGGTTTAACATTCAAAAATCAATCAATGTAATTTGCCATATCAACAGAGTAAACAAAAAAAAACATACGATCATCTCAATAAGTGTAGAAAAAGCATTCGACAAAATCCAACATTCCATTCCTGATTAAAAAACTTGGAAGAGAAGGGAGTCTCTTCAACCTCGTATACACATGTATCTTTCCTTGCCCTGTCAGCCTAGGGCCTAGAAGCAGTGACACCCCAATAGCATTGAGGACACCTGACCCGCAGCTCTTGGTTTCTACCATTTTCCATTAAAAGGAACCAGAGCTGTCTGGAGAAACAGCTGATTCTAAGGCTGGGGTAGGGAATGTACAAGATGCAGTGCCAGAAGGGAGGATGTGCCAGAGGGGAGACGATGGGGCGTGTCACAGGACACGGGTCACAGGACACAGAGCTCCCCGGGGCCAAAGCTAGAGCACTTTAAGGAACAGAATAAAGTCATATTGAACTGTAAGCCGACAACGTAAGCTGAATATCCCTAAGCCCATACTGATATAAATGATTAGATAGATATATGGGACTTCCCTGGTGGTCCAGTGGTTAAGACTCCACACTTCCACTGCAGGGGGTGCGGGTTCGATCCCTGGTTGGGGAGCTAAGATCCCCGAATGCCGCGCAATGCGGCCAAAAAACGAAAGAAAGAAAAAAAATTACAAATAATTTATGTAGGTAAGAGGGTCCACCATGAAGGAGGCGTGAATCCCACCTCAGTGTGGGCTGTGTGCCTCGACTTCCTTCCAGAGCACGGGATGGGGGGATGGAGGGTCCGGATCGACAGTGCTGAGTTATTTTGTGCAGGGTGTGTGTGTGGGGGGGGTGCCCAGGTCAGCCAGAGAGGGGAGCCAGGCCCCTTCTCTCTCGCTCAGCACCCACTCAGCCCCTGGAGCGCAGCCACGTAGGAACCAGATGGCTGGGCTGCGGCCCTCTCAGGGGGCTCCCTACCCCTGCCTTTCTGTCGGCCAGCGGGTCATGAGCTGACCACATCCTCTCCCCACTGCCCAGGGGCACGTTCCTGGCACCTCCCCAGCCACACGACCCAGGTGTGCCCACACACCCACCCCTGTGCCCAGGACTCTGAGCGAAACACCCGCCCCCGCCCGGCACTCCCCTCCACCTCTGGCGGGGCATCAGCCCATCTCCCTCTGAGGAGTCCAGCAGGCTGGGGCAGTGACCTCCCAGCTGCCCAGGGTCAGCCCCGAGTGGGACCGTGTGGGCACGTGTTCCTCTTTGTGTTCTGTGGCCTCACCCTTTGTTTGCTCCCCAGTGACACAGCACATGAAAGCGCTTCTGGAAAGGAACAGTAAGAAGAAGTCCAAGTTGAGAAAGAAACCCAAGCCTTATGTTGAGGAGCCGGATGGTAGGGCCTCTCCCGCAGCCCCTGTGCGCTGCGTCTGCACAGCTCTGCTCTCCGGCCTCGGCCGCCTGGCCTCCTCTCTCTAACCGCTTCTGGGCTGGGGGGACAGTGGGGGGACACTAACCGTCAGGTCTCCTCCTGAGTGGGCTGGAAGCCCAGGTCGTCAACAGGGCTCCTGGGAGAGGCCATACCTGCCCTGCGCCTTTCTCCACGGTGCTCAGAACAATTTCCAACGTGCATGCTGGGTTCTCAGTGGGGCGGGGCCTGCTGGAGGCACCCCGAAGTGAGGGAGTGCCCTGTGGGCAGGTGCCTCCCCAGCCCTGACCTCCAGCCGGGCCACCCCTGGGGCTGGGGGCCAAGCCTGGCATTGTTGCCCTGGGGCCCCCAGCACAGCCCACCCCCACCCAAGCTCCCGAGAAGCCCTGTTAGCCCAAGCCTGTGCTCTCCTGGCCAGGAGACCCAGCCGTCCATTTCTGTCCCATGAGCCTCCCTTCTTGGCACCAGGGCCCTGGGACCAGCCCCCATCCCACCTGTACCTGGTTACCCACACTTGCCCCACTCTTCTTCCTGTGAGACTCACCCTTGGCACCCCTTCCTCTGGGAGGCTCTCTGGCTACATGCTACTCTCACCAGAAGAAGGGGGGCAGCCACAGTCCAGGCTTCCCAGCCGCCCTTGGGGCCCTGTCCTTGGGGAAGGAGCTTTGAGCTCCTGACTGAGCCCATCCACTGGAGTCCCGATGCAGCAGTGAGGGGGGGCTGGGGGCACGGGGGGCTGGGGGCACAGGGTGCAGGCTCCTGTGGGCCGGGGGTGGCTGGAGCCCCGAGTGGGTCAGAGGAGGGGGCTAGTTCCCCCGGGACCCAGCAGAGTCCGTGCCAAGAGGTGGCAGGTCCTGGCCACACCCAGCAGCCTTCGAGGTTCTTGGCCTGGGCACCTGGCACAGCAGCAGAGGCTCTGGGAGGGCTGCTTTGTCGGTCGCTCTGGGGGCCGCTATCTCTCCGCTGGGTGGGAGCATGCCCTGGCAAGGCCAGAACGGGGCAGTGGACTCAGAGTCCCCCACAGCACCATGTGGGTTTCCCTGGGTTGGCCACGGGCACTCAGACACCCCATAGTCTTGGCCCAGGAGGCTGTGCCCTGGCAGCAGAGGTGCCCCAGCCCTGAGACTCCAGGCACACGAGGCCTCAGTCCTTGGTCTGCCCACAAAAGCTCGGACTCCAGCAGCTGCAGCCCTCAACTGAGCCCTCACTCCATGCCAGACTGAGGTCAGCCCTTCATGGGCACCTGTCCCCATCCTACAGAGAGGAAATAAGGCCTGGAAAGGGTGCACCACAATCGCCAGGTGAGAGGTGGTGGCCCAAGGATATTCAGATCACAGCCTGTTGGAGAGGCCGGTTTGGTCCCAGGAAGCCCTGTGACACGAGGTCAGGGCAAGTCTGCCCACGGGCCCCGAGCCCAGGGACAGGAGGCTGTCACGCAAGGGAGGGGTGGGCATGCTCCCAGGGTGCGGAAAGCGAGCAGGCGCCACCCGCTGCCCTGCCACCAAGCACTCTCTGGGCTCCCGGTGCTCAAGCTGCAGCCCAGGTCCCGTTTGCTTGAGCACCATCCACTCTCCCTGAGCCCAGAGCCTGCCCACGTGGGCCAGTGGCGGAAGGTTCCAAGTGCTGTGTCCCAAGCTGGCTGATTGGTAGCTGCAGCTAGGATTCTCTGTTTGGGTCTGTGGGGCCCCAGGGACCTGAAAGAGATTCTTCACGGTTTAAACACCTATAAGAAACGTTTGTTTTCACTTTGATTACTCTAAAACAGACTCCCCTTACCAGTTATAACGACGGAAGTATTTTGCGGTAACTAGAAACGAAAAGGTTTACACGCATCAGACATGTTTTGTGTTCTTCACACTGAGGTTCACAGAACCCTGTGTCCTCAGACAACTGCTTCCTTTAAAAAAGACTCTGTTTGTATTTGAGACTTGGGTCCAGAGGCACCCCTCAGGCAGGGAGGCCCAGCAGAGGCAGAGCCTTACAGGGAGCGGGTCTGTCCTGAGCCTGGAGGCACATGGTCGGCCCATCTGTCTGTCCATGGTCTGGGGCAGCCCGGCCCAGATGGCTCCTGTCTTGCTGCTGCTTCCCTTGGCCTGGGCCAGGAAAGATGCGCCACACCTTTCAGACCCTCCCTGGGTGGGGTCTCCTTCCCACTCCCTCTCCCCCCTCCTCCCTTTGCCTCCAGCCCCCCACCCCCACCCCCCGCTCCAGCACACCGTATCTGGAAAGACCCGTGGCCTGAGGTCTTTGCCCTCGGATTGCTGGCCCTGCCACCCTCCATGACCACCAGCTAGAACTTCTGCTTTCAGGGGTGAGGTTTTAGAAAGCCCCCTCCCTTGAGAAAGGAGACCAGTCCTCCTGTCACCTTCAGCCCTCAGGCAGAGTCACCATGTGGTCCTTCCCCAGCATTGCCCTCCCAGCGAAACCCAGGCTCAGGGCACAGGGCATCCCCTCCACACTCATGCCCCTCCCAAGTGAGCCAGGCCCTGGGCCTCCCTCTCCCTGATCTCCACCCAGGCAGCCTTCGACCAAGCAGGCGTGAGGTCCTGTGGGCTAAGGCCTCTCCCTGGGCTGCCCAGTGCCTCTGGCTGGAAGCCGGGCTGCAAGAGAGCTGGGCCTGCTGTCCAGCCCCTCGCAAAGCTCCCTCCTCCAGTGCTGGCTCAAGGCGATGGGCGCCGAGTGCCTGCAGGCGTGCAGCACATGGAGGTCACCCTTCTCAGGGGGCCCCCCCAGGCCCTGCCCTGTCCTGCCTGCGACTCCCTCGGGGGAATAGACCTCATCCCCAGCCTGACCTTCCTGGCCAGGGGGAGGGTTGGGTAGGCTGGCGGAGGGCTTCCTTCTTCAACCTGGCTCCTCTGGAGGAGAGGGCAGCGCCCCCTTGCCTCTTCACATGAGCGTACTTCTGAAGGGCGGCCCAGGAGTGTAAGGACCCACTGCCCGGGCGGGGCAAGCAGCAGGCAGGAGGCTGGCTGGGCCTGGGCGCCAGGTTCTTGCAGGAGCCACCTCTCCTCACCCCTCTTGCTGCTTCCTCCTCAGTCACTGGTTGGCCTGCAGCCTCTGCTCCCACTCATCCATGCCAAGCCAACTGGCACCATTCTTTTCCAGGGGTGGCAATAAGCACATACGCCAAGTACTGTTACCACAAGCTGCAGAAGGCGGCCCTGACTGGAGCCAAGAAGGTACGAGCTCCTCCCAGAACCGCTGCGCAGGGGTGGGCGGGCAGCCTGCGCCGGTGATAACCAGACAGAGTCCAGCGGGAGGCAGGAGGGGGGCAGCCTGTGCCGGCGATGCCCGGACAGCGTCCAGCGGGCGGAGGTGGGTGGGCAGCCTGTTCCGGTGATGCCCAGACAGAGTCCAGCGGGAGGCGAGGGGGGGCAGCCTGTGCTGGTGATGCCTAGACAGAGTCCAGCGGGCAGGGGTGGGTGGGCAGCCTGTGCCGGTGATGCCCAGACAGGGTCCAGCGGGCAGGGGTGCACAGGCAGCCTGCGCCGGCGATGCCTAGACAGAGTCCAGCGGGAGGCGGGGGGGGGGGGGGGCAGGTGGGGCACTTAACGGCTCACAGTGCGGAGGGTGCCACTTGGAGCTTCTGATGCTGCAGGTGGCCCAGCAGGAGGCGCCTCTGGTGACTCAGGGGCCAGGGAGTTGGGGGTCCCCGGCTCGGGCCTGGGGCTCACAGGGACGAGAGGACAGAAGGAGGAAAGAGGGCGGGTGAGCCAGGGGCAGCCCTTGCAGGGGTGTAGGGGGAGGGAGGGCTGGGAGCTGGGCGCCAGGCCACACTGGGACAGAGAGCTGGGCCGCCTTTGCAGGGGCTGAAGAAGCCCAACGTGGAGGAGATCCGGCATGCCAAGAACGCTGTGTTCAGCCCGTCCATGTTTGGCAGTGCGCTGCAGGAGGTCATGAGCATGCAGAGGGAGCGCTTCCCCGATCGGCAGCTGCCCTGGGTGCAGACTCGGCTGTCGGAGGAGGTGCTTGCACTCAACGGTGACCAGACGGAAGGCATCTTCAGGTGCCCTGCAACCTGGGCCCCGGGCCCCTGCCTCAGAGCAGCCAGAGAAGCCCCCTGAGAGGCCAGCATGCAGGCAGGGAGGGCAACTTGGAGCAAATAGAAGGGCCGGGCGCTCTGCGGCCAGGAGGGTGGGGAGGGCCCCATCTTTAGGAGGTGGGTCAGCAGGGCTCTCCCTCCTGAGTGGCAGCACACCGGAAGCCAGACAGGAGAGCTAGCCAGGGACAGTGCCCTTGCAGAAATGACCAGCAGGGGCCCAGAGGGTACTTGGGCACCGACCATGGGCAGGGCCTGGAAAGATGCAGCAAGCCCAGCAAACGGCCCTCACCTGAGAGTGGAGATGATGGCCCTGTGCCATGGAGGGTGGCACATGGCCAGGCACCTGCTGTCGTGACTCACCTACCCAGGACCCGGGACAGGTGGGGAAGCAGGCTTATGGGTTTGGGCCTCGGGGACCATTCTGAGGAAGGGATCTGCCTGGGGGCAGTCAGCAGAGGGATGAGGGATGGGGGCCTGGGACAGGGGACCCCAGCCACACTTCCCTCTGGTAGGAAAGAGGCCATTTGGGCAGAGAGGGGTCAGGCAGCCCTGACCCTGAGCAAGCCCAGCTCCTCCTCCCTGAGACCTGCCCTGTGCTTGGCAGAGTCCCTGGGGACATTGATGAGGTGAATGCCCTGAAGCTACAGGTGGACCAGTGGAAGGTGCCTACAGGCCTGGAGGACCCCCACGTCCCAGGTAAGCCCCCAGTCCCCTCAGCAGCAGGAGCAGCTCGGACGGTTCAGCCCTCCCTGCTTTCCGTCGTGAAGGGACAGCCCTCTGGTCCATTTCCAGCACAGACGTCCCCCTGCCGTTGGACAGCCTCCGCGGCGCCTCCCTCCGCTTGCCTGCGCACGGTGGCTGCAGAGCCTCTCTTGGTTCCCGGCGCTCGGGGTCAGTCCAGGCCCTCAGGACCAGGAGCCCGCAGGCCTCCGGCCGCGCAGTCCACACGGCTAGGTGGACACCTCCCGTCTGGTCCTGGCCCCTCGCCCCCACTCCCGACACACACGGCCGCTTTCGCCCCTTGCTGCTGGTGGGGCGGGTCCCCGACTGCCCCGCCCAGCCGAAACCCCCGCGCTGCGTCCCCAGCGTCGCTGCTGAAGCTGTGGTACCGGGAGCTGGAGGAGCCCCTGATCCCCCACGAGTTCTACGAGCAGTGCATCGCGCACTACGAGAGCCCCGAGGCCGCCGTGGCCGTGGTGCACGCGCTGCCCCGCATCAACCGCCTGGTGCTGTGCTACCTCATCCGTTTCCTCCAGGTAGGCGGTGCCGCCCCTCCGCGCCCCGCCCCTCCGCGCCCCGCCCCGGCCCACCCGCAGCTCCCCGCTCCCCGCGCAGGTGTTCGTGCAGCCCGCCAATGTGGCCATCACCAAGATGGACGTCAGCAACCTGGCCATGGTGATGGCGCCCAACTGCCTGCGCTGCCGCTCGGACGACCCGCGCATCATCTTTGAGAACACTCGCAAGGAGATGTCCTTCCTGCGCGTGCTCATCCAGCACCTGGACACCACCTTCATGGAGGGCGTGCTATAGCGCGTGGGCACCGAGGGACCGAGGGTGGGGACGGAGCCTGCCCGGGTGCGCCCGGGCAGGGGGCACGCGGGGAGGGGGGAGGGGACGCCCGAGAAGCGGAGGTAGCATGCCGGCTCCGCCCATGCCCGCCCCAGCCCTGGAACCCGCATCCCCCGACCCGGGCCCTCGGCCTGAAGGCGCAACCAAGGCAGAGGGGCTGCGGGAAGGGCGCCTCTGCCCCGCCCCGGGCCTCGTGGCCGTGTCGTTCGGCGCTGCCGCGCCCACCGCCAGCCGCGGTCCGGCCGCGAGAAAGTGCCTTCTGTTTCCTGGAGCCAAGTGACACTGCCCCTCCCGGCCGGCCCGAGAGCACAAGCCGCCCTTGCTGGGGCGAGCCGCCTTGCTGGGGCTGCTGCGCTCAGCTTGGCCCCGGCCCAGCCCGGCTGCCCATCTTGCTCTTCCTCTGCCCTCCCCCTGACCTGGGGGGGGTCTCCTGATCTGCGACTTCCGCCCTCCCCAGTCCCTTCCCGCCCCCTCCCCCTGCCACTTGTGGCCTCCACCGTGGTGACTGCACAGGAGTTTGGGGGCTCCAGGGCTCTGGGCTTTTCACCACCAGAGCAGAACCTGGCTGGTGCTGGGCCCGATAGGCTCTCTCTGGGTAGAAAGGGGCCCCCAAGCCAAAGTCCTCTGGGGTGGGGGGCAGGGTTGGGCAGGCATTCTTTGGGCAGGGTGGGGGAGGGGCAAGAGTATTTTTTCTTCGTGTAACTATAAATTCAGAATCTATCCCGCATCCCAACCCACCTGTGTATAGAGATATAAATAGAGCGAAAGATATAAGAACTAAATTTGCTAATGACATAGTCTTAACCCAAATGTTATTTATTTGAGTCCTCTCCCGTCCTCTGCAGACAAGTTGAGATCATTCCTTTTCTTCTCCACCCTCTTGGCTTCTGACCAAAAATCAAACCCTGCCCCATCCCCATCCAGGACCTGCATCAGATGAGAGGGAAGGAGCCCTGAACTGGGGGACCAGAGGGGCACCGGCGACTGCCCTTCCTCGAGGCCAGAGCCGGGGCGGGGGCAGGGTGGGTGGGTGGAGGGGAGGTATCTAGACTCTCAGTTTGTACATTTTCCAATTTGTAATTTTGAGTTCCAATTGTGGTAAAACTTAATTTCTCCCCGGTTATATATATATATATATTTAGAGTTGAGTTTTTATTTATTATTAAGAACAAAAAAACCCAGTCCTGCCGAGGCCTGGTGTCCACTGGGGGAGCGTCCTCAGTCTGGGAGTCTCGGGGCCTGGGTAGGGGCGGCCCGGCCACAGACTCTCGCTATGATGCACGGACTCGAGAGATGACAACACTGTGTGTGAATAAAGTACGTATGGACACTTGCTAGCCTGTCGCATCCCATTCCTTCCAGTTGCGGCGGGGCAGCTATCAGCGGCCAGTCGGTTGCTGGTGTGGGCACCAGGGTGGAAGCCAGGCCAAGGGAGAATGAATGGGGGCAGCAGGGGGTGGGGGGGAGAGCAAGACAGCTTCCCGGGAACGGGGACGAGACTCCAGGTAGGCGCGCAAGGTGCGAGGCACCTGGGGGGTATCACAACTGAGCCCGAAAGCCCTGCTTGATTGGGAGGGGGGCTTTTTCTGAGCTACCTTACCCGCAAGCTGGCATAGGCTTCTAGGCAGTGTTTATTCACCACCTCTCCGTTCAGCACCCGGCTGGACAGGCAGATTGCTCCACCGGGGTGGGGGGGGGGCTTCCCAGGGGGTGGGGGGAAGAGACAGGGCGGGTACCTCGCCCACGTGAGAGCAACCAGCCTCCGAGGGCGGAGGGACGGGGCCCGCATGCCCGGCAGCGCCCCGTCCCCAGCCCGTATCCCTGTTCCCGAAATCGCCCGCACCCGCGTCTCACACCCGAACCCCACCGTCGGGAGGCCCCCCCGCCACCCCTTTCCCAGCCGGACGGCAGGGCGGCGCGCCCCTAAATCCCAGAGAAGGAAGTGTCGGAACCGCCCGGGGTCCGGGGAACAAGCAAAGCCCGGGGAGTGGGGACGAGCTCCGCGGCCGCCGCCGGAACCCAAAGCGCGAGGTCGCCGACACCAGGGGACTTACGTTAGCGCAGCACCGCCCCCGCGTGACCCTCTGGCCGCTTCCGGCACGGAAGGACGATGTGGGCGACGCGCGGAGTGCTGCGGCCCTGGGCCCTCGGCTTGGCGCGGTCCCCGGGGACCCGGGCCTACGGTGGGGGCGGGGGCGTCTCCTACACGCAGGGCCAGAGCCCAGAGCCGCGGACGCGCGAGTACTTTTACTACGTGGATCATCAGGGCCAGGTGGGCGGGGCCGGGGCCTGAGGGAGGCTCCCGTGAGAGGCGGGTCCTGGTGCCGGGTTTCTGCGGGTCGGGGCCAGAGGGAGGACCCTGTGAGGGGCGGGGCCTGAGTAGGCGGGGTCTTTAAAGTAAGGGTACCCGACCTCCGCAGTCGCGCTGGACAGACTGGGGCGCCCGGCCCCGGCCCCAGAGGGTTAGGTCCGAGCGGCCCACCTCCCACACGTGGTTACGCCCTGCGCGCTTTGCATCCCCAGATCCTGCGGCCCCCAGCTCGGGGCCGCCCCGCCTGCTTTGGAAGCCCTGGAGGGGGCATCCTACATATACAGGAGGAAGCAAGTCAGATAGCCTCCGCGGAGGAGGGGCACATCTCATTAGAAACTTGAAAGGGGGAGGGAAGAAACGCGGGAAAGGCATGCCAACCCAGAGGACCTGTGCATGAGGAAGCAAGGCCGGGGGTGCGGGGTAGATGTGGAGAAAGAAGTCTGCAGGGCCCCCAGGCTTACCTTCCACGCGCCTCCCTGCACACGGTGTGCACAGACAAGCAAAGAAAGCGGACACTGGCCCGGGCTCAGGCCCGCCCAGGCCTTCTCTCCCTGGGGCCGGCTCTGTCGGGATTCCCCCTGGGACTCAAGGGCCACGGTCTGCCTCTCTACAGCTTTTCCTGGATGACTCCAAAATGAAGAACTTCATCACCTGCTTCAAAGGTACTGATGCGCCCTCCTCCCCCACCTTCCCTCTTCCTTCGGGGAAGGCCCTGAAGGGCCCCGCTGCCCAACCACACCAAGGGCACTGGCTGTCCTGCGCTCAAAAGCCCCCTATCTAGAGTGAGGCCTGGGAGGCTGTCCGACCGCCGTAGTCTGCCCTTGGTGTGACCCAGGGCGAGCCCCCTGCCTGGGGCAGTAGGGCCTAGGGGGCCTCGGGGCCCGGCATGCTGAGCAGTCGCGGCCTCCCCCCCACCACAGACCCGCAGTTCCTGGTCATCTTCTTCTCCCGCCTGAGACCCAACCGCAGCGGGCGCTACGAGGCCTCCTTCCCCTTCCTCTCGCCCTGCGGCAGAGAGCGCAACTACCTACGCTGCGAGGACCGTCCCGTGGTCTTCACGCACCTGCTGGCCGCTGGCCCCGAGCCCCCGCGCCTCTCCTACTGCGGCGGCGGCGAGGCCCTGGCCGTGCCCTTCGAGCCGGCGCGCCTACTGCCCCTGTCCTCCAATGGGCGTCTCTACCACCCGGCGCCGGAGCGCGCGGGTGGCGTGGGCCTGGTGCGATCGGCTCTGGCCTTCGAGCTCAGCGCCTGCTTCGAGTACGCGCCCGGCGCGCCCGAGCTGCCCTCGCACGTGCGCTGGCAGGGCAGCCGTTTCGCCCTCACCATGGACCTGGCCCCGCTGCTGCTCGCCACCCCGCCGCCCTGAGCGGCGGGGTCGCAGCCGCTGGCGCCCCCAGCCCCGCTGCGCCCCCCGGGCTGCGTCGCTGCGCACGCGCCACCCGGAGAGAGCGCTGTCCGAGTGCGCGTGCGCGGCGGAGGTGCGCCGCGGCCCCGCCCCGCCCGGCGCTGTCCGAGGTGCTGCCGCGGCCCGAGAACCGACGCGGGGAGGGGCGGGGTCACGGGTGCTCTACCCCGTCCGCACATCCCCGGCCTGGGGCGTCCTCGGGTTCGGCCAGCGCTCGCGACGGCAGACCCGGGCTGCCGGGAGGGAGGTGCGGGGGCTCCAGTGCGCGAGCGCGAGCGGCGCCCGCCCCTCCCCCGCCCGGCGCTGCTCTGTGGGCCGGCGTTCGGCGGGGGAGCCGCGCCGCAGGAGTGTCAGGTGAGGGGGCGCCCGACCCAAGGTCAGCGGGCGTGGGGGCGGGATCAGGGGCCATCCCGGCTCTGTCCCCGGCGATCACCGAGAAGGGCGTGCGACCTGGCGGGGACCACACCCTGCCCTGAACCGGCCCGGGACAGGCCGCGCCGGAGCAGATGCAAGGGGCGCCTTGGGAGATCAAGGCACCCGACTCGGGCCTCGCACTGCGCTGGAGAGCGTCACAGGGCTTCCTCCATTACCCCTCCAACCTCCCTCCCCGCACAGATGGGCTCCCTGGAGACAGTGACAGCCTTCTCCAAATCCAGTATGTGACGCCCCGCCCCCTGCCCAGCCAGATTAGGGAGTTCTCCGCTGAGTAAAAGGATTTCTGGCCTGGCCTCCCCTGCTCTTCCTGCTTGAATCCTCAATGCTGCCCAGGCCAGCCCTTCCACACGAATCAGCATCTAGTGGGTGTCCGTGTGGGCAGCAGTCCCCTGAGTCTTGAGGAGGAGATCAAGAACCTTCTCTGTTTGAGAGGCCTTGCCACCGGAAGGTAGGTGGGCGCCCTGGGCCAAATCTTTTGCTCAGGGAAATGGATCCTGGGGGCTCAAAGTATGCCCCCTAGTTCTCGGGGTTCTTCACACACCTTCTGAGACATCTGGGAACTGCCTCTGCCTGGGCCAAAGCGATTCCATTAAAACTTTTGCTGTGCCTACTTTTTTTTTTTTTTTTTTTGCGGTACGCGGGCCTCTCACTGCTGTGGCCTCTCCCGTCGCGGAGCACAGGCTCCGGACGCGCAGGCTCAGCGGCCACGGCCCACGGGCCCAGCCGCTCCGCGGCACGCGGGATCCTCCCAGACCAGGGTACGAACCCGCGCCCCCCGCATCGGCAGGCGGACTCCCATCCACCGCGCCACCAGGGAAGCCCTGCTGTGCCTGCTTCTCTTCAGTGATCTTAAATAATCATGTGAGTTACAATTTAGAGCAAGATTTAAACAAACACCAAGGCCACTTGGTGTCTTTCCACATGACTCACTCTCCTAATAGGGAGACCAGGTGAACAGGCAGGTGTTCAGAGCAGGGACCATTTGAGGTGGGGCTGGAGGCTAGCTGATAGCACACCCTCAGCCCTACCATCCATGGCTTCATACTGGCTGGCTTCTCAGCCCAGGTCCCCACCTTTACAACTGGACTCATTGTGCCTTGAACTAGACCCAGGCCTTCTCCTCTCTCTAGGATCACAGCTGCATGTGTATAAACCCCAAAACACTACACACTCCTTCAGAGCCCAGGAGATCAGTGTTCCCAGAGCCTACTTGGGAAACTACACTAAAACCCAGTTAGTGGCCCAAGGCCCCTCTTTCACACCCCAGCCATTCCAGGGCCCCACCTACCCCCAAAGACGGATGCACCTTTCTCAGAGCCAGCATGGAGAACACAGTCCCACAGCTTCTGAACTGGCTTTCCTATTTGTCTCATCCCCCGATTGTCTAACAATTTCCCTGAGGAAAAGCTCTAATTCTACCTAAGCTGTTCTACCAACCCCCACCCCCAGGAGGGCAGGGCCAGAGGCTGGACAAAACTGTGCCTGTGGCTGGCTGGTGGCTCCCCTGAGATGTCCTCCATCAGTTCACAACAGGTGAATCCCAGGGTTGGGGTCATAGCATGAGTTCTAGAGACAAAAATGCCTAGAGTAAACCCTGGGTCAAGGTTAGGTGAGGGCAGGGACAGACACTAGCAGCGTGGAGCCTTGGGCAGAGATGGGATGGGGAGAGAAGTGGGTTGGGGTGGTGTAGGCTCTCCTGTGGCCTGTGTGGCACGACGGAGGACATGACAAATTCTAAACCGAAACCTGATGCCCCAGATCTTTATGCTTTTTTATAAAGGAAGGCAGTTTTATCAGTTTCTTGAACTAATTTCAAACTTCAAAAATCAGACACGGTGTGTACCTCCATCCGTGCTTTTCACTGGCTCTCAAATGTTAGGGACAGGCCTGACAACCTGTGTTTCAGGAGGCGCATCCCATCGGGGCCAGACTGTAGGGAGGCTGCTGCGAAGGCTGCAACTTCGTGGCCTGCGGCCGGTCCCGCAAGAGATGGCCCCAGGGGCGCCCGCACTGCTGCTGCTGTCGCTGCTGTCACTGCCGGGTCTCCCGCCTCGCGCTGCCGGCTGCCCTGCGGCCTGCCGCTGCTACAGCGCCACGGTGGAGTGCGGCGCCCTGCGGCTGCGCCTGGTCCCGTCCGGAATCCCGCCTGGGACGCAGGTGGGCACCGAGTGGGGCTGCGGGCCAGGGGTGCCCGCGACACGCAGGGATGGTGTGTGAGCCTCCCGGTGGGTGAGTGGGGCGCCCTAGGGAAAAGAGAGACCCCCTCAGTGGGGTAAACGCCCTCCCTCCCTCCTTCTGGCACAGACGCTGTTCCTGCAGGACAACAGCATCGCGCGCCTGGAGCCGGGCACCCTGGCACCCCTCGCCTCCCTGCGTCGACTCTACCTGCACAACAACAGCCTGCGCGCCCTGGAGCCAGGCGCCTTCCGTGCGCAGTCGCGCCTGCTGGAGCTGGCGCTCACCGGCAACCAGCTGCGCGGCTTGCGCGTTGGCGCTTTTGCCGGCCTGGCCCAACTGCGCGTGCTCTACCTAGCTGGCAACCAGCTGGTACAGCTGCTGGATTTCACCTTCCTACACTTGCAGGTGAGGGGGGAGGAGTGGGCAAGACGGGCAAGAGGTCCTCCTGCACTGCCACCTGCCTTACCGGGCTGGAGTAGCGAAGGGGAGAAAAGGCAGCCCAGTCTAGCCTGGTAAGAAGGGGACATGTCCCTCAGGGCCCCTTTCCCTGATGACCTACTGTCCCTGCTTCAGCGACTGCAGGAGCTGCACCTGCAGGAAAACAGCATCGAGCTGCTGGAGGACCAGGCCCTGGCCGGGCTCTCCTCGCTGGCACTGCTGGACCTCAGCAGGAACCAGCTGGGCACCATCAGCCAGGAGGCCCTACAGCCCCTGGCCAGCCTGCAGGTCCTGCGCCTCACAGGTACCTCTTTCTGGGGGCAAGGGACTCTCATGCAAAGGTAGCTTCCTTGACCACAGTGGTGGCGGTAGGTAGCCGGCCCAGCTGTGGAGGGGGCTCCAGTGGCAGTGCTCTGGGGGGTCCCACCACCACCCACAGCCATGACAGAAGACTGCTAGGAGTAGGGGTGCTGGCCGGGTTACTGTTGCCTAAGGAAGACAGAAAAAGTATGAGTCCCTGAACAAACTGGACATTAGCTGAGCGGCTCACACACTTTAGGGCCAGGAGAGGGTAGGCAGGAAAAAACTGGGAAGATGAGACCAGGACTGGGGACATTTCCTGGAGACAGCACCCGAAGACAAGGCTGGCAGGATGTGCAAGGTTTTAGTGCAGGTGGGATATCTATGTGCACACAGAGGTTCCCCCCAGATAGCAAGACTTCTCACAGGGAGAGACATCAGAGGAGCGGGGTCCTTCTCAGAGATGGGTGAAGTAAACTGGACGTGCATCACAGAAGGGAGATGGGGGGGGTTGGCTGCCCACACTTAAGGAGACTGGGGTCAGAGAAGGGGTGGCAGGGGTCCCCAGCTGTGGGAGGTGAGAAAGGGGCTCCTGCTCTGGCCAACAACCTCAACCACACACGCTGTGCTCTGGGGCCGCCCCTGAGCTAGCTACCTGTCCGCTGCTGCTCTGCCCACAGAGAACCCATGGCGCTGTGACTGTGCCTTGCACTGGCTGGGAACCTGGATCAAGGAAGGGGGCCAGCGACTGCTCAGCTCCAGGGACAAGAAAATCACGTGTGCAGAGCCCCCCCGCCTGGCACTTCAGAGTCTCCTGGAAGTATCTGGCAGTAGCCTCATCTGCATCCCACCCTCTGTGCACGTGGAGCCGCTGGAGGTGACAGCCAACCTGGGTGAGGACCTGCGGATTGCCTGCCAGGCTTCCGGCTACCCGCAGCCCCTGGTGACCTGGAGAAAGGTGGCGCAGCCTCGCGAGGGGCCGCCGCAGGCCCGGGCCCAACCTGGAGGCGGGGTGCCGGGCCCAGGTGGGCCCGGGGCATCCGACACGGGCAGCGGCATGCTCTTCCTCACCAACATCACCCTGGCCCACGCTGGCAAATACGAGTGCGAGGCCTCCAACGCCGGCGGCGCCGCCCGCTTGCCCTTCCAGCTTCTGGTCAACCTGTCCCAGCAGCTGCTGCTGGCGCCTGCGCCGCCCCGGGCCGGCGACCCAGTCAGCCACGAGCCCCTGCCCGAGATGGGCGGCATGGCCTTTCGCGCCCTGGGCCTGGCCACGCAGACGGCCATCGCGACGGCCATCGCGCTCCTAGCGCTCACGGCGCTGCTGCTGGCGACCATGATCTGCCGCAGGCGGCGCAGGCGCAAAAAGGCACCAGGGCCTCCGGGGGAGGGCGCGCTCTTCGTCAACGATTATTCGGACGGGCCCTGCACCTTGGCGCAGCTCGAGGAGCTCCGCGACGAGCGGGGCCACGAGATGTTCGTCATCGACCGCTCCAAGCCGCTCTTCGCCGAGGGCCCGGCGGAGGCGGCCGAGGGCGCAGCGCCCGGAGTCGCGCAGGGCCTCCCGCTGCAGCCGCCTGCCGCCTACGAGATCCGTTGCTGAGGGGGGTCGGGGCGGACGCGCGCTGATGACGCGGGCCCCGCAGATTGGCCAGCTCGGCTCGCCCTGCGCATGCTCCAGCGCCATCAGTAAACGGTGGAAGCTGCGCCGTGTCGCGAGCCGTGTATGGGGTTCCTGGGCGTCGGGCGGGGCGGAAGCACCTGCGGACTCCTGCAGATGGAAGTTCTGGGGCGCGAACGGAGGGTAGCCAGGATAGGCTTCCAACGCCCCACTGAGACCCTCCAGAAAAGACCCCTGCCCAAATAACCAGACCTCCAGCTCTGCAGGTCCGCCTCGGGCCCCGCCGCCCCAGGAAAAGCCTGAACCTCTGCGAGGAGGGGCGACGGACTGTGGAGATGTCTAGAGAAAAGATGGGGCGGCAGGCCGTTAGGACATGTCACCCAGTGGCCAGGCTGAGGGTGAGAGCAGAGCAAGAAACAACTCACTCTGACCAGTTAGGACAGAAAAAATAGCCACAGATTTAAGTTCTAAGCACACTGCACGTTTGTACCTTAAAGACACTCTCTGGTCCCCAAACCCGGCCGACAGGCAGTCTCCTGTGTGCCAGGGAAAAGAGAACGTTAAGAGGCCCCAGAGTGCCTGGGAGCCCAACCCTCCTTGAAGCAGGCCCCTGTCCAAACTTCCACCCCAGAGCAGTCTGCTCTTGGGGAGGGCCCAAAGGAAAACATCCTCTCTCAGCTCATAGATCCTAGGAACATTCCAAGGAGAGAACCAGGACACCGGAGGGCAGCTCAGTGCAGCCAAACCAAGCAGGGCCATGTAGGCCTGGAATTCAGCCCTCAGGCCCACAGATGGTCAGTGAGTCAGGGGAGCAAGTGCAGGACAAACTGCACAGGGTGCTGCAAAAAGCATGGGCATGCTCAAGGTGCGCCCAGGAGCAAAAAAATCAGAGACTAGTGCCTTCGTGTCAGGCCTCCAGCAAGGTCCCAAAGGCTCTGACTACCCAAGGGGCAAGAGGCCTCCAGCAGCCCTGGACCCCAGGACAGCCTAACTCTCACCCAGAGCCTGGAGATCACAGGCTAAAGTAGTCTGCAGCCAGGCGCCCATAGATGTCTGTGGTCCAGAGCACGTGGGCACGGCCTGAGGCCAGTAGCAACTGGTGCAACTCAGCCTCCACGCGGGCAAACTTCTCCTCATTGATGGAGGCTTCCAGCAGGACAGAAGCAGGCGGTGGCCAGGGCAGGCCCTCATAGCAGTCCACGGGGAAAGGGTGCACCACCGTGCGCAGCTCGGCCTGTGCCACCGAGTCCCTCAGGAGCTCCTTGAGGCCCGCCATAGACAGCGGGTTACCGTAGAGGCCGAGGTAGCGGAGGCTGGCACAACGAGTCAGCACAGGAAGTGTGGCCAGCAGTTGGGTATCGGCAAGCTGGCACTCGGTCAGCTCGAGGTGCAGCAGTGTGGCTGCTGCTGCCTGAAGCAGACCCTGGAAGGGCTCCAGCTGGCTGCCGGACAGGTCATTGCCACTCAGGTCCAGCTTCTTGAGGTGGACAGCATGGGGGCTCCGTGCCAGGAAACGCAGGTCCTCAGGCAGCAAGGCGCAGAAGGCCAGCTCCAGGCTCTCCAGGGGGCTCTGCAGGGTGCTGCGGAGGACACAAGGGGTCACAAACAGGCTGGGCCAGGGGAAGGCCTCCTGGAGGGGAAGGGAAGGGCAGGGCAGGGCAGGGCAACAGCAGGGCCTGCTCACCTGAGCAGCTGGTCCAGCCGCCCCGAGAGAAGAGAGGAGCCCATGCTGAGCTCCCGCAAACAGGTGAAGCGGCCCATCTGGGCCAGGAAGTAACGGAAGTTGTCCTCGCCGTCCACAGAGGGCTGCCGAGAGTCCCCGTGCACATAGTGTAACCGCAGGCTGGCCAGGTGCTGGAAGCGGGCCACGTGTGGGATGATGACGGACAGGCCTCGCAGGCCCAAGTTGTTGAAGCGCAGGTCCACGCGGCGCAGGCAGCCCGCATCCAGAAGCTGCAGCAGGGCCACGGTATTGCGCATGGGCAGGTCCTCAGCCCGCAGGTCCCGGCAGCAGAGCCGCAGTGGACTGCCCGCGCTGCTACGGAGTGCCTCCCGCAAGAACGCGTAAGAGGCCCGGTTCACCCGCAGGTCCACACGCACCTCCACAGGAACGGGGGCCAGGCCGGGCTCTGCAGTCCTGCCCTGCTGCTGTGCGATGCACGTGCGGGCCACAGCTGCCGTGCAGTCCCACATGCTCATGGTGCCCGGGTCCTGCTCCACGCCGTCATCCAGGAGGCCCGTCATGTCCAGCACCCGCAGCGCGTGCTTCCTGGGAGCACGGGTGGGCTGAGGCAGGAGACAAGGGAACACAGCCCACACCCACTCCCAGCCACCTTAGGACAGGAGCAACATGCCTGTTCCTGCATTGTGCTCTTGCACTAGCCTGGAACCTCTTAGGGACCCTCTCTGCACCCCCCAGGCCCGAGGGCCCCTCCAGTGAGCCCATACCTGCAGAGGGGCTGTGTGCCAGCCTCAGTCTCCGGGGTGTGGAGCCGGGCAGTCAGCCCCAGGATCACGGCTTGCATGCTCTCTGTGCTAGGCCGCTCCTGCAGCAGGGCCCGGCTGCAGTGGGCACACTCCTGCAGCAGCTGCTGGAAGCTAAGCAGTGGAAAGGGCCACGTGTGCACCAGCTCGCGCAGCACAACGGTCTTCTTGTCCATGAAGGCCACTTTGAAGAGCAAGGGGAAGAGCTCTCGTGGCAGCAGGGGCAAGGCCTGGCAGGCAGCTGACTGGCACTGGAGCACCTGCCGTGTGCTCAGGAACACAAGGGTGTGCATGGTGCTGGGCCGGGCAGGAGGCCACCTGCAGGGAAGGGCCCTTCAGTGGGGAGGACAGACCCCAGGCCTCCACCCCCTCCACGCCCTGGTAGTGGGAAAGCTCAGCATGGTGCTCGGCACAGAGTGTAGAACCATGGCACCAAAGAGCAAGTGCTAGGTGCTTTGCCTTAGGGTTAGGGTAGTGAAAAGGAAAACGAGGCCACCCCCAGTCCCCGCCCTCCAGCACGGGGGCCTCCCTAGGGAGACAAAGCCATCGAGCAGCACATAAACAGCATGGCACCAGAGATGACCAGCTTGCCTGCGTGTGCTTTTGATGGCTGTTACTCTGCAGGGCCCACCATCTATATTCCAGGCCTCCCAAATCACAATGCCACTTATCAGAGATCTGCTCTTCTGCCCTTCCTTAAAAGTAGGCAAAAACAAAGCCCCCTATCCCCCAAGCACAAGAGAGATGGGATACTACCAGGGGGCTGGAAGCTGCATCACAGGACCCTCTCCCAGCCTCCTCAGAAGCCTTGGGAGGCCGCCCTTGGATTCTGTGCAGCACAGCAAAGAAGAGTTGGAAGTACAGATGCAGTTTAATAAACAGCAGGGCAGATAGAAAAGACCAGAACCCAGACAACTCTGAGTCCAAGGGGCCTGAGTAACCCAAGCCCTCAACGCGAGCCCCGGTTATAACTACTGTCTTCCAGGAGTATTATCAGGTACGGAGACCCCTGGAGATTTACAGAAAGAATGCCTCACCCATCGAGATCCTCGCCACCTGCATAAACGTCTCTCTCTTCCCTGGAGAACCATGTTAAGAGACCAAGTCTCAAACCCATGGGATTCAGAGGCCCCAAATTAGGAGCCTTTGCTCAGACGGGTACAGGCAGCTGCCAAAGGGACGTCCAAACTGACAAGGAGCACAGAGGAGGTGCCCGAGAGCACAGGGTACCTGGGTGTCAGCTCTGCTGCTGACTTACTGTGCGCCCGCCTGGCACCTCATCCTCAAAACTGCTTCTGGGTCATCTCCCTGAAAACAGGTTAGACAACTAAGACCTAAGTCTTGCTCGACAGAGGTCACAGCCTGGGTGATGAGCTCGGGAAGGGTGGCAGCCTGGCTCCAGAGCCCCTGCTCTTGCGGACCTCACACACAAGTCCTTAGGACACTGGTTCCTGAGAAGCCCGGGACGTCAACCCTCGGCCTCGCTCTGCCTGTGGACAAATCTCGCGAGGACGATTCATACCTCGCTGTGACAGGACAGACCAACCAAGCACCTGTCACGAGACGAAACGAAAGCAGCCAGTGTGGTCACCGTGGGAGGAGCCTCTGTGTAGTGGCCGCCGTCCCCCCCACCGGCCCGCGGCTCCGCCGTTTCCCTGAAGATGCCCCCGCCCGGCTCCTCCAAGCCTCGAGCCGCGGGAGGCTCTAAATCCGACGCCCTCCGCCTTCCGGGCGGGGTCTGCCCCTCGAAGCCTGCGCGTCGCCTCCTGGGACCCGAGGCCGCTCAGCCCGGCACCGTGCTCCGGGTCCTCCCCTCCCCGCAGCCACACCGCCTGGGCTCCCACCCCCGCCTCCCGGGCGGCGCCGTCCCGAGCGCCCGCACCGGCCTCGTGCGGCCAGGCAGAGACGGTGACACACGCCGCCAAGCTCCGTCGCCGGCCGGCAGTCTGCGCTCACCGGGCCCGCAGACGACGCCGCCGCCGCCGCCGCCGCCGGCCCCGCCTCGCCGTACGCTGCGCCCCGCCCAGCGCCGCCGCGCGCCGCGATGACGTTACGCCCCCCATTGGCTGCCGCCTCAGGGCCCCGCGGATTGGCTGCCCCGGCCTGGCGGCCGCCGCGTCGCCCCGCCTCCAACCCCGCCGAGCGCCCCCAGTGGCTGGCGGCCGGCGTCGCCCTCCTGGCGGGAGATTCCTGGGGCGCCGGGCGCAGGGCAGGGCGACCATGGAGCAGCTGCGGGATGTGCGGGAGCGGCTGCAGGCGTGGGAGCGCGCGTTTCGGCGGCGGAGCGGGCGGTTGCCGGGCCAGGTGCGGGCTGCCCGTGGGCGGGGAGCTGAGGGAGCGGCATCCGGCTGACGCGCTCCCTTTACAGGAGGACGTGGAAGCGGCGCCCGAGGAGACCCGCGGTGAGCGAGCGGGCGCAGGGCGGAGGCAGCGGCCGGGGACGCGGGCAGGGGGCGGGCGGCCTCCACCCCCACGCCCAGCCGAGCCCTGCCTCCTGAACACCGACCCCCCCCCCCCGTCCGGCCCCGCCCTCAGCGCTCTACCGGGAGTACCGCACCCTGAAGGAGGCACTGGGTCAGGCCGGCGGCGTCGGGCCTCACGGCTCGGAGCAGTCGCTTCCCGCGGCGGCGGCCGAGGAGGTACCCGGGCTCGACATCCCAGCCTATCGGTCAACTTCCTGTATGCCGGATCCAGGAGGAGTCGTGACCCAGGCTCTGTGGGGCAAAGAACTCAGGGGGCGGGCTGACAGGGTGGAGGAAGGACAGCCCCCACCCTCAGGTCTCTGGGGCTGGAGACACCTCTGTTCCCCCCTGCGCCAGCCTTTCCGTGGCCTAGATCTCTACCGTCTCTTCCTGCAGATGCTGGAGCCCAGCTGCTGGGGGCCCCACCTGAATCGGGCCGCGACCCAGAGCCCCCATCCTCCATCAAGGCTCAGCTCTCAGGGATCTGTGCAGGACTACGGGAAGAGGCTTAAGGCCAACCTAAAGGGCAGTCTGCAGGTGAGGGTCGGGCAGGCAGTGCATCCAGCCTAGCTCCAGAGCTACGCTTGGCCCAGAAGCAGGATCAGCAGGCAGCCAACCCTGTTAAGTCTTTCACACGTGTTCACGTGCACACACACAACTCCAGCATTTCCCAGAGCGCAGCCCTCCAGAAGAGCTCAGCGTCGCCTCTACTCTCGACTTCTTTTACGTCCCAGCCTTAGGTTTCTCACATCGCCCAGCTGTTACAGGTGGGGCCTCCAGCAGGTTTCAGAGTCTGCAGCACCCCAAGGGCCTCAGTTCCTGCTTATCTCTCCCTCCCAGGCTGGGCCAGCCCTGGGCCGAATACCCCGGCTTACACGAAGATCCTCCTCCAAGATGCCTTCCCCAGGGCCACCAGGCACAGGAGCTGCCACCATCTCTCCAGAAGAAGTCAGTGAGGTGCCCCCCCAGCCTCCCAGGCCCGAGCTGAGGCCAGGCCGGCCCCAGCAGTTGAGGGCATCCCTGAGCCTGCGGCTGGGCTCCCTAGACCCAGGCTGGCTGCAGCGGTGTCACAACGGGACCTCAGATTTTCTGGGGGTTCCCAGGGCCTGCCAGCCTTGCCTGGGTGCAGAAGAGTCCCAGCTTCTTACTCCAGGTGTTGCATCTGTCTTCGGTCCCAGCGCTGGCCCTGAGGTGCCTTTACAGGGCCCAGAGACTCCAACCCTACTAGCAGCTGGTATCAGTGCAGGAAACTCTCAGCCTGGTACCCGTCAAGGCAAGAAGCGGAGATGGAGTGGGGAGCTGGAGGGAAGCCCTGCACAGACCCAGCAGGACAGCAGCCAAGCAGGACCCCTGCCTGCAGGAGCTGTGGCTGCAGTGGCTACAGAAGACTGTCCAGAGCAGCCTGTGCAGGCACAGCCCCCCAGCAAGCCCCCAGCCCCCAGGTATCACTGCCCTAGCCTCCCAGCAGCGCTGCCTTCAGTCGCGCCATGGTGGGGAGGGCTGTGGGTGCAGTCGACCTGTGCGTCTCTTCTAGACTTGCTGTCCAGAACAGGGGGAACTATGTGCGACTCAACATGAAGCAGAAACGCTACGTACGGGGCCCGGCCTCAAGGGGCAGGCTCCTTCGCAAGCAGGTGAGAAGGTGGTGCCGGGTGTTCCCGCCCACCTGCCTTGCTTCTTGCTCTGTGAGTCTCCTTTGTGTCCCCACTAGGTATGGAAGCAGAAGTGGCAGAAGAAAGGAGAGTGTTTTGGGGGTGGTCAGCGCAGAGCCACAGCCCAGGATTCTTGCTCCCAGTGTGGGCAGCTCAGTCACTGGGCATCCCAGTGCCCTCAGCCAGGTGAGGCCTCTGCCCTGGGGGGTGGCTTGGGCCAGCGCTGCTTGCAGGGGTTGTTGTGCTCTTTGGGGAGGCGGCTCTAGCTCAAGCAAAAGGCCCTCCTAACTCCTGCCCCTGGTCCAGAACTTACCCTGGCTCCTCAGAAGGAGGGTGGCAAGGATGAGGGTGGCGCACAGACCCGGGCCACGTTCAAGGAAGTATCCCAGAGAATGGGCGCTGCCTGCCGCCAACTCTCTGGTGAGCAAAGAGGTGGAGGAGAGGTTGTAGCAAGTGGCTTTCTTGCCAGAGTGACCCCAGACCAGTCCGGAGCTCCTGTCCTACCCTGTCTTATCTGCTCTCGGCAGGTGAAGAGGACACAGAGCCTGCGGGGTCTGAGCTGCTGGTGCCCACAGGGCAGTCTGTGCCCAAGGCTCCTTGTCCGCCTCCTGTGCCACCACTCTATCCGCCAGGGCCTTTGGGGCAGGTGGTAGGTGAGTAGACGCCTACCAGCTCCAGAGCCTTGACTGGGAGGTGGGGGCGACTCGGGGCCATGCTGACGGATACCTGTGTCCACAGACACGCCAGCTGAGGTGCTTCAGGCCCTGGAGCAGCTGGGGCACCAAGCCTTCTACCCTTTGCAGGAGCGTGTGGTCATGCGGATCCTGTCTGGTGAGTACGGCCGGCAGGGGGCGCGGTGGGACTGCGGCTGGGCCACAGAGCTGTGCTCTTGACCCTCTCGGTAAAACCCAGGTGTGTCCACGTTGCTGGTACTGCCCACGGGGGCTGGTAAGTCCCTGTGCTACCAGCTCCCCGCACTGCTCTACTTCCGGCGAAGCCCCTGCCTCACGCTGGTCGTTTCTCCTCTCATGTCGCTCATGGACAACCAGGTTGGTGGACAGGGTCTCTGGGTAGGTGCAGAAGGCGAGAGCTGGTACCCGTGGCTCTGCTGACCCGCTTGGGCTGCTGCTTCTTGCCCCACCCCCACCCCCGAGTGGCAAGTCGCCAGGCCATTTTCAGCTCTGTCTATGAGCTGGCAGTGGCCCAAAAGCAGCAGGGACACAGCTGGCTAGACCCAGGCCCACCCACAAGAGGAGCAGCTTGGGGGAAGGAGCGTCCCCATGGGGACCTGTCTCCAGTGCTCCTGAGTCCAAGCCCACAGGTGGCTCTGAACCCTTAGTCACAGGACCCAGGACCTGGGTTTTTCTCCCAGAGATCCTGGAGGGGACACAGCAGTAGTTGTCCGGCCAAACCATTCTAAGAGGCATTTGGGGAAGGGCCAGGGCTGGTGGCCTGTGACAGGCTGTGCTCCTGTACCTGCAGGTTTCCGGCTTGCCCCCAGGCCTGAAGGCGGTCTGCATCCACTCGGGGATGACCAAGAAGGAGCGGGCCTCCGCCCTGCAGAAGGTTAGGGGCCCTCACAGGGCGAGAGCGGCAGAGGCAGCAGGCAGACCCCCCTGGGCGGTGCTCCTGACCTTGCCATCATCCTCAGGTTCGGTCAGCCCGGGTGCAAGTGCTGATGCTGTCGCCAGAGGCGCTAGTTGGGGCGGGGGGCGCTGCCCTCCTCGCTCAGCTGCCACTGGTCGCCTTTGCCTGCATCGACGAGGCCCACTGCCTCTCCCAGTGGTCCCACAACTTCCGGCCCTGCTACCTGCGTGTCTGCCAGGTAAGCCTTGTGCGGGGGGGCGGGGGGGTGCTACGTGAGCAGACCAAGGAAGGCTGGGCATCTCACCACTCCTCTCCACGCAGGTGTTGCGCGAACGCGTGGGTATAGGCTGCTTCCTGGGTCTCACAGCCACGGCCACGCGCAGCAGTGCCCTTGACGTGGCCCGGCACCTGGGCGTGGCCGAAGAGTCTATCCTCAGGGGGCCGGGCACCATCCCTGCCAACCTGCACCTCTCTGTGTCTTCGGACAGGGACCCAGACCAGGTAAGCACGCACGCGCGGGCCGAGCAGAGGCCCTGCCTTCCGACTGCTCGTGCTCAGCCTCGTCCTCTCCAGGCTCTGGTGACGCTGCTGCAGAGTGATCGTTTCCGTGCCCTGGACTCTGTCATCGTCTACTGTAACAGACGAGAGGACACGGAGCGTGTCGCTGCCCTGCTGCGCACCTGCCTGCATGAGGCCCAGGCCCCAGGATCCCGAGGTGAGGTGGAGGCAGGCCTGCACTCCACAGATGGGCCCCGGGCACATGCCCCACCTGACCATCGTGGGTCTTCCCTGCAGGCCGAGCCCCGGAGGCTGTGGCTGAAGCCTACCACGCCGGCATGGGCAGCAGGGAGCGGCGGCGGGTGCAACGGGCCTTCATGGAGGGCCGGCTGCGGGTGGTGGTGGCCACGGTGGCTTTCGGGATGGGGCTGGACCGGCCAGACGTGCGGGCCGTGCTGCACCTGGGGTTGCCCCCAAGCTTTGAGAGCTACGTGCAGGCTGTGGGCCGGGCTGGGCGTGATGGGCAGCCTGCACAGTGCCACGTCTTCCTCCGGCCCCAGGTGGGTACCCGTCCCCCCACCGCTCCCCCAGCCCCGCCCCCTGCTGCGGCCCCGCATTCATGCTGCCCTGCTGCAGGGTGAGGATCTGTGGGAGCTGCGCAGACACGTTCACGCCAACGTCATCGACTTCCTCGCCGTGAAGAGGCTGGTGCAGCGCGTGTTCCCTCCCTGTGCTTGCGCCCGGCAGCCCCCAGAGCAGCAGGGAGACGAGAGCCAGGAAGGGCACTTGGCCAGGGTCCTCGTGGCTACATCTCCCCAGGACGCTGACCATCCCAGCCTTGAGCACACAACCCGGTGCCCGGGCCACAAGCGGGCGCTCCCGGTGCAGCCAACTGTGCAAGCCCTGGATTTGCCCGAGGAGGGTGAGGAGCAGGGAGCGTCGGGGGGGGGGGACACCCCAGCACCCCCGCATCTTCTGAGCCCTGCTCTGCCCCCAGCCATCGAGACTCTGCTGTGCTACCTTGAGCTGCACCCACAGCGTTGGCTGAAGCTGCTGGCGCCCACCTATGCCTGCTGCCACCTGCGCTGCCCCGGGGGCCCCACCCAGCTCCAGGCCCTGGCCCGCAGGTGAGCGCAATCCCACCCCAGGCTCAGGACCGGGACAGAGAACCAGGGCTGCCAGTCACACGTCCCTTCCCCTGGTACAGGTGTCCCCCACTGGCTGTGTGTTTGGCCCGGCAGTGCCCCAAGACGACAGGTGGGGGAAGCAGTTCTGTGGAGCTGGACATGGTCGAGCTGGCAGACTCCATGGGCTGGGAGCTGGCCCCCGTGCGGCGGGCTCTCCACCAGCTGCGGTGGGATCCAGAGCCCGGGACAGGTGCGCCCGCCCCCAGCCCTGCTTGCCTCCTGTTTGCCGCCTTTCTGCCAGTTTCTGACACCCTATCTGGCAGGTGTGCCTCAGGGCACGGGGGTGCTGGTGGAGTTCAGGGAGCTGGCCTTCCACCTGCACAGCCCCGGGGACCTGACAGCCCAGGAGAGGGACCAGATCTGTGACTTCCTGCACGGCCGCGTGCAGGCCCGTGAGCAAGAAGCCCTGGCCCGCCTGCACCGCACCTTCCGGGCTTTCCACAGGTGCAGGAGGGGCTGGGCAGGGCCTGGGCCACCCCATCCTCCCCAAGGTGGGCCGCTCTGACAGGTTCTCCCCACCCCAGCGTGGCCTTCCCCAGTTGTGGGCCGTGTCTGGAGCAGCCCGATGAGGCACGCAGCGGCAGGCTCAAGGCCCTGCTCAGCCACTACTTCGAGGAGGAGTTAGAAGCACCGGGGGGCGTGGAGGCCGAGGAGGACCCTGAGCCAGGACAGGCCAGGGTGAGTGTCAGGGCCTCTGGGGAGCGGGGAGGGGGAGAGGAGGAGAGGAGTTGCAGAGAGGACGCACCGCCGGCTGCAGGCACACACCTGCCTCCCGCCCCTCACCGAGCACTACAGAACAGCATGCCACGTGTCCCCACCGGCAGCTCCAGGACTGGGAGGACCAGATCCGCCGGGACATCCGCCACCTCCTGTCCTCGTGGCCAGAGCAGCGGTTCTCAGGCAGGGCTGTGGCCCGGATCTTCCACGGCATCGGTGCGGACCTGGGAGGCCCAGCCCTGAGCAAGGCGGGGGCTGGGGGCAGACCTGGCCGGAGTTGTCAGAGCCGTGTCTCCTCCCACTGCAGGAAGCCCCTGCTATCCGGCCCAGGTGTACGGGCGGGACAAGCGCTTCTGGAGAAAGTACTTGCACCTGAGCTTCCATGCCCTCGTGCACTTGGCCACAGAGGAGATCCTGCTGTGGGGCTGCTGACCACCCTGCCGCGGAAGGACCCAGTTCCCCCACGTCACAAGCACGGGCCTGAGCAGGGGCTGCGTGGCCACAGCGTGGGGGGGTATCAGGTGCAGCAGGTCCTCAAGGCAAAGATGGGCGTAGGTATCAGTGGCCAGGACAGCGACCAACCACTCTGGACAAACGCCACCACCAGTAGCATGGGGGCAAGGAGCCCCCAAAGTGCAGAATAAAAGATGCTCGAGCCATTTTCAGGAACCCTTCTTCCAGCGCGGACAACCCCCCAGTCTGAGGACAACCTTGCACGTCACTCATCCCGGACACAGTCCGAAGGCACGCTCCACTTTATTGATAAGTCTGGCCACCCAGTTCAGGCCAGGGTGTTGGGTGCAAGGCCCAAGTACAGCATGGGCATGGCTGAGAGAGCGAGGAAGACGGAGAAGCAGAGGCGTGGCCCCAGGCTGTCAGCCAGGGCTCCAGCCAGCGTGCCCATCAGCAGCTTCCCCAGCAGCTCCAGAGTGGCCAGGAGACTGTAGTGTGTGGCCTGCTGGGGGAGGGGGAATCACGTCAGGACCTGCTTGGACTCCAGTCCTGCAGCCCCTGGTGTTGCAGCCACATCCCCTCACCTGCAGGGCACTTGGTGCCAGCTGGCTGCAGCGCATCATCAGGGTGAAGGTGGTGGTTGTGACCAGGCCCCCCAGGAAGTGCTGCAGACACAGGCTCAGCAGGGCTGCACCTGGGAGGGCTGAGGTCAGCAGGGCCCAGGACTCCAAGCTCCTCCCCCCTGTGGCCCACCCCTCACCTCTCAGGACTGTGCTGGGGGCCAGGCTGGCCCCAGGGCTGTCCAGGTGAAAGAGCACGGCAGTCTGGCAGGCCAGGCCCCCAAGACGGAACTGAAGCGCTGACTTCAACAGGGGCAGTGGCTGCCTGGGGTGGGGTGATGGGGCAGGTCAGAGGGCGTGGGGAAGGAAGGGGAGACAGGTGGGCGGGGCAGGCTGAGGGGGGCTCACCGGCGCCTGGCCAGGAGGGCCCCACCCAGGGATGAGCCAGCAATGGAGCAGGCCACAGCGCCCACACCATTCCACAGCCCCAGCTCTGGGGCAGAGATGCCGCAGTCCAGCAAGAGCAGTGGGAACAGGCCGCTGGTGCCCTGCTCACCTGTGGAGAGAGTCAGCAGGGGTGGTTGGCACACCTCCACCTGGGTCTCAGTCATGCTCCCCCAGCCCTGCCTTTTTCCTGGGCCACAGATGCCAGGAGACAGCTGGGGCTGGGCTTCGACGACGCTCAGGGTCAGCGTGAAGCAGCTCAGCGAGGCCCAAGGGAGTGTGGCTGGAGCTGGACCTGCAGAGGGCCGGGCTGGGCTCCAGACTTCAGGTCAGACCCCAAAGAGGAAAGGCAGCCCTGCAAGTGAGTTCCAGGGCTCCTGGGGACCCACCCCTGCTGTTCCTGACTCACCCAGCTTGTAGGTGAGCACGAAGCCCACTGTCCACAGGGTTCCAGGCACGGCCAGCAAGTCCTGCCCAAGGTGCAGGGTGTGTCGGGGGTGTTCTGAGGGCAGAGGTGTGGGAAGCTGTCGCAGGGCTGGTGCCACCCAGGTCAAGGCAGCAGCCAACCAATAAGCGGCAGCCAGGAGCAGAAAGAGCAGGGGCCAGGAGAGGGTGGGCACAAAGGCCAGCAGCCCACCCCCAGCCAGCACCGCCCCCAGCTTGTATGCGACCACCTGCACAGTGTTGCCAGGCCCCAGCTCTGCGGGCTCCAGGAGCCGTACAGCCAGCGTGTCCAGGGCCACATCCTGCACAGCTGCAGCCAGATTCAGCAGCAGAAGCAGCCCCGCCACCGTGACAGGCAGACCGGCCTGACCAGCTGCGGCGGGAGGGTGGGATGCCAGCAGCCCACACACCAGGCCCAGAGCAGCTGTGCTGAGCGTCAGCCAGGCCCTTGGGGAGCCCCGAGTGTCCACCAGCGGGGCCCACACAAGCTTGAACAGCCACGGTGCATACAGCGCCTTGGCCAGTCCCACGCGTGTCAGGGAGAGGCCGCGGGCCCGCAGCAGCACGGGCAGCAGCCCAGACTGCAGCCCATAGGGCAGGCCCTGCACCAGGTAAAGGCCGGCCAGCGGCAGCAGCTTCCCACGCATGGCGAGGAGGCCGGGCGCTGGGGCGGGGGCAGGGGCCCAAGCTCTATTGGCTGGGTCTGGGTTCAAGGCTGGCCGGGGCGGCATGAGAGGTTCCACTCAGAGTAGGGGCAGGGTGCTTCCGAGGGGGGTCCGGTCCGGTCGGGATGGGGTCAGGGGTCTCAGAGCGGCACGGCTGGGGCCAGGGTTGGACAGGCTGGCGTCCGCACCCGCGCCCTTGGGTCCCGGGGGCGTCAGAACCCCAAAGAACTGCAGGCCTCCTCCACGGCGGCGCTGGGGCGCTCTGGCCCGGGCGGCGCAACTCGGAGACGCGGCGGCCATAGAGAACGCGGGCGGGCTAGAGCGCCGGCCGCCTTCTGGCGCCCCCGGTGGCCAGCTGTCCTCGAACGTCGGAAGCGGCCGAACCCGCAGCCCATTCAGGTCCCTCCCAGGGCTATCAGATCCGGTCCCCAGACCCTAACTCTCCGGAAGTGCTTCCTGGTGTCTCACCTGGAGCCTGGTGGCCGCAGGGTCCACTGGGCCCTCCACGGAGGACCCACTGTCTACTACCGCTTACATCGGGTGCTGGACCCTCACCTCGCTGTGCTAGTAGTCTCGGCGCCCTCCCCAGGCCAGTGGCCACAGAGCGTCGTGGAAGGCAGGAAGTTCGTGGGAAAGGCCTGAGCCCACGTTCAGCCCAAGGAGGCACCCGGCTGCTGCCCGAAGCGCCCTCTAGTGTCTAGCGACAAGGCCAGGAGAGCCAGTCCAGGCCGGCCCCAGCCTGACCCCAGCTGGCCTTGAGACGAGAAACCTGCACCTCCCGTCCTCTCCTGCCCAGAGCCTTGCTGTGTGGGGCACCTGAGTGCCAGGGGAGATAGTGAAGCAGGGACTATGGTTAAGAGCCTCATCCAGAGTGGAGCTGGGGCCTTGGCCAATACTCTCCCTAAGCCCGTGGGTCGCTGAGGCCTGCCAACCTCTAGACCAACTCGCAGACACTTGAGCCAAGACGTTCCGTCAGCTGCTGAGGCCACGGGGAGTGAGCTTCCTTTCATTTCCACACATTTTTGGGGCCCAGGTTTCCTGATCTATGAAATGGGAACTACAGTGCCCACCAGAGAGGGCCCTTTGTGCAGTGATCCACAACAGTGTCTGGCATGCACATCCTCGCACGCCAGTGTCAAGGACACAAGGCTGCCCGCCAGCCCCCAGCCCAGGTCCTTCAGCCCAGAGCTCCACAGGGCACCTCTTCCTCGGCATCTTCCGTGCCCTCTTCCCCGGAACTTGCCTTTGGGTGCCCCAGCTCAGGAGGGGGCCTCCCCTCTCACTGCTTCCCAGCCCAAGAACTGCATTTACACGTGGATGTCACACACAACACGGCAAAGCGAGACCCGTTTGCTCTTCCTCCCCTCCCTGCTCTTGGGCCGGCACCACCGCTCCTCCAGCTGTCCAAAGTGGCAGCACCACTGCCCGCGCCCAGTTACGGGAACCAAGACTGCCCCCTTGAGTCCTCACGGTCACTCCGCTTCCCGGTGCTCACCCCATCCCGCCAAATCCATCCTGTAAGAAGGTCACCTCCCCTGGAAGCCCTCCCTGACCACTCCTCCCGGGCCCCCAGGCCTGCACAGAACCCCACACAGAAAGGCAGTCAGGAGTGGACAAGGCTGCGGGGGCGCATACAGGTGTGCACACAGCCTCCAAGCAGCCAAGCCAGCCCACTGCTTTATTAGGGGCCTGAAGAGAGGCAGGGGCCCAGCCACACAGGCAGCAGGAGCAAGTCCAGAGGGCTCTAGAGACCCCAAGAACCCGAGCACTGTCCTCCCGGGGTCGTCCCTGCCGGCCCAGCCTGGCCCCCAGCGGTGTCCTCAGGAGTACTCGCGGGTGAACTTGGCGTGGAACTGGCTCAGCGTTTCCAGCAAGGGCCGCAGCTTCTCCATGGGGGGCAGAATGGTCATCCTAAAAGGGGGAAGAAGGTAAGCGAATGGGATGGGGGTCGCGGGGAGGGGCTGCGGGGGCCCAGCCTCACCGGAAGTGGTAGGTGCCTTCCCGCTGCCCGAAGCCGCTGCCAGGCACCACGCAGATGCCGGTCTCCTCCAGGAGGCGCAGGCAAAAAAACATGTCGGGAGCCAGGCCCAGCTCCTGGGGGCGGGCGGGGGGGGGGGGGGGGGGGGGGGGGGGGGGTCAGGGGGAGGTGTCCCAGGCCGCGCGGGCCCCGCCCCGCCCCGCCCCTCACGCCGCACGCCGGACCTGAGCGCGCTGCACCGCACGCGGGGGCAGCTGCACGCGCGGGAAGGAGTACATGGCTCCCTGCACCGGGTTGCAGCGGATGCCGGGAGCCTCGTTGAAGACCTGCTCCGTGAGCTTGGCCTTGGCCGCCAGCTCGGCCAGCACCGCCCGCCTCTCCTGCGGCCGTGGAGGGAGGGCCGGTCAGGCTGGGCCAGGGGCGCGGCGCCCTGACCCCCGCGGCCCCGCCCACTCACCGCCTGGAACTGCGCGAAGGAGGGGTCGGAGGGCGCGGGCGGGCTGACCGCCACGTCTAGCAGGACCTGGCCCGGCGTGGGCGGGCACAGGCGCACGCTCCGCAGCTTCTGCATCTGCTGCTGCACCGCTGCGTCCATGTTCACCACCTCCACGTAGCCGCCGCGGAAGCCGCACCTGCGAGGCGAGGGCGGGCGTCGAGGCAGGGCCGGCAAGGAGGGGCCGGCCTGGCGGGCGAAGGGAGCCAGGCCGCGGCCCGGGTGCCCGGCCCCGCCCGCCCGGCCAGCACGCACTCGCCCATGTAGCCCTTGGAGACCGAGTGGAAGGAGGCGAGCTCCTGTCGCGCCGTGTATGGCGGCCCCATCTCCGTGAGCACCTTCTTGAACGAGTGGAACTGCGAGCCCTCGGCGTACACGTTGTCCTGGTACACCTGGACGGGCGGACGGGCGACAGCGGGGTGCGTCACGGGGGCGCGCGCCGCCGCCCTCCGACCCCTCCCTGCGGGGGCCCCGGCCAGCACCGCGGGGGCCCCGGCCAGCACCTCATCGGCCAACAGGAAGAGCCCCTCCTCAAAGGCGAAGCGGATCACGGCCTCAATGCACTCGCGGGTCTGCACCTGACCTGGGGCACAGACGGGTCCGGGGTCAGCTGAGGGGGCGCGCTGCTCTCCGCGGGGCGGCGGGCGGAGGGCCAGGCTGACCCAGGCGCAGAGCGCAGGGGTGCCTGTTCGGGCCAGGGCGGTGGGGCGGGGGCGGGTGGGGGCGCGCACCGGTGGGGTTGCCGGGGTTGATGATGCAGAGCGCGCGGGGGCGGCAGTGGTCACGCGCCTGGAGCAGCGCGCGCCGCAGCTCGGCCACGTCGAGCGCCCAGGCGCGCTCCTCGTCCAGGTAGTAGTCCACCTGCACCGCGTTGAGTTCGGCCAGCGCGGCGGAGTAGAGTGGATACTGAGGGATGGGGATGAGCACGCCCGTGCGCGTGCGACCCTCGCCGGCCACCAGCAACTTCAGCAACGTCTGCGGGTGGGATAGGGAGGCGGGGTTGGCGGGCCGAGGGCTGCACCCGTCCCCCGCCCCGGGCGCCGCCGTGCCAGGACGAGCAGACCCGCTCGGCCACGCACTAGGAGCCGCGGTGTCTTCCCGCGCTGCCCCGGCCTACCACGATGGCGTCGCTGGCCCCCGTGGACAAGAAGATGTTACTGGGGTCGGCGGGAATGCCTCCATCGCGCCGCTCAATGTACCGCGCCACGTCCTCGCGGATCAGCTGGGTGCCAGAGCTGATGCTGTAGGCCCCTGGGCCCGGGGACAGGGAGGACAGGGTGGGAGTGCGGGTGGGACAGGTGAGGTCCCCTTGCATCCCTCCCGAGGAGACCCGCCCCTTCCAGCGGGCAGATCCACCGTCTCCTGGGACAGCCTCCTCCAGCGCCTGCCCCTGCCCCTCCCTGGGGCTTGGGCAGGTTCTGGCACTCACCCAGGCTGTGGCCCCCACATGCCTGCAGGATGCGCTCCGCCCTCCTCTTGGCGTCGTCGGGGAAGTCAGGGCTGTTCAGGAGATCAGGGTGGACGCAGAGCGCCAGGACCTGGGAGAAGCAAGTGCTGGGGCCAGGGCACGTGGGCTGACAGGGAAGGGGTGCAGGGCAGCACTGAGCCTCACCTGTCGCAGGAAGGTGATAGGCGTCTGCCCCATGGCCTGTGCGTCCCCGATGTTGGCTCGGATGACCTCAGTGAAGGGCTTCTTTACGCCCTGTGGCGGGGGGGGGGGGGGGGGGGGGGTCGTGGGCAGTGACAACAGACCTTGTGGCTCCCACAGGCCTTGTCTTATTCGGCTCAGGGGTGGGGGGAGAGTGGGGCCAGCAGCGCCCCGGCGCGGCGCTGAGGCGGTGGTGCGGCCCAGGACCCTACCTGGCGCAGCTCCTGCTCCAGCTCCAGCGCGCGCAGCACGATTGGGCCTCGTACCGCGTACTCCACCTTCTGGACACACGGGTTCATGGTGTCCAGCGTCAGCACCTTCTCCTTCAGCCCATTCGTTGCAGCCTGACTGTGGTCACCTGTCCTCAAGGCCATGACCCTGCTCGGACCGGGCAAGAAGGAGACTCAGGAGGCGTCAGGATCCAGAAGTGTGGGTGAGGGAAGCTGGGTCCCGGCTTGGTGGGTCAGGGCTGGGAAGGGGGCACCCACTTCACTGCAGCCTGCTGGCCCCACTGAAAGGGACAGAAAAGGCTGAAGGAGCCGGGCCCGCCGGGCCCCGCCCCGCCCCACCCGTCTGGGCACAGTTCTGCCCACAGGGAGTGGGTGAGAAGACAGGCGGGGCTTGGGGTGAGGCCCAGTGCCCGCCCAGTGTCCCCATGACAGGGGAGCAGGAGAGCCACATGGGAGGTAGGGACAGACGGAAGGGTCCAGCAGCTCTGAGGGACTAGGCTTGGGGGAGGGGAGGTGGGCCGAGTGCCCTGAGGGGTTGGCAGAGCCTGGCAGAGCAGAACCTGGAGGGGAGAATGAGGCCTGGGGCCTCTGGAGATTTACCTCAGTAGGGCACGGCCGAGGCCTAACCCTTTTGGACCCCCCGCCCCCATCTTTGCTGGGGCCAGCAGAGTAGGCCTGTCTCCCGGGTGACTGAGCCAGGCCTCAGGAATCCTGGGGCTCTCTGGGGAAGGGAGTGAGGCTTCAGATGCGGGGGTTCCATCTGGCCCCTCCTGTGCTGGGGACCATGGCCCGGGGCAGCAGGAGCCCTGGGACCGGACCTCGGTCCCCCATCAGTGCTGCAAGGCTGGAGTCTTTGGGTTGGGGTGTTGGGGGAGGGGCAGGGCAGCTCTGGGCCTTCGCAGGGCCCTTGGACACCTCAGCTGCTCTGGGCTGCTGTCCTGCCCTTTCACCAAACACACACCAGCCTGGGGCTGCCCTTGGGGCCACACCACAGGCAGGGTGACCTAAGCTTCCCTTCCCTGTGGCTCGTGATTGGTGGAGAGAGTGGGAAGCGAGCCGTGATAAGCCCTCAGGGCCCCACCTCCACAGGCCCTGCAGGGAGCTGATACGCCACCCCAGCGCCAGGATCTGGCTCCGCAGTGAGGGTCAGGAAGCAGTAGGCCCTCTCAGCTGAGCGGGGCTGTGGCTGGCTGGTCAGGCCTGGGGAAGGCTTAGCCCGTCTACTCCTGCCGGCTGGAGAGGAAACGGGAGGCCAGACGGCAGCCTCTCACCTGCGTCTCCTGCTCTGCTGCCACCTCTGCCTCCCAGTGTGCAGGCCTCTCTGGGCCCCGGGCTGGAGAACAGGTTAATATGGGCCCAGCCGCAGGCAGAGCCAGGCCCCGCCCGCCCCCTGGCAGCAGGGCCATGTGGCAGCTGTGGTGGCAAGTGGACCTTGGGCAGTGCACCACCCCACACTCTAAATTTAACCAGCAGCCTCCCCGCGGCCCCCACCCCCACCGCTGTGCTGAGGACACCCCTCCAACCACGGATGCTCAGGGACAGGGGGGGCCTGTGGACACTGGGCTGGCCGGGTCAATGTCCAGCGGAGAGGGTGACCCAAGCCCATGCCACCCAGCACTGGTGGCCATGCCAAGCAACCTGCCCTGGACAGATGAGCTGGCAGTGCCCCAGCCCTCCCCAGTGAGGCCCCGAAGGGGCCCTGTCACCCTGACACATCGTGCCCGGTCAGCTCAGAGCCTCAGCAGGCCCTGCTTGCCGGCCTGAGCAGAAGCTGGCAGCCAGGCCGCCAGGCCCCGAGATCAGGGCCGCACGCCAGGAACGGGGAACCCGCCCCCCACCGGGGAGGCTTCTGACGCCAGCCTTGTAGCGCTCTGACCCTCTGGCTGTTGCCCAAGAGTCTTACGGAAAATACCCTCTCCTTTTCCAAGCCAGGATCCCTGCTCCTCCAGCATGGACACCCCCAGCCCTGGCCAACAAGGAGTGTCCTTCTGAAGCCCCCTGTTCCCCTCAAGAAAGCAAAGAATTGCAGAGGCGTCTCCAGGAGGCTGGGGAGGCAGGGTGCAGGAAGCACTCGTCCTCTTGCCAGGGGCCGTGGGCCTCACGCCCACACAGGGGCTGGGCACCACAAGCAAGCCCCAGCACGTGCCCACAGCCCTTAGGTGCTCCCAGGGCCAGGCGCACCCAGGCCCAGCAACACGGCAGCTCCCCACCATGGCGGTGGCGGCCCAGCTGAGACACACGACAGGGCAGGGGGCAGAGCAGCCCTTTACTGAGTGCCACAGAATGAAAGTAGGTCTCTGCAGCCAGGTGTTTCCCAGGTACAGCCTCTGCCACAGGTCCGTCCCCAAGGAAGGAGGCTGGCAGCCTAGCCCGGAACACACGTTGCGGCACGCAGAGCAGCGGCCCTGGGCCTGGCAGTGGGACCTTGGCCACCCAAGCACCAGCCCCTCACATGAGCAGGCAGCACGGCCTCTTCTCCACGCGGGCTTCTTCTGAGGGGGCTGTGAGTCTGAGCAGGGGTGGGTCTCCACCAGCCCCGGAGCCACACTCCAGCTGGGGGGTCTCAGTGTCCACAGGCAGTTCAGACTCAGCGGCCTCGAGCCCCTCAGGCGGGGGTCGCTGCAGCTTAGCGGCAGCCCGCTGACGCTTCAGCTCTGCCAGGGTGTGGGGGGCCTTGGCCTGGACCAGGGCGTCAGGGGTGGTGCTCTCCAGGGAGCTCAGCTGGTAGGAGACACTTCGGTCCAGCCGCTTGGAGTACAGGTGCCGCCCCGGGGGCGCCCCCACTCGGCCGTTGTGCTGCCTGGCCGCCTCTGGGTCCTCCTCCTGTGTGGGGAGCACAGGCCCCGGAGGCCATCAGGAGGGTCCCCTCTGGCCTGGGGTCCCCGGCCGCGTGGCGGTCCAAGGGCAGAAACGCGGGTGGGGGCGGCAGCTGACGCCCACGGGGCGCGAGTCTTGCATATGGGGGCAGGGCCACCGGTCCCACCAGCTCCTGAGGCTGGTACGGAGGGAGGCGGGGCACGGCTGGGCGGGGCTCACTTCGGGGGGCGGCCGCCGGAGCTCCGCGTCTGTCTGGCGGTCCTCATCCTCCTCGGACGGCTCCGGGCTAGTAGGCGGGGGCTGTTGCCATACGATGGCCTCCTGGGCGTGCTCCTTGCGGTACAGGCTGGTGCGCTGGGTCAGGCTCACCCGCCTCACCACCTTCCTGGGAGGGGGCGGGCAGGAGGATTGGGGCGGGGGTGACACCGCCTTCCCTGCGGACTCTGCCCCGAGCTCCGGCGGGCACGGAGGCCTGCCAGCTGACATCAGCAGGGACCAAGCCCAGGGCAGAGCCCAAGGGGCGAGCGGGGGGCTGAGGGCCCGGGGGCGGGGCACTGGGCGGGCCCGCGGGGGCCTGGCGGGAGGGGCGGGCACTTACCCCCGGCTGCCGGCGCTAGAGGCGCGTCGACGCAGCAGAGAACGCTGGCGGCCCTGGGCGCGCAGGAGCGCGTCGTGCTTGTGTTTCAGCTCCAGCAGCTTGGCCCGCACCTCCTCGTCCCCGCACACGTCTGAGGAGGAGTGGCCAGAGGATCACAGGCGCCCGCCCGCCCGCCCGCGCCCTACACCGGGAGGATGCGGCCCCAGGCTCACCGAGAGGCGTCTCTTCCATCAGGGATTTGCCGTTCAGGTCAGCCCCGTGTGCCACGAGCAGCTCCACCAGGTGCACCTGTGGGCCGGCGAGCCCGGGCTGCTGAAGCCTGCGGAGCCGCCGAGCCCGCCCGGCCCCACTGCCCCGCAGGCGCTCACCTGGCCCCAGTAGGCCGCTGCGTGCAGTGGCTCCCAGCCGTCGCGGTCCTTGGTGCTCAGGCTGGCCCCGTGTTCCAGCAGCAGGGCAGCTGCCTCGCCGAACCCGTTGGCCGCGGCGATGTGTAGCTGCAGGCAAACCGCCGGCCCCTGAGTCCGGGCCCTGGTTCGGCCTGCAGCAGCCTCCCCTGCCTGCGTCCCGCGCGGCCCCGTCCTCACCAGCGTGGCGCCGTGGTCCCGGGGGGCATTGAGGTCTGCCCCCTCCTGCAGCAGGCTCCGGATGTCCTCCAGCATATGCAGCTCGGGCAAGGCCCGGGCCCGCTCGATGCTGTCCTGGGTGATGCCTGCGGGGCAGCGGGCTCAGGGCTCCACCCCCGGCATACCAACCGCCGCGCCCCGCGCCCTGCTGCCCAGGCAGGCAGGGCTGCACTCACCACGGCTGGCCATGGCCGTCTCCAGGCAGTCCAGTGTCTGATCGTCCTCACACAGGTCATAGGGCATGTTCCCGTCCGTGTTGACTGCCAGGAGGTCGGCACCACTGCGGAAAGGGTGGATGGGGTGCTGGTCACAGGGCCCTTCTCCCCCAGCAGAGGCCCCCAGGACCCTCTCAGAGGCCTTCCACCTAGGGCTGCCTCAGAGGGGCCCAGGCCTCACCTGCCGCAGTGAGAGGCGGCCCCTTGGCCCTGGGTGCTGTCCTGGGGCCAGGTGGGCTGTCCTGCAGTCTCCACCATGTCTGATTTTTCAGGTTCCTGGCACCCCTCTGCCCCCATGAACGTGTACAGTGGGCCCACTTGCCATGAGGGGGTGCCAAGACTCTGGGGGCCCGAGGCAGCAGAAGGTGGTGGGGAGAGAGCCTGGGTGTCAGGAGAGCACTGCGGGGAGCTGAAGGGGCCCGAAACACAAGGCTGGATGCCCACTGTGGAGGGGCACGGAGTGGGGCTAGGGGCCGCCTGTGCGCACCCCCTTGCTGCCCCGTGACACTGCACACCCAGCCCGTCCCACTCCAAGGCATCTGTGTGCAAATGGGAGCCACCGCCATCCACCCCCACACCCACCAGTGTTGCCCAGACTGCTCCACGGCCAGCCAGCGGGGGACTCCTGGGTCCTGGTGAAGCTGACCACCCTCTCCATTCACTAAGGCGGGTGTTCAGGAGCACAGCCCTGCTCTGCCCTCCTGTTAACGGCCCCACCTGTGTCCAGGTATCCCCTCTTGCCAATTTCTCCCTCGTGGCTCTGACCAGAACGGCATTTCTCTATGCAGACCCTGGGAAGGCCAGGAGACCAGAGCAGGTCAAGGCCTGTCCTCAAGGAGTTCCACGCTCTTCGTGGTGTGAGCAGCCTGGCAGGCGGAGGACCACACTGCCCTGCATACGTGCTAGTTCCCTTGGGGTGGCAGCATCCGTGGTCTCGGCCCAGGTCCCGCTCTGCACGCCAGGGTGCGGCAGGGTAAGCAAAGGTCAGTGGGAACACAAGAGGCCAGGGTCCAGGCACACTTTCCCACAGAGATGAGATGCCTGGGCGGTGTCTCCAGATGAACTACCCACTGCGAGGAAGGTCCTGCCTGGCCCTGGCCCAGCTGCAGCCCCTCCCTGATAGAGATGCCCACTCCAGCCACACCTGCTCCCAGCGGGCCCTACCCAGCAATGAGCAGCTCCACCAGGTGCAGGTGGCCACAGGTGGCCGCGGCGTGCAAGGGTGTCCAGCACTCACTGTCACGGGCATTGACCTTGGCCCCAGCCTCCAGGAGCTGCTGCACCATCTCCCGGAAGTCATCGATGCAGCTCTGCAAAGCACGTGGCCTGAGTGCCCGAGCCGCAGGCCGGGGCCCCGTCCTCTCCTCGCACCCTCAGCGAGGCTGACCTGATGCAGGGCGGTCAGGCCGTCCTCATTGGCCAGGTCAGGGCTGACCCCACTCTCGAGGAACTGGCGGACTGCAGAGAGGAGGGGGGCGCGTTCAGGGCACGGGAGCCCCACCACAAGCCAGCGCCATCCTGCTCAGGTCCCTGCACCTGGGGTACCTGGGCTGACGGCTGTGCGTAGCTGGGAGAGCAGAGGACGGGGAGAGAGGCAGTGGTACAGGTGGCAGGAGGGACACCAGAGCCCAGGCCGAGGGCTCAGGAGCTGGGCCCCTAAGTGGGGTACAGACAGCAGCACTCTGCTTCTACCCTCCAGCAGGGCACCCTCCTGAGTCATGGCACTAGGGCCCTCCTGTGTGACAGCCACCTCCACTGTCGTCCCCCGGGCCTGGGTGCTGGCACTTTCTGTCACCCACACACACACACACACACACACACACACACAGCCCCCCACCCCTGCACCGCTGCAGCCAAGAGTGTGGGCCCAAGGTGCCCAGGCCTGGCCCTCCCTGGCTGCACCCTCCCCGCAGCTCCCATGCACCGGCCTGGGGCACACCCTGCCCCTCCTTGCCCTCTGCACCCCAGCTTCTACGGCAGAGGCCTCTGCCCTGGAGGGAGGCAGAAAGCGCCCTCGGCAGCCTCCCAGGAGAGCAGAGGGACTGTGAGCATGTGGGCACGGGAAAGGAACAGGAAGCCTGCCCAAAGTTCAGGCCTGTCGTCTGGGAAGGTTCTGATGGGAAGAAGGGAGAACTCAGAGGCAGAGCCAGGGGCAGGCATCAAGGGGGCCAGGCCGTACGGGGAGCCCCGCTCCCCGTGCTCTAACCTGCCCAGGTGGGCTCCACCATACTCCTGTATGGAGGCTCAGGACCCAGGCAAGCAGGTGTCCACAGCAAAGCCCAGTGCCCCGGCAAGAGGCGGCGAAGACTGGGCAGCTCCCAGCCCACCCAGGGCCCCCGCCCACCCCCTCAGGCCTCACCTTCACTGCAGGAGCCTCCGCAGGCTGGCCTGTGAGGGCTACCCTGGGGCTCCCACCACTTGGGGTCTGTGGCTAAGGACGCTGGGCCTCGCCCTTGGCGGACCTCTCGAGGCCTGCGCCGGGGGACAGGGACAGGGACAGGGCTGCCTGCCGTGCATGGCTGGCCCACACTCGCCTTCCTCCAGGTCATTCCGGGCAGCCGCCTCCAGAAGGGCAACGCTGGGGGGGAAGAGGACCCGCTTCTGTGGCCGGCCGCCGGCCGCCTCCTTCTGTGACTGCGTCCGCTGGCCCCTCCTGCCATGGGCCTCCTTCTCGGCCTGGGCCCACATCTTCACCTGCTGGGCACGTCGCTTCTGGGCGTGCTTCAGCCGCTCCTGTGTGCTCATCCTGCCCACCGTGGGCATCTCTGCCAGCAGCTCCAGGTGCTCGGCCATGGCGGGGGCTGCCTGCCAGGGGGGCTGCTGGGGGCACCGGACGGGGAAGCGCGGGGGCCAGGCTGGGCCTGCGAGGCGGGGCAGCTGGCTGGACTGGCGCCCTGCGGGGCATCCCCTCTCTAAGGCTCAGTGTCCTCTGCCCCTGGCAAGGCTGGGTCAGGAGGCCCCCCGCTGTGACCAGACCCGGGCAGCCATGAGGGGCCCAGGCCCCAGGCAGAAAGGGCAGCAAGGGAGGGCGCCTGCAGCCGGCCTCCCAGGGCCCTGGCACCTCGGCTGCTCGATGGACAAGGCCTCCCTCCCTCGTGGGGTCAGGGTGCCCACCCTGTGGGAAGCAGTCCTGGACCTGGCCAGCCTCAGTTCAGGGTCTGAAGCTAATGACCCAGATAACGAAGTTGCAGCTCCCTGACGCCTTGCCGAGGGGAAGAGGAGGCCAGGGCAAGGGGCAGAGGCCCCTGGGAGCCCTAAAAGTCCCTCTCACCTAACAGGCCTTAGGGGACGAGGTGGGGTCTAGGAGCAGCCATGGCGGGGGCCTTCCCTCCCCACGCCCCCAGCCTTCTGGAGTCGGTGCTAACGAGGAGGTGTGGCCACAGGGGGCCTGGGCGGGCGTGTGTCCAGAGTCCCAGGGTCCGGCCCCCAGCGCCTGGGGCCGAGGCTCTCTAAGCGGCCAGGGCACCGAGGGTACAGCGGGCCTGGCAACTGTGTCTTCAGGAAGGCGTCCCCTTCGGAGGAGCCGGCGGCCCAGCTGTGCACGGCAGGCGCTCCCGCTGGCCTGAGAGGAGGAAGCAGGAAGCGCGTCAAGGCCAGACGGCGGCAACGGCTCCACCCGGAGCCCCGCCCTGTGTGAGGGCGAGCCCTGAGGGGAGGGGGCTGGCAGTGCCCGCAGTCTGGCCCACACGCTCGCGGTTTCCAGCAAGGGCCCTGCAGGCTGTGCGGCTGAGAGAGGGGCGCAGGGCCGGCACTGCCAGCTCGCTGCGGCCTTCCTGAGAGGCGGCCCCTCGAGGCCTCCGGCTCAGCCCTTGCCCCGCAGCGCCCCTGACCTGTGCGCCCTGGGCCGGGCCGGGCTGGCCAAGGTCACCTTCTCCTTGGGCTCTCCCGGACTCCCTGAGCGCTGTGCGGCCTAGGCCTTCCCGGGGGCGGGCCCTGCCGCCTGGACACCGGGCCGCCCTGCTGCTCCGCCACAGCTGTGAAGGGCGGAGGGCCTGGCCTGGCCTGCCCAGCACCCCAGCTCCTCAACACCCGAGTCTGGGCCTCTTCCTCGCCGGGCTTTCTGTTTGTAGCTCAGGCCACTCGGTGCTTTGCTTCCCTCTGCCATCCTGGGCGGCGGTCCAAGCCCTGGTCGTGTGAACACAGGCGCAGGTGGCCTGCCTGACAGACAGGTGGGCCGGCAGCTGGGCTGGGGCACAGCCCCACAGTCCCCACCATGGCCCGTCCTGCCCAGCACGCCCGGTGTGCTCACTAGGTATGGTCCCAGGACATTCCTCGGGAGGCCATGGCCATGCCCCACCTAGAAGGTACCCACCTGCAGCTCAGCCTGCCCACCGGGAGTCCCCATTCCCACTCGGCCAGACCTTGTGGCCATCTAGAGACTGACCCAGGCTTCTTCTGGCCAGACTTGTACTCAGGGGTCTCAGTGAGTGCCCCCTTCTTTCTGGAGGGGAACTGTCCTGGGCCAGATCAAGTGAGGTCAGGTCCCTCCTGCCCCGGGACCCCCAGTGTGTTGGGAACTTCGCATTACATCTCTGCCTCGCCCTGGACTTTGCTGGCACTCCAGCTATTCGCTCTGCGAGCCAGGCCTCAGAGGCTACCTGGGGACAGGAAAGAGCCCTCCAGGCGGACAGCCCCCAGCTGGCCACCTCTGCAGATGAGCTGCCTAGACCCCCTGCCTGGATCCCCCAAGTCCCACCTCTGCCCTGAGACACCACTTCTCCACCGAGACAGGCAGGAGGCCTGCAGGCACCGTGGCAACTCCCCACCCATTAGGCTGGGGGTGGATCCCAGACCAAACCCAAGGCGTGGCAGGGCTTTCACTGGTTCTGTAAGACTCTCCCTCCCTGCTGGCCACTCACAGGCAGCCTCAGGTTCCCCTGGAGGGAGCTGGGACCCCCTCCAGCCCACACATGGGATCTTCACCTGTCTGGGGTAGGTCTCTGAAGAGCATGCCCCAAGAGACGCGGGAAGGAGGAGCAACGCACTCTGCCCAGGGCCACCCCCGACCCCGTCACAGAGGATGCTGCCCCCACCTATCCACGAGGGAGGAGGTCCCCTGCAGGCCAAGGCTCCACGGCAGAGCAGGCTCACAGGGCCTCAGCGACCATCTTCTCCAAGTGGGCGCCAACATCAGAGCCACAGCCCGATTTTGTTAAGTTTGACAAGATTTAGGAGATGTCATCTACCCCATCATTTTATGGAAGAAAAGAGATTCTGACGCCCACGTCCTACAGAAATTCCCCTAGAGGGGACTTCCCTGATGGCCCAGTGGTTAGGACTGCATGGTTCCACTGCACGGGTTCGATTCCCTCGTCGGGGAGCTAAGACCCCTGCATGCGGGGGAGCAGGGTAGGGGACAGAAAACAACCTAAAATAGAGTAACCACCAGCTTTTCAAATTGAACAGATGTTGTGTTTTCTAGCTGTTGTTTTCTTATTTTGAAGGCCACCCATGAAAATACATGTGGGGCAGGATCTGAAGCCTCACCCAGGCCCACCCCTGTGCCCCAGGCAGCACGGGGCTCAGGATAGAGACCTGCTCCCTGTGGGCCCCCAACGGCCCCGGGCACTGCACACTGGAGACTCTGGTCTCCTGCTGGGCTACAGCAGCTCAACCGGGTCCTCAGCCCCCTACTCTGGGGGCCCCACCTGCCTGAAGCCCCAGGTCCCCTCTGGGCCCCTTTAGCAGCACTCCTTGCTGGAAGCTGCCTGAGGACAGTCTGCATGTGACCTTGGGTGGGTCCTTGGGCCGCTGGACTGCCTCCTCTGAGAGAAAGGTGACCCCAGGGAGTGTCAGGATCCCGCTGCAGTGGGCGCCCATCCTGGAACAGTCTCCATGGGGGGCAGCACAGTGCCCAGCCCCCGGCCCCCCCAGGCTGAGTCTGAGCTCTCCGTCTGTCCCCCCTCCTCAAGCCCCACTCTTCTGCCTCCTCCCAGCCACGCAGTCCAGGAACGGTCCCCCCAAGCTGCAAGACTCACCCCTCAGCTGAGCCACAAAGGCCAGGACAGCTCAGTGGAGTCCCAACAACTGACCACCGCACCACACCCAGGCCAAGGGGGCCAAGCAGGGCGGCTGCCGCCTCAGTCCACAAATCCTGCCCCAAGCCTCCCTGGAATGTCAAACAGAGATAATCTGGACAATTTTTCCACTTCTCAGCTCCATGCCTGGGGCGCTGCATGGGAGTGTGGGGCTGAGGTGGGAGGAGCCTTCTGGAAGGACAGTGGCCACTGCCCCTCATCCTCTGAGCCCACGGCACTGGACTATGTCCAGAGTCTGTGGAGAGTACCCCTGACACCCGGCTTATGGGCCCCAGCCCAGGCCCTCGGTGTGGACAGACACACGCTGGCCTGAGTGTCTCAGCGGCCCCTCCCCAACCACAGTCCCAGCCCTGCACCGGCAGGTCCCTGTCATTATCTCCATCTCCCACCTGGGGAACTGAGGGAGCTGAGGCCTAAACCCGTGGGGCCCTGCTGACGACGCCACCGTCCTGCCTCTCATGCCCACTTCCCAGCATCTGTGAGAATCAGGGACAGTGTAGCAAGAGCCCAGAGCCTTTGAGGGTCGGGAAGTGTCCCTTCACTCGCCCAGGGACAGGGAGGCTGTGCTTTGCTCAGAGAGAGGAAAGGAGAGATGAAGGGGCGGGGGAGGGGGAGTGGGGTGCCCACCTCCCCTCAGGTACTGGGGGCTTCGCATCCCTGTCCTGCTTAAGGGTTGCTGGAGCTGGTTTTCCTTGTGGCTTTATCTACGACAGCAGAAGATGGGGAGTGACCAGCTGCTCCTCACTCTGGGAAGAGCAAAGTGTGTGTCGCCATCCTGCAGAGTCACACACACAGACGTGCCCGTCAGCAGGTGAGGGCATGTAAATGTCATGGGCGAGGGGCTGGGGCTTGGTTGCCAAAACCCCGAGGCAGAGCTGACAGCGCCGCATTGCAGGCGGGGCGTCTGTTTGCTCGGGGACCACAAGTAGCTGGGCTTCATCCCTGGCTGACCCCCTGCCCCATCCCCTCACCCTTCCGCCCCAGCCCGGCTCACCTGGGAAGGCTCCCATCCCCGCTGCATATCTGGCCGCCGCGGGCACAAGTCCACCAAGGGCACCGTTCGTCCCGCAAAGGACCAGCCAGCTGGGGGCCCACCCGGTCCATGCCCAGGGCCACGTGCTGGGACCTCGGGTGGGGACCTGCTCAGGGAGGGAACCCGACGCCCCAAGGGCAGGGTCTGGCTCACAACAGGCACTCTGCCAGTGGTCTGGCCATGCCGTCCCCAGCCCTGCCCCACGGGCCTGGCCTGGGGGTGGCCTAGGGTCGGGGCACAAGGAAAACTGGCCTGCCCTCAGAGCAGGCGCAGGACGTGCGCTGGTGGGGAGGAGGGCCCACCTGACGGGCCCAGGGAGGGGTTGGGGGCACCGCCAGCGGCAGCGGGGCGGGCTGGGCTGGGGGCACTGGGAGGCGTGCGCAGCAAGGACAGAGAGGCCAGGAGCCAAGCAGCTGGGTGGGTGGGTGGCGGGCTCCTCCTCGCACTGGTGCGGGACCCATGGAGGAGCCGACCTGGGGGTGCGGCCAGGGCAGCTGTCCCCAGGGGCACTCACCTGCCTCCAGCAGGCCTGTTCTAGAACGTTCTAGAAGCTAATCCCACAGCACTACCATCAGGCCCCTCACTGCAGCAGCCTTTACGTCCTACACGTCTATCAAAGGGTCATTAAGTAAGGCCCTAAGGGGCTTACGAGGAAGCCTCCTATGCACCCTCATGAGAAGGTCACTAAGAAACTGTTCAGTGAAGGAAAAAAGGTGCAAAATCTGTACATGATAAGCAACTTCTGTGTGAGCACACACGTAAACTGGTATCAGAAACACAGGACAGGAGAGAAGCAACGGGAAGGGCCTCAGGCGGGGCGGGGTGGGGGTGCAGGCGGGCGGCACCAGAGCTTTGGGTCACTCCTGTTGTTTCGATTTTGAGCCACGTGAAGGTAAACCTCTTCGGAACAACATTTAGTGCTCTGTTCAGGGAGGGCAGGTGTGAGCACACCTGTCAGGTATCGGGTGCGGCCTCGGGGGGCGGGGACTAACAGGACCAGCCCGTGCCAGGGTCAGCAGAGGAGCTGGCCTCAGCCTGGGCCCGGGGAGCCCAGAGGCTTCCAGACAAATGAGTGATGTGATCAGATCTGGGGGGAGGGGGGACCTGGCAGGAGAGACGATGGGACTCACACACACCCCCGGCAGCGGCGGACAGGAGAGGAGCCACAGCCAGAGGGCAGGACAGGCTGCCTGATGCGAGGAAAGCTCCAGCGAGGGGCAGACGGAGGACGGAGGGCCCTGAGAAGTGGGCCCGAGCAGTGTCCACGTGAGCAGGGGCCAGGACGCCCAGGAGAGAGTACGTGGAAGTGAGTGGTCAGCAGAGGCACAGACGGGAGAACTGAGCGGGGGCCTCAGGGAAGGCCTGCTCCAGTGGGCGGCAGGGCGGGACGCCACCTCTCTCCTCACACCAGAACCAATCCAGATGTGTCACTGACACAGCCGTAGGAAAAATAAAGCCACAGGAGTGCCAGCAGTAAGAAGGCAAGACCGT